ACGCTCTCGTGTCCTTTGAGAGCGCTCTGGGTTGTGGAATATTGAGGCATCTACGTGGCTAATAAGAAATTTCGAAGGATTCTAATCGATATGTCGCCCAGTGCGGGAAGCTGCGGAGTAATGTTTGTATTTTCTTTTGTTTATATTAGTAGTGGAGCGAATAACAAGATATGTTTAACGAAATACCTTTTTAGGTTATCAAACTAAGAAAAGTACAAATTTTAAAGGAAAATAGAAAATAATAAGTAATTTATTTTATTATAACGAATTATTTGATATTTTACTTAACATTGCAGTCCATCGAATAATTTCCGTAAATAATATAACTTTTGAATCCGAATTTTTAGCTGAAATTGTTGAAATTTTTATAATTTATCGAATGAAATTTTATCTATCTATCTAAATATCCACTTGTTTTTTGTGGATTTGAGAATAAGTTTCAATGGTTTGAGGTTAGGTTTTTATGAACATAGCATAGGTTTGAGGTTTCAGAAATACAAAATTACCTCTAGAACAGAATTTTCAAGGAGTCACATTCTTTATTTTGGAAAATATCCTTAGTTTGACTTTCAAGCTCAGATTTATTGGATTTGAGGTTAGATATTTAAAAATAGAGGTTAGGAGCTTCAAAAATGAAAAATATAAGTCCTAGAAAATGGTTTTCAAGGACTTTTATTCTTTGGTGTGGAACATATACATTCTATATGAATTTCTAGCTCAAGTTTTTAGAATTTGAAGTTGGGTTTTGAGGGTTTGGGGTCAGGTTTTGAAGGGTTTGAGGTTAGGTTTTTATGGGTGTAGGTTTATGGCTTTAGAGTTAGGAAATACAAGCTCAAAAATATAGTTTTCTGAGTAATTATAACCATAGATTTAGAATAGAGTCAGTATATTACTTTGAGGTTAGGTTTGATGAATTTGAGGTTATGTTTTTGGGTTCAGAATTAAGGTTGATTAAAGAATTGTGAAGCTACATGATTATTTTCCTTGTTTAATCAACCTCAGATATAGATTTAGATTTTTTTATTTTTAAATACCGAATTATTATCTTTGGGGTTGAGGCCGATGAGTTCTCACTCTATTTAAAAAATTCCTGTGTTGATATTTCAAATTATCGCACCAGGATCATAAAATTAAGCATATTTGAAGAAGACCACCACTGTTCGGTTAAAATAGACGAGTGCGTAGTTTTTTCCCATATTTCCCACTGTGAGTCATAGTAGTATCAAGTACATTGCCCATTTTTACGGTGCACTCGGTGAAAAAGTTCAAACGGTACTTCACGGTCATCTAAACTATGCAACACAGACTGAATACAAAATTAGTCTAATTTACAATAGTGCTTCAGTATGTAACGAATAGTCTCAAACTTTGTATGCACTTCTTTGTACAAACGAAACATTTTGTTTTCATATGTGGAAAGTGTTAATTTATTCTAAAATTGTTTAGAAAATATACAGGATGTCCTAAAATAATATATTTTGCTACAAATAAATAATGTTTTTTTCTTTCATGGGTAAACATGTTGCAAGACTGAAATGTAATTTTTTCTTATTTATTCTTTTATTTATTTCATTGTTAATAATTTTTTTGTTACTTCTACATAGGAAGACATGCATTCTAGATCGTAGAAGATATTTTTCTCATTTTTTTTTCAGTTTTTATTAATATAATGCTAAATATAAGCAATTAAATATCAATACCGTCCGTTCAACACACCCATGAAGAACTGGAGTCACGCATAATATGACCTGAATTGTTACTGAATGGGATAGGCAGTTTACACTGACGTTTTAATCAACACCTTTCAAAATTACAGAGTTATTTTGCAAAGAAAAAGGAAAATATTTATACAGTTCATCCACATTATTAATAACTGAAAATATTTTTTTTTCACTGTTCTATAATATACCGACTATCAATTTTTTTTAAGGATAGGTAGGTACACTATTAAGCGCTAATGCATACTTTTCCGGTACTATATTTATATTTTGTATAGTAATTAATTCATGCGACCTTGCATGAAACATGGTTTCGTTTGATCCGTTTAAATTTCTGCATACTAATCCTCACTAGGATTGGCCATATATTCATATTAATATTCCTCGCCGGTGCCAAGTGTCAGCGAATAACCGATGTATTCCCGTTACGGCGAAAAAGTACGTGCGGTTTTTTAAATGTTTGTTAAACACCTCCAGAGTAGGTAATCAAGGTAAAATGTGCGAAGTGGTTCCTATCTGGATAATATCTGCATTAGAGGCAAAATCAAAATGATTTGACTAGTTTTTAAGATTCAAATTCAAAGGTGTGATTCCGTTTGATGTATTGAAAAAGAGACTTTTCTTCGTGTATTATTAAATAATTTTTCGATACCCTTTCTAATTCAAAAGATTAATCATATTTGCTGAGAAAAATACTGGTTCTATCAAGTCTTTTAGTGATCGAAAACAAAATACTTTCTATGTTTATATTCATTGTTGACATAAATCATCTGTTTCTATAATAACACTGCTAATTTTGAATTTATTCATTAAAAAACACTTTTTTATCATTCGTGTTTTCGATGTTGCTTTTTAAAGGACTGAAGCTCTTATCTTGCAAAGCTTGTCTCAGCAAAAATATACATAATATTAATTTATTATACACAAAATGCAGCTTCTCAAGGCGACAAATGTCTGTGAGGTTTCTCCTCGGACACCTGTTTTCAGTTTGTCTTGTCAAGAAAAATAAACCAACGCAATGTGTTTCTTGCATTTGTCCTTTGGGAGCGGCTCGAGGAACGATCTCCGTCATGCGGTGTAAGAAAAACTTGTTACGCACAAGTGACATAACTATCTATTTACGTCATCCGCGTTATTTTACCGCTGTGTTGTATTTTTATCATGTGCCATTCTTTATTGCAATAATTTCAATGGAAGGCAACGTATGAAGCAGCTAATTATCGTTTATGTTTGCTTTTTTTCCTCGGTATAAATGGAAACTCGACCGTAATAAAAATGCAGTTTATGTGCCATAATAAATATATTGCGGCGTATTGTTAAGTAAGATATTTATAACTTACGTAAGACGTCACAAAATTATAAGTATAAATTCTTGGTATTCAATCTGTAAACACAATCGTAATAACATATTCGATGACGTCCAGTGAATTGAAAATAGTAAAAGTTTATTTAGTAGTAAAGTTGACGATCCAGGATATCGTTAACAATGCAAGGAGTGGTGGGTCAGTGATGAAAAAGTTGATTTCGTACATTCTTGGACATTATAGCGACTAGTCCTAAGCAAATTGGCCAATGGCTAAAAAGAAGGGGTTCTTTTTGTGCAAGGAAGCAAAATATTGAAAAAATTTGAAAAAATACTACGTTTATTTTACAAGTTCACTAAAGGAACATTCTGAATCGTTTGCAGCGTCTCTAAAATCAGGAACTGTTCGATGTTTTAAAAATTAAATTCAAATTAACGATTCTAAGCAAAAAAATGTTCTATAAGATTTTTTTGTACAGTCAATAATTTTTGAGTTATTTGCGCATGTTTTTCGCGAATATCTCAAACACTACAAGTTTTATCAAAAAAATTATAAGCAAAAATGAAGATAATTAAATAGCAAAGAGATGTCTTTTTTTATTTTTGTAGATGGTATAGAACCCGAGTTATGATTCCCAGAAGTTGAATGCAGCAAAAGAATATTTTAAACTGTTAAAAACTTTTTTTCTATTTTATGGCCATGGAAGGTTAGTTTTTAAGGATTTTTAAGGGTTGAAAAGTAATTAAATTTCATAAAGTATATTAAAAAACATGAAAGGAACTTTATCCAACATATTTGAACATGAATTGAATCTTTAAAATACGTAAATCTGCGATTTTCAGATTTTTTTCGTACAAGGGTAGTTTTCACCCCCAAATAGAAAAAAGCACACATCTAGACAATATAACTTTTGAATGTATGCAAATTTTCAGGAAAATCCATGCTATCCGAAAAAATTGGAGCTTTTACTTTATTTTCTCCTTAAAACCTGTACAGACGCCACTGGCAAAAATAATAAAATTGTTTGTACATCGGAAAATGCATCTCGATGAATAGAAGGCGTGTAGCAAATTTGAAAAAATATCTAGGGTAATACCAAAGTTATCATAAAAAAATGTTTTTTCATAAAACTTTAGCACCCTGTAGTTCAAAAGTTAAGATATTTAGGACATATGTTCATATGAAGTTTTTTTTAAAATGGACCCAAGAATAACCTCCTTAAATATTAGCACGTTATTAAGAAACACCTGTATACAGCCGCTCCGTACCGTTAATGGTTCACCCTGTATATATTTTATGGTAATGAAAATAATTGGTCTGTCAAATCCATGTTTTTTAAGAAGGGCAAATATCTAATCAATGCTACCAACAAAGGTTGTTACACGGTACCCTGTATGTGCCTCTTGTGTAGAGGTATCCTAGAAAGCGAACTCTTATCGCTTCAGTAAGCTCGACGCGGGGTTTCGCCTCGTTTTGAGATATTTTTTTTGAACTTCCTCCGCTCTTTGATCTGAACGCAACACCCACGGGTCGATAATTGCCTCGAATTATACACCAGAAAAGAGCAATTGTTCTTCCAGCCGGCCAACGTTAAATGTCAAACAGATCCGATAACTTTCACTATTCCACAACTGCCGGTAACAGGTTGTCGCGGGTAATGAAGCATGGAGCACATGTTTTAATGTAAATATCGTTATTTTCCGCATAATTTGAACGGGATAGACAACGCGTGGCCTTGCCGTACCTCTAGAAGGTGGGGTGGACCAGTTTGTGGGATGAGCATTAGAATATAGCCTCGGGTTGTTGAAAAGTTTCTTTGATGTTTTAGGATGTTTGGGATAAAGATGAAATTACCAAACTAGTTTTATACGTGTTTTTTTAGATAAAATAAAAACTGTTTCGATATATTCAAATTCTAATTTATTTAAAAAGAAAATGCAATTTTGAGTCTACAAGCCTTCTTCTCCTTCCATTACAGTACAGTCTGCGTCAGCTGGACCTGTCCTTGCTCTCCCAGTTGTGGTCCTTGAACGAGTCCATACAGGACTTCAGGCAGATCCTCCAGGACCAGGAGGACAGAGTGATGTCGCCGCCTTCGCCTTCTCCCACGCCTTCCTCCGGTGAGGACATGGACGGAGACGAGTTCTACATGTCGGCCAGCTCTCTGAACTTCAGGCCGGCGCCACCGCCGCCCCCGAGCGTGCGGCGGCCGAGTAGCTCCTCCAACGCCTCCAGTCTGGGGTAGCCTTTGAGGGTGAGTCGCAAGTAATTTAATTTCCTTTGTTAGCTCTAAAGCAGTGGCGGCTCATTACATTGTGAATAGGTGAGGACTGTGGCTTTTTTACTGGGTGGGCAAGAAAAAACAAGCACAGTCCCCCCACTCCTCACTCTTTGACTCTGCTCGGTTTGATTTGTACTATCCCTTACATTGACATCACTACCCGCGTACTATGCGACGCGTGCATTAACCGCGAGCTGAAACACTAAAACTGTAAGCAGCTTTGAACCGGCCTCAGTTCCCTCTTAAATCACGTTATTTTAACAGCTTCGCGTGGAAGGGGAACTGTAGCAACTATTATTTTGATTTTTGATAAGTTATTGGAAATTAATTTACCTAACTGTTTATTTAGGTTAATAGTATAATAGTGGTATTAAAATATACGGTGTGAGAACCAATTTGGAGGTTGTAACAAAATGTCAATATCTAAGGAAAAAAAACTCTCTAAAAAAGATATTTAATTATATTCCAGTGCTAAAATAGTAGGCACTAGACTTCATAAGTTTATGCACAATTACGCTTCTTTAATTGCCACCATACCACTGGGAGCTAAATCCCATCGAATCTGGATGAATATAAACATAAAATAAATATCTAATTTATTTTGTTTCTATTGTGAAAAATTGGTAAACCTGATGTTAATAATATAAAACTCAAAAAAGTTGAGCATCATATTTATCCAGTGAATTAAAATAAGTGTTTAATAAAAATATAAGCACCTCACTATCTAGATTAAGTGCATAACGCTTGTTTCTATTAATTATAGTTTCCGTTTCAGATTTCAACATAACCTAGTAAAATCGGCGTATCCTGGCCGTAGTCTACTTCCATGTCTTTAATACATTTGCATAATCGTTCTTTGTCCACCACCAAGAGAAAGACTTTTATGTATTTATGCGTGTCGAATACAAAACTAAAGTAAAACACATATTTGTAGGTGATCCGTACGTGACTGTAGGTATTTATTGTTTTGCTATAAGTAGTTATTGTCCTGGATACAAAGAAATCTGTTTAAGATTGAAACAATAGAAAGTATTCAATATTATGAAGGGCTTTAATTTGGATTTTTGAAAAACTCTTGTAACTACAGAACTATTTTTATTTTAACCAGGGCAATAATTACCGGGCAGTCCATTTTTGTGATAAAATTCTTGCACTTAATGTTATTTTAAAGGTAGTGTTTAAAGGTGTACAAAGTTTTACATTAATGTGCTCTAGTATTTAATATGATTAATCATCTAATATAGTTGGTAGTTTTAGTTGAAAGGGTCGCAAAAAAATTGTGTCCAAGGTTAGGATTCTCATTTAGGCAGTTAGTTCTTTCTTAATTTAATTTATCAGAAGGGGGATTTTATTTTGTTCAAGACGTAGAAGCTATGGAGCTGTAATAACTTTTATTAATATTCTAACAGCGACTGAATAAAATTTTAATTATATATTCGTTTTTTTTTCTCCCCATATATCCTTTCCCATTGTGCCACTAAGTGAAACTTCTCTTGTAAAATGCTGTGTACCTTAAAAATGGAAACGTTCGGGACCAGATTCCAACACTTTGGAAATTTTTGGAAGAGGTAGTTAAATGGAAATAAAACACTTGCATACAAAGTAAAAGTTGAGTAAGAAACTTTAATACAACGTACTTGAACAAACCTTAAGTACTGCACTAACAGCACCAAACTAAAAGATAATGTGAGTTCAGTTTGATAAGAATAGTTCATAGAACCAACTGTCTTTTAGATTTTTACTGTACTTTCTGAAATGATGGATTAAGTTAGAGCACGCACGAAGGCCTTTCATTGAGCGCGTCAGACCTATAAGCGCAGAGACACCTCTTGGTGCCCAAGCCGTTTGGAAGGCAGATGTGCTCTGGGGGACACTGGTTTTTGTAGTACTGGCAGACGTTGGTTAGAGATGGACAACTGTTGGCGACAGCCACCAGACCGTATAGCTTGTTTCCACTACCCTCCAGTGGGACTTGGAGAGGGGGCACTCTCTTCAATGTGTATTTGTCCACGCCCTCTATTTTCTTCCTGAAAACAATACGACATTTGTAAAATACAAACTAATTTGAAATCATAATTTCTAAAATGATCGAGTTTGTTTATATACTTACGAAATCCAATCGGACCAATAGACGTGTTTGTCTGTCACGGCGACACCAAACGGATAAGTACAGTTGACTGCGATGGTCTGCTTCACTTTGTTGTCAATCTGCACGCACTCGATCTTCTTGGAACCGGCGTCTGCGTAACACAATTGTTCCGTATCGTAGTCAATCGTCAAAGAATTGGGCAGCAAAACCGAGTCCCCTCGCAGGAAAATCTGTCTGTCCGTACCGTCAGCGTTCGCCCACTCTATCTTTGGATTCTTGCGGTCCCAGTCGGTCCAAAATATCTTCCCTCTTTGAGGATGCACGGCTATTCCTCGGGGATTCACCAAGTCCGTGTTGAAGAGAGTTCGGCGGAGTTTGGAATCCAAATTAGCCACTTCGATTGTGTCGTTTGTCGAGTCTGTCCAGTAGATGTTTCGGGACACCCAGTCCACCGCTAATCCCTCGGGAGAACCAATGGCTAAAAAAAGTGACGTGACATTTTATCTCCTTTGTCACTAACCCTTCTTTACTAGAAAGCAAATCTGCAAACATATAGCAATACTTACCATCTTTTATGAAGTCCTCTTTTTTGCTACCATCGAACAAGGCACTTCTTATAGCTCTGCCGGTGATATCGCTCCAATAGATTCTTCCTTCCATACAGTCGACGTCCAATCCTACCGCCGTTTGGTAGCCCTTCACCTGTACGGCTTTTTTCGTAAGGGTCTTCGTTGGTTCAAGGGGTATCTTCAAAGTAGCCATACCTTTATTCACAAGGAGGAAGTTGCCTTCGTGTCGAGAAATTTCGCGGCATACGGTGCCGTTGCCCACGTATCCTCCGCTGCACTGGCAAATGTATCGTCGGTTAGCATCTGAAAATGAAATTCAATCAGTTTAATTTGTTAGCTTGCTCGCTAAATGTGACCAATGAAAAAATCGTACCTGTGAGGCAAACAGCGTGTGGATCGCACATACTAGGATCAACATGACAGTTCCTTTCGGCGTAGCAATTGATTCCGTCTCCAAAGAAGCCTTCCTTGCAAAGACATTTGTACGATAAGGCTTCCTCTAAGTATTGACAAGTGGCATGGGTGCCACAGTTGTTCAGAGTGTCACATCCTACCACTTTCTCTCTGCATTCGGTGATGCCGTCTCCTACGTATCCTGGTTTACATGCACAGTAGAACGTCTGATAGATCTCATCAAAGACACATTCTGCGTTTTCGACGCAGGTCCCACCACCGCACGACCCTCCTACGATCACACATTGGTGTTGAGAGTCCCTGACGTATCCTAAATTAGAGAGAAATCAGTTGACTGCATAGACTTCAACCAAAATTTGGATTATGAACATTTACAAACAGCAGATACTTATAATGAATGTAAGGAATGGTAAGTTATATAAAACCTTACTATTAATTTATAACTGAGAGGTCTAAATGACTTTCCCCGTCTCCCTTGCAACTCCCCCACCACATTTTTCTCTACCTCCCCCACTTTTGTCTCAATTGACCAATCAGAGGCTGGAGAGTCTGTGCAGCCAATCAAAGGGTTCTAAATCCTCCAATCAGCTGTAGGAAAGTTCTAATCAACCCCCTACCATTTTATCCCCTCATCAATTTTTATAAAAACAACAGTAGAGACAACAATTTTCTTCTTTAGAATATGCTTTAAGTGTTTTAACATTACAAATAATGGTGATTTATTTAACTATTAAAAAAATACGTACCATCTTTGCAAGAACATTCATAGCGTCCAGAAGCAGTGTTATAGGCACACATTTCAGGAGCAGGACATTCTTCATCTGATCTACAAGTTGCTGGAAAATTACAGTTATATTTGAACAAATACAATACAGAGGATTGATTATTAAATTTTTTAAAGGAATTAACAAAATAATAAGCTACGTCACGAGCGATATACAGGGTGTGTCAAATTTAACGTTAGACCCGAGAGTACTTGATGGAAATTTTAAAAATAAATGGAGTTATTCATATCAGAATTTCTTCAAGAATGCTTCGTTTTCGAGACAGTGTTACAATTACAGAGAAATGTATACAGGGTAGCCCATCGAAATCGTACCGCAAGGCATTACAGGGTAGTAAAGAACTTTTCGGCAAAATCCAAAAACAGGTCAAATTTGTTTCTGAGGGGGACAACTTTTGGCTCAAAAAGCATACCAAAATCTTCAACCCCCTAAGTGGGGGTGCTATCCCCTAAATTTTTTCAAATGGGAATGGGGGTCAAGTGGGGGGTCATTAGAAAGGGCTTTTAATTCTCTATACATCGATTCTTACTTTTTGAAAATCGATTCATTATTTTAGAAAATATGCAGCTTTGAAAATACGAACAATATTTTTGACGAGAAATGCGAAAATCGATTTAATTTTACTTCAAAACTTACGGTATTAGTCAAGTAAATGCTGAAAATGTTGTCCGCCAACTTGCATACAATGATACAGGTTGTCTTCAAACCGTTGTCGAACATTCTGGAGCACTTGCGGTGTTACTTCGCGACATACATTAATGATTCGTCCTCGCAGATCTTCCAAGGTATCAGGTGGAGTGCTGTAAACTTTGCTTTTAATGTGCCCCCAGAGAAAGAAATCTAAAGGATTTAAGTCGGGTGACCGAGGGGGCCACTCAATTGCACCTCTTCGTCCTATCCAGCGTCCTGGAAACGTCTCATTTAGGTAATTGCGCACATTGAGCGAGTAATGTGGAGGAGCTCCGTCTTGCTGGAAAATCAGTTCGTGTTCATTGTAAGCAGGGTCGTCCTCTATGATATTTGTTAGAGCTGGGTCGATGACATTTTGTAGTAAATCCAAGTACATATCGCCTGTCAAATTTCCAGGAAGGAAAAAAGGACCTACAATGGAATTTCCAAAAATACCTGCCCATACATTCAACTTCTGGGGGTGTTGGGAGTGTGTCTCATGGAAAATCCTTGGATTGGTATCAGCCCAGTAACGACAATTATGGCGATTCACTAAACCATTCAAGAAGAACGTACACTCGTCCGAAAAACACACATTAAAGAGGAAATTATCGTTTATCGCTCGTTCAGTCATTATTTCGCAAAATTGCAAACGACGATCAAAATCGTCTTCATTTAGCTCTTGCACTAGCCGAATCTTATAAGGATGGAATTTGTATTTTTTTAATATTCGTTGGACACTTGTACGACTCACTCCTGTCGCAGTAGCCAATTGCATTGTACTCAGCGTACTATCCATTGCCACTTGCCCCAATACCGCTATTTCCGTAGGTTCATTTAGTACCGGATTTTCAACCTGCCTCTTTTTGTTATGAACGGAGCCAGTTTCGCGAAATTTGGCCACCAATTCGCGAACAATTTTTCCAGACGCATGTTTCTCAGGATGCCGTTGGTTGAACAGTTCGGCGACCCGATTTCCGCATTCATTGTTTTTGAAAAAAAGCTCAATAATTTCTACTCTTTCTGGAATTGAGTACACCATAATTAATCAATTTAAAAGACTCGGCAGTATTGGTACTCTTCAACTACAAGTCACAAGACAGTTATCTAGCAACTTCTTGTGGCCTATCTAAATACGAAACAAAAAGCGGACAATTTTTTGCTCACCAAAATCAGGCTAAAGAATTCGCAAATCAGAAAAAAAACAGCGAATTCTTTTGAAGGAATTTACCAAGCTAATACCGTAAGTTTTGAAGTAAAATTAAATCGATTTTCGCATTTCTCGTCAAAAATATTGTTCGTATTTTCAAAGCTGCATATTTTCTAAAATAATGGATCGATTTTCAAAAAGTAAGAATCGATGTATAGAGAATTAAAAGCCCTTTCTAATGACCCCCCACTTGACCCCCATTCCCATTTAAAAAAATTTGGGGGATGGCACCCCCACTTAGGGGGTTGAAGATTTTGCTATGCTTTTTGCGCCAAAAGTTGTCCCCCTCAGAAGCAAACTTTACCTGTTTTTGGATTTTGCCGAAAAGTTCATTACTACTCTGTAATGCCTTGCGGTACGTTTTCGATGGGCTACCCTGTATATTATTTATTGCTTTTCGGAACTAAGAGAGCCGTTCTATGACATTACTTTGTATTCATCACAGTTTCATGGCAAACTCGATTTTTTTATATTAATATTTGATTTAATATTTTAATTTCAATTGAACTATTTTAAAAAAAGAATAAAAAAAATTAGATTGTTTAAACTGCTCGCCATTTTGATTTAAACATTTTCCGATAAACACTAGGTATATTTTATTTCACCCGGAGCTTCTCTGATTGGTTCAGTTAGTTGTTCCGCTACAGTAATGGGAACTTCATAAACCTTTAGTTCATCTATGTTCAAATTGGTAAATCGAGAGGTGTCAGGTCGGGTAAGCGCAGTGGTCATAGAATTAAACGACAAAAATCCGCAATTTTCAGCGTTTCATGTAAATGTTTTGCTCGTATTCATTGTAAACTATTTGTATGGTCCCTTTATTTTTCCCGATACGTAATTCAAAAGAACTTTTACGTTCTCTTCAAGAAGATTTAATCACTCAGTTAGATGTTCCTTTAAATTTACTACAGAATTGTTGGACTCAATTGGAAACGAAGCGTTTTCAAAGAAATGTTCAAATCTGACTCACCCTGTAGGCGCATATTACCTGAAACGCTGCAGTTGTAACCGTCTCCCTCAAATCCGGGATTGCAAACACACTTGGACCTCCCCAGGTTTTCGTCATACGTGCAAGTGGCGTGTTGGTCGCAGTTGTTGACTTTGGTGCAAGAAACGTATTCGACTTCACAAATATATCCGTCTCCTTCGAAACCGTCGTTGCAGACGCACGCATATTCTTTTAGGTGATCGGAGAAGAGACAGGAGGCGTCTCTGTGACAGTTGTTGACCACGTCGCAAGTAGCTGGAAGCAGAGGATTTATACGTGGCAAATTGTCATTGCACTAAGTCAAATACACTAGTCACAGAAATTAAGGGATATTAAAAAAATCCCAAAATTTTGGGTGATTTTCAAAGAGCTGTAACTTGGAGGGAAATGGTCGTAGAGAGAATCAAAATGAACAAAATTAAAGCTTCAAGTTTCTAGTCTTCGTGTCTTGATTTTAAAATTTTTTTGCTTTAGCAGTTTTTGAGTAATCATAAGAAAATCGATGAAATAAAAATTGTAAATTTTTGCTTTTCTTTAAAAAGCCCTACGGACTTCAAAAATTTTTTTGGTAATTTCACCATAAAGCTTCTTTAGATAATTTAATTCTCTTCAATTTGAGCTGTTTCGGAACCCTATACGATGATTTGTCACTGAGTTATCTTCGATCAAAGCAAGAAAATCATTTTTGACTTTGGCAATCAATTATTCGGAAAATAATAGTCGTACAGAAAATCCATTCCATTTTTTATCAGCAAAATTTTTTTATCAAAAACCAATAATTACGACTTGTAGAGAATACTTGGTAGTTTTCGAAACCCTGCTTGGATTTTCTGTACGACCATTATTTCTTGAGTAATTGATTGCCAATTGATTTGCTTTGATCGACGATAACTAAGCGACAAATCATGGTACAGGGCTCCGTGACCGCTCAAATTGAAGAGAATTAAATTATCTAAAAGAGCTAAGAAATTTTGAAGTTCATAGGCCTTTTTAAAGAAAAGCAAACATTTGCAATTTTGTTGATTTTCTTATGATTACTCAAAAACCGCTGACGCTAAATTTAAACTCCAGAATCGAAAACTAGACACTTGAAGCTTCAATTTCCTTATTTTTTATTCTCTCTATGACCATTTTCCCCAAAGTTGTAGCTCTTTGAAAATCAACCAAAATTTTGTGATTTTTTAGTGATTACAGTCAACCAAGTCAATCAAATTATGTGGCATGTGGATATATAATATTTAAACAATTTTTCATATTTTGTTATGGGATATATTGTGAATCGCTCTATATTTCGAGTGCATACAAAGTGGTGCCTAAATTAACTGAACTTTATTTGAATGTCCCTAAAAAAAGTTCCTGTGGTAACTTATCGTTGAAATCTCCAATCTGCATTTCCATTAAATGATATTTTTTTAGATATTTCTTTTATCAATAATTACAATTTAGTATTTTAATTCAGTGAAGCAGATAATAGATCATTAAATTTGAATCTATAACTTTTTTATACCTACCTATAGCTGCTCAAGGGGTAACAGGTCCTAATACTACCTTGTGTGCACGAAATCAAGGATCATTTTTGAACTTTCTTTTTATTGTATCGGTTTTGTGTACACGATAATAGAAGTCTTAAAATGCTTAAAGAAGTTTTTTTTAACATTTTTTAGATGCGACAGGTGTCGCAGTTGAATCTCTACCAACCACAGCAAAGCACCTTGAGCAGAAAACAAAGGAAATTTTGAAATTATGGGCAAAATTCTAGGGAAATATCTACGCAGGATTTTGTTGAAATATTGATTTAAAAAAAAATGGCGTTAGTTTGAAAGTAAACCTTTCTTTTTTGATGCAAAAATCGATAGTAAATCGTTAATAGAATTGGTGAATTTTTATCAATCAAAAAATGTTATTATTCATCGATCGGTACAAAATATAAGCGCCAGAGGTACGCTAAGTTCGGAAAACATGATTTTGAGAAAAACGCGTTTTAAATTGACCTACTAAAATATCAAGGAAAACTTATTAGGTCCTAACAAATTTTTTAGCATCAGTTGTTAGCCTGGCTTGAAAATTCAAGTAGTGAAGACATCGAGGTACTGGACTAATTTAGAAAATTAATAAGATGAAACATAAAAATTAACATTGTCGACGCCATACATACTGCACCGAAATTAACTACTTACAAAACGACGCTTTAACAACAATCATAAATTAGAATTTTGCTTTAATTGAATTTGTTTCTTGCACAAATATCCTTTAGGATATCATTTTAGGCTACTTTGGGGAGCCTTTCGGCCAATAAAAAAATGGAAAAAAATGTATAAGTAGTAAAAGATAAATCTCATTTAACTGTTCTTTTTTTTAAGTCGTATAAAACTATAGACAAAACAATGAATGTGTTGGGGAACAAAAGAGAAAACTAAATCCCAGGTAAGTATGTATATCAAAATTGGAAATTACTTTTAACATTTGAAGCGCCCATTGTTGTAATTGGACCACCTTTAGCAACCTCACATCTATTATCTCCTCGAATATAAGTATATCCCCTTGGGCAGAAGCATACTGAGGAGTTATAACATTGCACCTCCGGATTACTGGTTTCTACTAAAACAATAATACTGGGTGATTCACAACTAATTAAAAAAAAATTGGGAATGGACGCGTCATGAAAAATGGAGTCAATATCGTAAAAGAATTTTTTTTAATATCCTTACTTATAGTTTCCGAGAAAAAAATTATTGAAATTGTAATATTTTCAACCTTTACATCGCTTCCACTTGGCCCCAAGCAATTCCGAATACTGAAATCCGATTTTAGTGTTTACATTAATTTTTCAAGTGTCAAAAATGGCTTACGTCTACAGCAACTCGGAGTTGATGGATCTCGTTTTAAGTTATGGAGAAGCAAAGCAACATTTGTGTTATGGTGAAGCAAGACAACATTTGTGTTAGGGAAAGACAGGCCCAAATGTGTTTACATGTCAGTAGACAGAATTTTGAACAGTTGTAACATCGGGGAAGTCAAATTATTTCATTAATTAAAATCACAAATTAATTTTATTAATTAATAGTAGCAACAGTGGCAAAAGTAGTTGAATTTGCTGATATAAAACAGGTGTTATAAAATTTTATTTATTTTCAATTTTTTGTCCGTTTATTTTTATCACACTTTGCCGCCGTGTCTGTCGCCGACTGCATGCTTTGCCTTGCGCAAGGTCATGTTTTACAGTGGACCAGTTTCCAGTGCCGTACAGAAGTGTATTTTTAAATCGTTTTCAAAATGTCCTTTTTAATTTTTTTTACAAAATTGTATTTGTAAGAGTTCTGTGTACATTCAAAAATTTTTTGTTTGGATAAGCTCTGAATCACCCTGTATATACTTAAGGATGTACGCCCTTGTTACATAAAACAAGGCCCTTTAACTACCTTTTAAGCCAATAAATGATGTCTGAATGGAACTGTTGCAACCTCCTTGTTTAAAAAAGGGCTGAGTTTGTGTTTTTCACCAAATAACTTTCATAGGCGTCGAGTGGGAGGGGGGGGGGATTGAGGCGCTCAAGTCTTCCCCTCCTGAAATATGCAAACATGAAGTAGCTAGGCTGTGTAACATATGAATTCAGCTGAGCCACCTCTGAAATCCTCAAAACCCGACGCATATGATAACTTTCATTAATGAAACAGTACCTTCGGTTTCTGGCAACGTTGTAATCTCAACTGGATACGTCACTTCTTCAGTTGGTGTGCAATAGTTTGTCCCCACTTCCACTTTGTAGCCTTCTGGGCAGTAGCAAATTTCCCCGGAACATGTTTGAGGTTCTTTTCGGACAGAACCTGATACAAAGAAATCGGCATTAATCAAAATAAAAACAGCTTGCCTCTTTTCTACATACTCTGTCTCTGATTTCTCAAAATGTTCCTACGTTACTTAAAATAGTTTTCTTTTGTCCTACAAGTATACTTACTTATAGTAGTTGTAATTTCCGGAAAATTACCAGTTGTGGTCTCTACTTGTACGCAGTTGTATCCGTCTCCTGCGTATCCAGGCAAGCAAGCGCAGTAGTAATTGTTATTATCTGGATTGATGTAACAGTAACCAAATGGCGAACAGTTATTAGCTTCATGGCAACTGTGACCGGCTTTGGGCGTACAGTATTGCCCATCCCCTGAAATTTTTATTTTTATGCCAGTCAGTAACATGAAAGGTATCTCTGTAAAATTATAAACGTCATAATCTTTTCGTAAAACATGAAATTTGAAGGCATCCCGATCCCGAATCTATAAATTTTATTAAAATTTAATTTTTTAACCGAGAAAACGAGGTTTTCCAATTTTTCCAGTTTTTTTCCCGAACTGTTAAATCTCTAATTTTAACCCTGTATCATGAAAGACTGATAGCAATCTACTGTCATTTTCAAGCTGATTCATCTTCAAAGGGAAAAGAGAACTAATCCCTAGATCCCTTTTATTAATGTTGACCAAGAAAGATTAGTAACCGAATTAAGGGACACTATTTATATTGCGTAAAAGAGATTGTCCTTCTTTATCTGCCTACTGTACCTGAAAATCCTGGCTGGCACCTACAAGCTGCCACGTCGTTGTTCTCCACACACTCCGCGTTTTCGTTGCAAGTGATATTTACGCAAGACCTGGCATTCTCGCAGACGAAGCCGGTTCCTTCATACCCAGGATTGCACTGGCAGCTATAACTACCGACCACATTTACGCACTGGGCGTTGTAGTCGCACTCGTGCTGGCCGGTTTGACACTCGTTGATGTCTGCACAAACTGTCTCGCTTCCGGAATAGAAGTTTTGATAGCCGGGGCTACAAACGCACCTGAAGGAGTCGTTTTCGACGACGCACGCGCTGTTTGCCGTGCACTGAGACCGGCCTTCTTCGCAAGGGTCGTAATCTGGAAAGAAACATTAAAATGTATGGACTTAAACTTAAAGAACTGAAACATGCTTCATCTGTAACAAGTATTTGCGCTGTAAATTGAGAATTTCTGGCGTGTTCCTGAAGCAACCATTCGCAAAATCCTCGACGTAGTGGAAAATCCTCAGGAGTAAGCGCTTAAACACGTTAAATATGAAATTTCAAAAGAATACTTGGAAATACGGCTATTAAATGTACCCTCGAAAAACAGCACAGCAATCACTACAACAATGTATTACGAACTGGCGACATTCGAATACAGTCCGGCTTCATAAAAAACCTACAAACTCGTAAAAAGTATTACAGAATTTTTTGTAAGTACTCGCCGCGATAAAATACATATATTTCAGCAGTTCCAAAACAGTTTTAAACATATTTTTAATTAGCTTTTGTCTCTATGACTTTAAACTTCCAATACAAGTTTGTGACTTCAGTTAACTCAGTTTTTGCTCCTTTTTCACCCCTTTAAATTTTTAACATAAGTTCATTAACATGTGTATAGTGGCCATGGTTTTACAGAAGTGACTTTGGTTTTGTAATACTCATGTACAAGCATGAAATTTCATAAACTACAGTTTAGTTAGATTAACAGTGAGAACTAAATGTTGAAAAATACTTGCTGAATTATTCGATTTGTTAGCTCGAACAAATCTCAAGATTACTCAGAACTTACCACCCAAAGGCGTGATTTTGTTGCTCAATCCGTATCTCACGATCTGCTCGCGAGTTTCATAACTGATGAAATTTTTTCCCACTTTGAGTTTCCAGGACTCCCCCACCGATTTGTTTTCGAATTTGCAGTAATCGAATACAAAGGTTTGGTCGACAGTGTACAACTGAATATATTCCTCGTTGGTTGGAGTTACGTATCTGAAGGACCGCTGCGAAGTCATCTGGATCACTCCTGGATTGGTGTATGAGTATTGCTCTTGGTATTCGTCGATGATGACCTGAAAACTCTCAATATGTACGTTATTGGGAAATGAAAACATGCTTTCAATTTTTTTGTTGTGAATTTAAGGCAAGGTTTGGACGAATGAGGTTATTTTTCATTTTACTGACATTTATCGAGAGAAAGATATAACAAATAGTTAAAACAAATTACTGTTGGGAAGAAACTGCTAACCGTACCTTAGATCCGTGAGGTAAATTAGGAATTTCCCCCTGTATATCAGCCTCCAAACGAAGTTGATCGAAGACGTCTAATCCCAAATACTTTTGCTTGATTCTAATCACTTGACTTGTATTTAAAAACGTTAGAACTGTTGAATGGTTAAACACACCACCAGTTAATTGGTAACTGAAACCAAAATAAGATCTAAGCAAGCCTTGAAACCGAACGAGCAAGGGAACAATTGAAAGACATTGGGGAGGTGGATAAGATCAAATTAAAGTACTTGAACAAATTTTCTTACCCGTTTAAAGCATTTTTGACAGGTTTAGCAAACAGATATCCGATGACGCTTCCTAAAATTTGTAGAGATTGTACATCGAACCCTATAGACTCCGGAATTCTAGATATGGCGGTGTAGGCTCTGCCGTCGGCCATTGAAATGTACGATTGTAAGTCAAATCCTTCCAATTTTTCCTCGTTTATTTTACCGTGAATTTTCCCATTGACTCGTAGGGGAACATCTGTACACGAATAAAATTTTTAAACTTTTTTAAGATCATGTTTCAATTGTTACCTTTTATTATACAATATTTTCCATTTCCGTAGTATCTTGGATTGCACTCGCAGCAAAAACCGTCTTCGTAGTCAATACATTTCGCCTGTACATGGCAATATGAGGCGGCTTCTGAACATGAAGTTGGGGTTGCCGATGGTTGTTTGTCTTAAAAAAGTGTTTGTAATAAATTAGAATAGGTCATATGACATTAAATAGAAATCTAGAGGAAGGTGGCATAGTTTATATACTTTATTGGCAAAAATATCTCCAAAATTAAACTTTAATTTACAGGTACTGATGGTAAGTTGAAGCTAAGAGGATTATTGGATAAACAGTTTGCTTTATTTCTGCCTGCATGTTAATTACTTATTATTATTTCATCAAAAATGAAGGTTTTTTTTTCATTAGATTTCGTACAAAATTTTAACTAAAGAATGTATTTTTGTAGAAAAAAAATACACCCAAACTATTTCCACCCTCCTGAATTAATTTATAAAGTTTGATTTTGTTTAAAGTTAAAGTTAAGGGGATACGTGTCTTTTTTTTCGTAGATTCAAACTGCTTGTTTTTATGTAGGTAGTTTCATCTAAAAATAACATATTTGCACATTATAAATAATAAATCAAATTGTTTTACTTCCATATTCTAGCAATACTTACGTACCAAATTCAGTATCTGGTTCCCTTATATCACTTTCATCTACTTTGTAAATGAATTGTCCTTCGAGTCCTATATTAGACCACCTGAAACGTAATAATTGCGATATTCATGTGAGTATGCAGAATTTTAAATGACGTTCAAGGATATACATCACATGACTTGTTCGAAGGGTTATTAAAAATGAAAAAACCGCGGGGTGCTATTAAATTAGAGGGTTGAAATTGAAGATAGGGGTGAAAATGCACTTTTGCAATTTTTTAAAAATAGCACGAATACGAAGCAAAATTTCGGTATTAGTTCATAGGAAAAATTTTGTAGAGAATTGAATTTCCCGTCGAAATGATTTATTTAAAAAATTTAAAAGAAAAATTTTATGCAAAAAATCGTTAATAAAAAATTTTAAAAAATAAGATAATAAAATAAGATTTTCTTATTTTGTTTTACTTTTTTGACTAAATTTTTTGTAGTGACTGAATTTAGATTTTTTTCCCTACAAAACAAATACCTACCTGTCCAAATTGCGTACTTTTTCCGTCCCAGATCCAGGCAGTGTAAAAAGTTTTCCATCAGGCGAAATGATTCCCGCTTGCGCTCTGGCATCTGGCAAGCCAGATCTGTCGCCAGTTCCCTGGATCCATTGGAGACCGTTCTCTGGATATAAAAATTCCACATAGGTCTCCACACCATCAGTAATTATAACCACCTGATATGTGTTGACTTTGTCTTCACCTTCTTTGTAGTAGCCAACACCTGAGAATGTTCATAGAAAGACTGTCTTTATTTATAAATTTATTGCTTTATAACCGCATATTAAATGAAAAACTATGTTGTTTTACCAATTAGCTCCAAATATGTTCAATGTTTATATAGAGAAGGATGTTTTCGAAAGTTGGGTTTTAATTTTCAGTAATTAAATAAAAGAAAGTAATTAAAAATACACTTGTAACTTACCATCCCATGTCACAATGAACAAACTAGTAGCTTGAAAATCAGCGGAATTGATGTATGCTTCATGTACATTTTCCGTGGCTCTTTGCAATAAAGAAGGCTTGTCTGTTTCATAATAAGAAATTGTGCCTGCTTTCCTTGTGTCAACATTTGAGTAGAAGGGAGCTATTATAGGATAGTCCAAAGGAAATTGTATGTTGATAAATTGAGGGATCTCTGTTTGAAAAGAAAGTAGTCCATTTGAATTCACCTGAAACGGCAAAAAAGGGACAGATTCAGTTTTATCACAAAATGTAATAGTACTTTATACAGGGCGTTCACTACGTAATTCTTCAATATCTAAGCTATAATATTTTTAAAAAATGACAATTTTAATCATTTTCAACCATTAAAAAACTATACAAGAAGTTCGGTATCAAAATGCCGACACAAATATATTTTCTGAAATTCTTCATTATATAATTTTTTTACACAATTGAAACCTATGAAAAAGATCTAAGTATATAAAAATGTCATACATTAATCAAAGCCTAGTCATTTTTAATTTTTTTTAAAACTGTACATGTAAATCTTTCAAAAGTAATTATACCTAATAATAATAATACACGACATATTCCATTAAAAATTGAAACAAACTATATAACAAAGCTGATTTCTTTCATAACAGATTTACAGAGGTTAATATGAGTATACTTCCGTCAAATTTTAAATAAAAATTTCAGGAAATGTGGAAGCTAGCACTGCTACAGCTATTTTATTCATATTTCAGCTAATATCCCAGAAATTAGTCAAAACCTTAATATGCTTGTATTTGTCCAACTGGTAAATTAAAAATTAAAACATGTCGTATCTCTTTATAGCGGTAGAATCTGCCTATATGTGTTATTGTTATTTACGATGATTATATTAATAGTGAATTTAACCCTTAATCTCAAAAAATATGTATTCAGTTGTAAGAGTTGACTTTTGCCCAGTTATTTTGTATGTCATATCCAACAATGTTGAAATTTATAATTCTGATATGATAATAAGATCTCGAACACAGTTATGTTTCTCAGATTAAACTATAATTCAAAATTAGAATGACTATTTTATCAGAAATATTTATATAAATTTATTAGTCCAAAAAAATTTATAAAGATGACACAATATTAGATTTTATAATTAACACAAAATTAAGGAGATTATGTGGAGAGATCAATAACCTGCAGTTATTAGTGTTTCATTCACTAAATCTTCCTATCATTTTAAACGGAAAAAACATGCTGCCTATATTTACATTAATATTTATAAAATTAAAAATTATCAGTGACCTTGTTACACCACTGGCACTAAGGTTAAAAAAGTAAAAACATAACGAATATGCTGTATTTGCCAAATACTGGTTTGTAACTTTACATTATAACAAAGAATTTGATAAATTAGTTATGAAATAATGCAATTTCTGCATTTATTTAATCTTTTGCGCTGGGAAACCCAGATCAAAATTTAAAATTACTGCAAAACTAGATAAAATGTCAGAAAATCCCCTATTTTATGTGATAAATGAAAGAGTAGATAGTCAGATTTGTATTCCATTTTTTTCTTCGTTTAAATATGTTGATCCCTTTGACAGCTATGAGTTAGCTACTTGTAGCTACTTCCATATGAGCTGTAACATAGCAAAAGCGAAAATGAAGGAGCAAATTCCAATTTTCCTTTACAAATATTTGTCTTCCTAGTCCTCGTTTTTTGAGGAGCAAGTTAAGATATACTATAGGTTTGTTTGTTTTATAAATACTGAATTTCTCTAATGATTCTCAAGATGATTAACTGCACTTGCCGTTTTGTTAAACCTCGTAGTTCTCATATCGACCTCCTTTTTTTGTTATGAGTGTCCCTAAATAAATTGACTAAATTAAGGAAAAAGAAAAATCGTTATTAACAGACGCAGTACAAACAACTTAAACTTGAAAATCTTTCAATGAAATTTGTTAGTAATAAAGTGACTGACCCAATGTTAGTGGTTGATTGACCTGTAATCTTTAATTCCAAGAAATGTATGACCAGATTCTGGCGGCAAAATCCATTTCAAGCTCATTATAAAGGCAATATTTCCAAGAAAAACCCTAGAAAGATTATGTAGGTTTATAGTACGTAATTTCCTTGAAAAGTAAGATTTACAAAGAATATGTAAAATAATCAGCAAAATGAGTAGGTATTCCAAACATGATTTTATTCTTAAATCTATATAAAATTATTTTCTTATAGACATATTTATGTGTAGATTTTTAGATACCTACAGGTGAAATATGATATCGCTGTGATGACTGTGAAAATGAATTAATAAATATTTTCTATGTTTTGACGATATCTCTTAATAATAATAATGAGAGAAAATGTCAAGCATGTTTATTTAATTAATTTATCATTACTCTTAACTTCCAAATATTTGAATTAAGTTATTTCCTGACCAAACAAACTGTCCTGACGTTAATGTTCTAGATAATCTATTTGGTAGAGTTTTTAACGTATTCTGGGTCGCCCTGAATCTTTTTAACAAAAATGTATATGTTGAAATGTTTGAAAATGTTATTGACAAGATATGTTTGAAGCTCTTATCAAATTCCAAGCTGTATCTTATTTATGAGGGAGAAGTTATTTTTCTCCATAGTTTCCGATTATGAACTACTGTTAAATATCGAAACTGGCTAATCTATACGAACATGCATACAAAAGTGGAAGAACAATGCACCAAGAAGATTCAAAAAATTACTTACGTATATCGTCTCAAAGGGAATTCCAAAAAACACCACCGGCTCCCGCAGCCGAATTTCAGGACTAGAGAAGTCGTCCTCTTTGGACAAGTATACGACCTCAGGAAAGTTATGGTCGTAGAGCAGCGAAACAGGTATACATCGCACGTTCGCGCAGCAAAAACACAAAAAGCACCATATAATTAACCTCATCTTCGCCGGGTCCCAACCGCAGGCTACAAGGCAACTGAGGCTAGGGCACTTATCAGGAAGAAAGAGTATCTTCGGGGTCACAGGTCAGTTTAAAATATACGAGTGGTACGGCGCTCGTTGCCACATATAATCTTATCCGGGCAGTATGTGAATAATTAAGTTGACTTAAGTCGACGATAAGGGTCTTCGAAGTTGAGACACATAGGTGTATGCACTCTTGGAGGGTCTACGCGCTGGATGGACAGGCAGCGCTTGGTTCTTGTATTTATTTGTCCGGATTGTACAGGGTGAACACTTTAATTTGGCATCTAATTTCTTCTAAGTGCGAAATTGGAGAAATGTATAATTTTTTTAAGAAGAAATCTTCTCGACGATTGAAAATCGTACCGAAATATTACCGGTTAAATAAATAACCAATTTTTTATATCAGAGTGTAATAGCAAAGTAGCGACAAAATTTAGAAGTAGAGTTAATTTCACTCCATTTCAGTTTGCGGTAAAGACGACGTAATTAAATGATTTAACGTCTTGAATGTCTTGTTTTGACACAAATCGATATAAGCAAATGCAACCCCATGAATTTTAGTAGACAGCATAATCCTCTAATATCTAAAAATGTACTTTAATAACCAGAGTACGCAAAACTGTGACAAAATGAAAGATTTTGGGATCATTTTAGATTCTAAACTCTCTTTTGTAGACCATTATTGCATCCGAATCAGCTGCTGTTGGCATAAATAGTTTTGTTTTATGAAATTGTAAAGGGTTTTCTAATTTGAATACTTTACTCTACTATTCAACACTTACGTTCGATGCTTCGGTTATCTGGAACCCATCCTATACTGTGCATATAAATGATATAGAGGTTGTTCTTTGCTTTTACATTTTTTCTTAATGCCCTATCTACTTAACACACTTTGACTATAGTATTTGTTTAATCTTTGCTAGACTTTCATAATCGTCTATTCCAACGAAACTGTTTCTTTCACGATCATCTATTTTCCTTTGACGTTTCCTTATTCAGAGCTTCTTCAAACAGTACACGATGAACCTTTGCCAGTAATAAAGAGTTAGCGAAACTATATCGGCCAATGCAACTATTGTTAGTATCAATAATTGACCATTCAGTTTAACCTTATCATTCTGTGTGAGAGATAATAGCTGCCTAAATTTAAATAGGTCAAACACATAAACAGAAAATTCTTTGATCACTAACATAAATAGGTACCTATATTTATGTATATTAACAATATTCGAAAACATATTTTCTTCCTGCATTTCAATGGTTGTTATTAATCAGTAATTTGTTATTTTTTGTTTCTTTATGAAAACATGAGTCACATTAAACAGTTTAAATAATTGCATCGATTTAATATTAAATTATTAAAATATATATAGCGAGACGACAGATCTGAAATAAATATTAGTCGACTGAAATTTCAGGAAATTCGTATTTTCAAACAATGTTCAATTTCACTCTGTAAAATTTTAATAGGTCGTAAAGTAAAATAATGTAACAGATGCTTTGGGACGCAATGCTTTGTAATTTAATCATTCGTAACAAGAGTATATGTAGAAATTAACTGATCTGGATCGAGACACATGCAATAAGGTTGATGGCCCCAAGAAATTAAACTATATTTTCTTTTTCTTTTACCATTTATCTTAGAAGACAGTTAAACAGATATATTCACAAAGCGCCGTATTTATATTTTCAAAGACCTATCCAGAGGTAAAACATCAACAGTCAACTCTCAACAGAAAAATTTATACGAATCAAATCCACAATAAATCAATTAGAATGAGAAAATTTCCTTTTTTTTGTTTCGCTAATATTTAATAAAACAAGTGTAAACTGTATTAATGTACAATTCATCCTGACATTAGTAACAGTAAAAAAATGGTATCTATATTATGATATACTAGGACCTTTAAAAAAATATGAACCGGCACTACCCGAAGGATGTGGTTTTAATTATGAATAATAGCAAAAACAGTTTGACAACGACACGAGGTGTTCCCAAGCTCCTTTAAGGTCCATAGGAATTTTTTCAGATTATTCTGAGCCCTAAAAGTTTTCTAGAAAATCGATAGACCATGAAAATTTCTAAAAAATTAAAGGTGCTTTTCCAAAGGCGGTTCCGTACCCATCTGGGGTCGCTAACACGGTGAGATTACAGGTTTTTATCCAAGTGACCCGTTAAATAGAAAAATCTTTATTAGTTTAATGTAATACTACATAATATATTATAATATTAATATACTATTCAAATATTTTATTTATTAGGAAAGGAAGCGGCGCCATCTATCCATTAAAAGTTCAATTAATTCACAAGTGAAGGTGAGGTTGTTACAGTTTGCTATCTGCGTGAGAATTCTTCCGCAGCTTAGTGCAGTTCCTGAGCGACAGATGGCAGCATGAAACTTATTAATGCAATTTGATTGGTTAATCGACACAAGTGAGCATTGATTGAAAAATTAATTGGAATGATGTACACCACAGCTCTGTGGTATTTCTATGACAAATACATACAGCAATCTCGAAAAGTTCAGACAATTATGCATTTATAATAGGTATTTTTCTATTACAAAACAGCGGCAACCCTGTTTCGCGGGGGAAAGGTGAGAAATTATCAGCAGCAATGATAATTTAAAATTTAAAAACATTCTAATATATACTGAAGTATTAGTGATATTTACATTCTTTACCTGTGAGTAAACAGTAAACTCATTGTTTCAGGTTTTGCATTAAATTCTGTTACCGGTCCACGTATACATATATTTTATATTAAAGTGTGCTATACTTTTCTTCAACATGACTGATGTAAGTTATTTGCGAATCCACAAATTTATTTATTTTAAAAATCTGTACATGTTTTAGGTTAAAGTACATGAATTTAAAGTCACCATGACTTGTGAGGGCTGTTCGGGGGCTGTAGAAAGAGTTCTTGGAAAATTAAAAGGTAGAAGATACCTACATAGACTTTGTGTTATTTGAAAATAAACAATGTATGTAGCTACGAAACTACCAGAGGTTTTAAAACCAGATCAATGTTATTTTTATTTCAGCGTACTACTTAATGTTCCTTTTTTCAGTAGCTGATTGTATTTACTAATCTTAAGTTGGGAAAAACCCTTACACCTGCAGTTTACTAGATCAATGGAAAAACCAAATTTATATGACATTGACACAAAAACTTTCTGTCTTATCAGAACTTTTTTGAGATATAATAGATTAGATATTTTACAATTTTGCGGTGTAATGTGAACGTTAAATTATTTCAGGTAAAGGAGTCGAGGACTTTAATGTAAATTTGGAAAATCAAAAGGTACAAGTGAAGTCATCTTTACCAGCAAACGAAATCTTGGAGGTTATTAAAAAAACCGGCAAGGAAACACAGCTTATCTCATCTGCATAAAAAATATTCAGTTCAAAGATTCCATATTAATTTAACCAAAATTATGCTTAATAATATATATTATATATTTTAGATATACTTAATTACAAAATTCAGAAAATTTAAGTGAAACTAACATATAAATCGCAGCTATTTTATATACAATTATTAAATGTTTTGTTAATTTAATTGTTATATCATTAAACTACATATTTATGTTTATTTTCAGACATTTATTTTTAGTTATCTCCTGACGTATAAATAAAATTATTATATAAATTATAAAGTTCTTTGTACTATTGTTTTGTTTAAAAAATTGAATTTGTGTCCAAAGCAAAATTTCCGTACCACATTACGTATCCAGTTTTTTAATAATAAAAATTCCACGATTGTTCTTTTCACTCGCATAAAAATTTGTACGAATTAAATATTCTTAAATGATCATTGTTATGCCAAAAAAATGACCTCAACATCTACAGGGTATATAAATAAATAATGACTAGACAAGTACTTGAAAATGATAAGAAAATCCCATTCGTATATTATTTAATCTCCATTTAATATAAATTAAATATACAGGGTGTCCCACCACGAACTCCATCGATGGATATCTGGGAAACTGCTCGAAGAATTTTTTTGAAATTGTGATGGTGTGATAAGGACCGTGGGGCCTACCACGCTAAAATATTTTCAAGGTCATCGTACTTGCGTTTTGTACCAGAAGTAGATACTAACTTCCTTATTTCAAATGGAACACCCCGCATATTATTGCATTTTTGGAAGGAGCGGCTATTTTTAAGTTGAAAATATATAGCACACTCCATACGTAGGATTGACCATTTCTGAGATATTTTGATTTTTAAGCAAAAATTGACACATGTAGACTGTCAGCAAAATTAGTTTTCCCTGAAATATAGGTTTATTTTTTTTGTGCAAATTAGACATTTTGTAGAGGAAGACCTAATTTATCGAATTTGACATGAAAATTTTCCAGTTTTTGTACAGGGTGGTCAAAAAAAATTATCGAATATGAAGTTCAGAAAATATGGAAAACTCGAAATTTTTAAATGGAAATCCCAAATTTTTTTAACGTATTCGCATTCTGCACTAAAATTGAGTGTAACTTTGATAAAGTTTCCCTATACCTAAACCCAGTGGTTTTCATTTTATTTACGAATAAACATTTCCCTTTTCGTAAAATGATGTTTCCATTTGTTTCGCACATTTTAGGTTGGTCGTGACAGGTAAGTAACAATCAACATGACAACTGTCACAGGTTTGTAATATGTCTAATTTGCACAAAAAAAGAAACCAATGTTTCCGGGAAAACTAAATTTTGCCGACAGTCTGCATCTGTCGATTTTTGCTTAAAAATCAAAATATCTCAGAAACGGTCAATCCTAAGTATGGAGTGTGCTATATGTTTTCCACTTAAAAATAGATGCTCCTTCCAAAAATGCAATAATATACAGGAGGTTCCACTTAAAATAAGAATCAACTTCCGGTATAACCAGAAGTATGATGACCTTGAAAATATTTTAGGCCCCACGGTTGTTCGTGGTGGGACACCCTGTATATTTGTTGGGTACACCAGATAATTCAAAGTATATTCGGAGTGTATTTAAATGAACAGGCATAAATGTTACCAGATAATCTTGAGATCCAAATATAATTGAGCCTATATCTTTACTACCACTTCATTTACCAGACAGAATATCAAGTGCATGTAAGACTACATTATTTTGTAAGGTGGTGTAACATTTTTTTATTTTGAAATACGATTTGGTTTTGAGAATATCACATTACTGCAGGTACCTATTAAAATTTTATGTATTAATACATAAATAATAAATTAATGCTATTGTACCCCACACCAAATTTAATGTAAACTTAAACACCCTGTATCACCGAAATTAGGTAAGGTGCCCCGAATATCATATTTTGGGCATGAATTACTTTCAGTATTTCTGGACTTTTATTTATGTACACCCTGTAGTGCAAATGGTTAAACTTTTAGTTTTTTCTCCCCCGTTATGTTGGAACTGACAAATTTGACAACAACTTTGACACTAAAGTATATTTTTAAAATTTTACAATGAATTCATAGGTATTTAATTCTATAATTTGTTTTCAAAACCTTATATGAAATTATAATGACTGAAGTGAGTAATAATAACAAAATCTTTGTTTAGTTTGTATTTAATCGTTCCATTTCAGGATGTTAAAACGTATGTGTACAAACTTGAAATGAAATGTATGAACTGCGTGAAGAAAATATCAAAAGCTCTTGATACGATGAAGGGTAACTATATTAAACTTTAAAGCTAAATTGCATAATATTTTACCCTGTTGCCTTATAAAGCTCTTAAATTTTTTATTCGTCCTTAAAGACAGTCCGGAAAATAGAATACATAGGAAAAGTTTGAAACTGTTTTTTAATGTTTAATTTACTGAAGTGTTCAAATGTAACAATACGTTTTGGTTTCTGTTGATTCTGCGAACGATAAAATTAAATCGATGTACACCAAATTTAGACATTATTTTCAGATAAAGGAATCAAAGAATATAATGTGATGTTTGAGGAGCAACAGGTACAGGTGAAAACGACTTTGTCTCCAGAAGAAGTACTAGAAGTTTTAAAATCCACCGGCAAAGAAGTGAAGATAGCTTCGTCTCCGTAAATTGACTGATGATATGTAGAACATCCTGCAATAAAACTTTTTTGTACATATTAACAATCTTCTGGTACTGGAATTTTTTATTTGACTAAGTCGTCTATAATTTTCTTTCTCTCCTCAGCATCAAGCTTCAGTAGATCGATAGATTTAAGTAACTTTTCCTTCCGACTGATCAATCTTTCTTTCCGTAGCTTCTCGAACTCGTCGGAATGTTCGGTCCGTGGTCTATTTAACGGAGATATATTCACTTTATTTGGGCCGGATTGTTCATAAGAGTTTATCTAGAACATACAATAACAATTTAAAGCGGTTTCTTTCGCTTACAATTGCGGTACATGCATATTTTCAGTAATTACCTCATCGATATCACTATCATCCACATGACCGCCAACTCTTTTTAGTTGGAATCCTCCGATACCGCTTCCCTTTCTTACGAACAACCTCTTCCAAAGTTCCCTACCTAAAATGATCGACAGTGGTGCTTAAAAGGAATCACAGGATTAATTAGTCAAACTAAGAAAAAAAAGTGTTAAAAAACCGTCTTCGAGATATAATGCTGAATTTAAATTTTAAGTTTAGTCAATTAATGCCGTACTTACCATCACTTTTCTGTGAATCACCCTGAAAAACATATTTCTGCTAAATATAAAAGTACTACAACAGCTATTTGCTTAACACAAACCTGTGTTACATATTCCGGTATAATAAAGTCTTGATCAGTATTCTTAACATGCATATACTCCGTAGACCACTCCGGACATTCCCTCATATATTCCTGTGAGGCAACGGTGAAGGGTAAAATGGATGGGGCAGTTTGCACCCAGTAGGCGTCTTTGCCCAATGTCGGGTGATCTTGATGAATTTTGTCTACAAGTAGAAAACATACCTAAAACGTTTAAGTATTTAGTATGAATATAAAAAAGATACACTCTCTCGTATTTACCTGAATATGCCTGTCAATCATCCATACTACTTCAAAGTCATCATCGTCGGTTCCGAACGGATTGATGAGAGTTTCAGCAACTTTCAGCCATCCAACATAAAAGAAAAATTCAATGATTGGCATAAAGGGAAAGCTAAATATAATTATCTCTTTTAAATCTGTAGTTTCCGAGATGAACTGATATCCGATAACTGTTACTAGAAAGTAACCGTAAACAGCCAAAGTAACCACCTAAAATAAATGTAAGTCATGAATTTATAACAGTTTGTTTCTCGTAAATACCTGTGTGTACACCAAAGGAATACTAATCCAGTCAAAGTCTAACAGTCGTCCACAATTAGTTCTAAAACCATTTAATTCATCTAATATGCCTTTCATGCCAAGATCGGTGGTTATTTCACCTTCGTGCCTTGCTCTGGTTGTCACACTAGCTGCCCAAGCTAGTGGCAGCCTAAAATTGTGAGAAATCTACTGAGTCTACAAATGAATAATTTGACCAACAAATTCATACCAATATTTTGAATAAGGTGGAAAATCGTTATCTATCTGTTCTAGCAGGTTTTTCTCTTGCGGAGTCATTAACCCTGCCTCCACGAGATGATTTAATGTAGGAAATCGTTTTTTAACTTTCGGAGACATCATGGTTAGAGTCAGTGTAAATGTTAAACAGGCATACCTCACTATTGTTCTTCTAACTACTCTCGCTCGGTCGTCCTAAACATATCTAAGTCAAGTTACCACAGTTTTGTACGGGGTGGTTTATTTTTTGTTTCATCAGATTGAAAAATAGAAATTAAACAAAACTTAATCGCGTCCTACATCAAAAACTAAAAGTTTTTCAAATGGAATGAGTAATAAACAAGCCATCACTATTTTTTTTTATAATCCACCAGTTTGATGAAGAAAAAATCAAACCACGCGTTATATACAACAGGTAATATTTTACCTGCCCTTTTATAGTAGCTGCAACTAATATTGCTAGATTGTCCGGAAACGGCAAATAAGTGTACTGACTCCACCATCTGGTATACACTATGTTTACGTAAAAACCTAAGACAAAACTGAGAGGTATAAGTCCTCCATATTTGGCGCAATAAGTCACCATTCTCTCAAAATACCTAAAAGTTAATTCAGCGATGATGACAGATCCGATTACTTTCGGTAAAAGTAGACTTATAATCAATTTTTTAAACAATTAAGAGAGAATTCTCACCCTTTCCATGTTGCGTCCAAAGCGTATAGGTATATAAAATTTAACCCATAGTAAATACCGAGAAAGAGTAGTAGATTGGGCCATACGATTTTATAAATACTTCCACGCCATCTATAAATTAAAATTGAATAACGTGCAGTTGTTAAAAATAAAGAATGGTCCAATTATTTACAAGTAGAAGTTAAAAAAGAGTTTTTAATGTGTAAACACATAATTGTAGTTTAAATAAAAATCAAATTTTCTTAATTTTGTCAAATGTAATTAATGATATATTTTCTTAAATGTTATTATTTTAATTAATTAATTCACATAAAAATTACACTAATGTGAACTAGTAAAAAATAAACATACTTATTTAAAAATATGAAACATTTAAAGATATAACACTTTATAAAAGCTTGGAAAGTATGAATTATTATATTTTCAAATCATATGATTGTATTGTTAATAGACTGTTAGGTGCATTTGTTGCCGTTACATAAATTGGGACAATTTATGTAGCAAATTTTGTTACATTAATTTATTAATATAACATGTTACAATAATATAAACTATAACAAATTAAAAAATATCCAAATTAGACGATACGTAAGAAAAAAAACATTACCTCCCTAGAAGTTTAAGAAAACAGCCCAATCCAGTACTTGTAGTTACATCCTTGGTGTACGATACAGTCATTTTTAGACCATATAATTTTTCAAACTGCCGTACAGAACGCAAAATTTATGAAAACTTACAGATAACCATCTCTGGAAATTACGCGTTTTGACTTCATTATCTTAATATCAAATTTTCGTTTTACTATAATTTTTATTAATCTCCAATTGACAATAAAACCTTCAATCCTTATTTACAGCCATTTAAGATAAGATACGCGACAGGTATAGAGCCCAAGATAACTTACTGTCCCAAATCAGCAGGAGCTGATAAAATTTAAGGCTAATAGAAGATATCTACAGAATTTATGGGGTATTAATTTTACAGATCTATAAATATTTTATCATATTTCTTGTAAAAAATTTCAATATACACAGCATGTTTTCTTATTTATGTCACCCTTCGGAAGTTTATCTTCTGGTTATTTTACACCAAAAAGTCTACGACGTAGTTGCACAACCAAACTTCAAACTAAGTTTACTATTAAATTGTTATTAAACCAGTAAAAAGGCGATACTGTAATTAGTTGCAGTTCTTAGGAACCACAAGATTTTTAAAATTGGATAAGTTCATTGCATTTTTAATGAAATTTCTAAATAAAATGCTTTCTTTTCTTTAAGAACAAGCTGTTTTTAAGTTACTTTTTTGATATAAATTAACCTTATTAGCAGAGATTTTTTATTTTTTTAATATGGGTGTTGTATTTTCTTATAAGACGAGTAATGAAAGTGGACTGTATACGTTCTGAATTCAACTGCTTTATTTACTTCATATAATAGTTGCACCACACAATACAAACATGCCTTACAACAACTTCAACGACAACATAATCTCTCTCTGTGCGAGCGCCGCTCAACATTAGCTCCCCGCATTACAAGGCTCGGCACAGCGCCGCACGACGGCAAAGGGCCAAAACAAACATTATATAAATAAAGGCATCTACCTGCGTAGACATACCGCCGCCCTTGGAATGCGGTGCATTTCAATACATATTACAATAACAAAATATGTAATAGTAAAAATAAACAATATTTCAATGTACAATGGTAACATAAATAACATATCAGTCAGATTGATTAAACAAAATACATGATGAGACACATAAATTGGTTGTGATTGCCTTATTACAGATCAACTTCTCAGAAAATGTTATATGGTCTCTATAGGTAGAACGCACACCTTAGTAACCGCACGCTTCACTACACCATTCAAAGTTTTTACACTCACCACCCGCACAACACCATCCTTGCCGGGGTGTAGCTCGGTGATTCTTCCTAGGGGCCACAGGAGAGGGGGAGAATTATCAGCCTTCAACATCACTAACGAGCCAATTTTCACATTACTGTGATCGCGGAACCTCCACTTGGTTCTCTCTTGTAGAGAAGTGATATATTCATTCACCCACCGCTTCCAAAAATGCTGCACTATTTGCTGCAACTGAAGAAAGTGCGATAATCTGTTAACTGGAACGGTTGTAACCTCTANGTTGCAAACATTAAATTCCCTGACTTTCATGAATATTTTTAAAATTCCCTGACTGTTCCCTGTTTTTTATGAAGAATAACGAATTCCCTGACTTTTCCCGGTATTCCCGGTTTTCCCGGCCGCTACGAACCCTGATCAATTTTTCTCAAAAACGCATCAAGATACCGAAATGAAACAAGAGTACATAACTAATGGAAAAATGATTGCTCTTTCAGGCTTTGAATCAAGTTTCATGTTGGACATACAGAGTAAAAAGTTATTAATTAAATTTTCGGTAAAATCGGTTGTAAGTGGCACCCTCTATGAGCAACGCTGAAATTGCAACACGCATCTTATTCGTCACTTAAAAAAAATATAGTTTCACATATTTTCATGTTCCTAACCCACACATTTTCAGAATAATCGCAAAAAACGATTTAAAATTTTAACTTTCAACACCCTGTATTTCCGAAACTATCAACTTTCGGATAAGGCATGTCACCATTTTACCTCTGTAGTATCTTCAGCTTTCGATTTTCCCATTGTTAATGAATCACCCTGTATATTGTGAGTGTATGAATACAAATTTATAAATAAATCAATATATCAGTTCAATCAATTTGCTGTTTAGAGTTGCTTTATAGAGGTGTAACAAACTATTCCAAACATAATTTTTTCTAACTTTTATTTAAAAAATTAAAAAACATGTACAAAGTTTATCTGTATCACCTATGTTGTACTCTTTGTTTTTTCTTTGGAAATTTCTTCATTCAGTAGAATAGTGATTTTCTGCTTTATTTCACTGAAAGCAAAATACATAAAAATCAAAAATTACAAAATTTATCCAAGCATTTTACTAATCATCAATTTTCAGATAAAAAATTTGTCACAATTTTTCTTTTGACTATATACAGAATTCTTTGCTTACCTTTCCACAAGTGTAAGTTTTGTGTTTTTGAAATGACTTCCAAAATCTATATCCTGTAACAAATTTAAGCCGCCTTCGGCAGCTTTATTTCTGGCCAATTTCGAAGATGAACCCTCGCCTAAGCACATCTGAAAATTGTTATAAATCATCGAATAAATGAATAAGATGAGGAGTCAAGCGTTCATCCTTACATGTTCAGGATTAATATGAAGAGACATTATCGTATAGAACCGTTTGCCCTCAGTAAAATCCATAAATTGAACTTCGAATTTTAGAGAATTACCAAGTTCCAAAATTCCATCTTGAAAGGACTTCTTTAAATGTTTGGGTTTAGCGTTTTTTGGAGACTTAGTTTTTTGAAGATCCTACAAATAAATTATACTACGGAACCTTCATAAACGTTTACAAACCACGTGACTCCTGAGCTTAAGAAACTAACATTGCAGGGCTGGCACTAACGAAAATATTAATGATTCGTTTACAATGTAATATAGATGGTGATTTAATTTTTATTAATTGAACGTTAGAAACAGGTAGATTACCAAAAAACAGTGATAGTTTGTTGTATATAGCGCATTTTAAAAACATTGTTTTTGTTGTTAAAATTGCTTTAATTTTTCTGGAAAATTCCAAACAAAATTATTTGATACCAGACACATTTCCTAAAAGAATTTCTTCGAAGAAATTACATCACAGATTAATATCACAGATTACAATATGGCATTTTTTAATTTGATGAAAAATTTAAGATACATTTAAAAAAATGTGTTTACTTTCAAATGCATTCTACAAAATTTCAACGAAGAGACATTATACGTTTGAATTCGAGAAAAAATATTCTTTAAAGAGTAATAAATAATAAGTAAATATTTTTCGAATACAGCTTAAATAAACTATAAATTTTTGATAATTTACCTGTTCCTAAAGTTTAACCAATGGAAATTGAACCATCCTGTATTTTAACTTTTGATATTATGAGAAACAACTGCTCTGCTGACTAAAGCCCTGTCCAGCACTGAATTGCCCCCACAATATCTAGTAGGTACAAAGTTAACGTTTTGAGCCAGTAGGTTTTGAGCAGCAGCATTTCAGAGTTTTAGTTATGAACTGTCACTCGTACCCAAAACACCCTGGATTTTTACCTCATTATTTTGAAACGGTAATCCGTAATCCTTAACTGAACTGATAAGATTATCGACGTGCATGCTAATGACATCAAAATTCGTTTTCAGGATTTTATTCTTCTTGTTCTTCTTCTTCTTATTATTATTTTTAAAAACACTTTGTACTTGCATTTCTTGAGACACCGTTGGTAACTCAGAAATCCTTTCTAACATATTGATGGCCGCCGCCTTCTTCGATTCCTTCTTGGATTTCCCTTCGCCTGTTGTAGACAAATGGCCTAGCGTACACCTAGTAACGAAAGCTTTTTTGTGGGACGGACCAGATTCATCTATTATTTCAAATTCAATGTTTAAGTTTCTTAGTTGAGCAGCTTCGTGTACCAAAGAAATTGGAGATTTCAGGTTAGCCTTGGCTTTCCTACATTCTTCTTCCGAATCTGGGAAAGTGTTAATTAGTTTTGATCGTACGTACAAGGGGTACTAGAAAAAATATCTACCCAGCTATGACAGAAACAATTGACTGTGTGCTGCCTAATAGTGTTCAAGAGAGACGTCTTTCTACTTGTGTGTTAAATTTTATTTTAATATATTCAATTGTTCTACTTTTTATGGAACATTTTGCAACAGAAAGTAAGTTCTTTTAACTTGCAACATGACATGTTTCCAAATCATTTGAAATTTTTGTATGCAGACTTTTTTCTAAAATAGTGACACGATGAAACTTCCGTAACTGGAATTCGTAACAAAAAAGAAATTATAGTTCGTGCAATGGAGTAGAATCTTCTTAGTCTAATTAAAATTTAACTCCTTTCATTCAGAAAGAAGCACTTTAGAGGCCATCATTGTACGATAACTAATATTTACAATTTCGAAGGCCAACATGTATTATTTTTTTTAGATGGAAGTCGTTCAAGGGTGGGTAGTGCAAATTATCTAATTTAAGAGAGATTATGTGGAATAATAAAATTTAAAAAAATACTTTGTTTTATTTATATGGAAAAAACTTTTCTAGTGTCCCTCGTAGTATATAAACATTACTTTCAAATTCAACTTACCCTCCTGTAAGCAAACTAAATTGCCGTCCTGAATCTCTTTAATCAAATAATCAATTGCATTAGACGCGGCCTGATGTCTAGCCGATTGAATAGTATTTGAGGTACCATAAAAGAACAATTCTCCAACTTCAACCCCAACTTTAAATGGGCCTTTCGTCTGAGACTCATCTTTTCTTATATGAATATCAGAATATATCGAGTCATTTAATTTTTGTAAATATGATTTCTTTGGTTTTTCATTAACAATTCCACTTGCACTAAACAATTTCTGAAATAAAAATATCGATACTTTTCAAGTCAAACAATACAGTAATTATTTACAAATGCTTATACTTATCACCCACTGAGATAACAGTTTTGCATGTACTCACATTATTGATAAGAAAATACTCAACGGCGATTCCCAATTTTGCACACAAGTTATTTAACAGAACTGTTGGTGTGGTAGCATCAAAATTTTTTTCCTTTTCCTTTATCTCAGGGGGTTCATAGTTTGAATTTTCTAAAGCAATAACTGCAACGTTTTGCTGGGCTTTCTTCAAACTGGAGCCTTGCCCTATGAACTCTTCATCACCCAATGTCAAGCTAATTGTAAATAATTTGTTATGGGGCGTTCCCTAAAATATTAATTATGTTTATATCTGAATACTGAGCGAGACATACCTGAAATATGTAAATGATCCTTATAATAAAAATTCACCTATTGAGATTTTCATGAATTATTATGACATGCCAAAAACCTTAAACATCAGACTAGTTTATTTAAGGTTATAAGTATAATGATAATGAATAATACTAAATCTAAATATTTCATTTGTGATTTTGATTTTATTGTCATACCTCTTCCTTAATCAACTTGAAAAAGTAATCTATTTCATTAAATTGAGCTAGTTCATTTAATTTGGATAAAGCATTTTTTTCAGCATATTTGTCTTCTTCAGCAACGGAGTTATTTTTTAAATAAAATTCACTTTCCGATTCCTTCACTGATAAAGTATCTGGTTCCTTTATAGCAATAGTTGATAAAGATCCTGCAAAAGTAATATTTAGATTCCTAAAATTGTACTTAAAAATTTTGAAATACCCACCTTTAATACACACATTTGAGTCAAAAATATTTTTTATTTCCTCAAGAGATGCTAAACTTCTATAAATCAAAAGTAACAGAAAATAAATAACCATTATTCGAGATATATCCCCCATTTTGAACAGTAAGTACAAGTCGGCAAACAATACGTTGAAAAGAAAATGGCGAAACTGAAGCCAAAAGGTGATTTTTTCACATGTTTATCTTCGGTAATTCCCAAATTGTTGCAGGTAGGGTACCAACCAAAACATCATCATTCTTGACTCTAAAACAGAAAAGCACCAAAGGTCTAAACCCAAACCACTCAAACATTCATCATCGATCGGATTCTACATATGACAAATTTGTAGTTTTACACATAAACCTAAAATTGATTTAAATTTTAGTACTGCATTTTTCCTTGTATATGCATCATTATACCATTAACAGGCTAAACAAGAAATCAAAGAAACAATGACTTAACCTCTAATAGAAAAGGGTGGGAAGAAGAAGAAGTGAAAGGACTGAAGGGTCGTGCGTGTAAAAAACGGACCGTGCGTAATTCCAGCATTTCCAGCGCTACCTGGTGACAAATACTAGAATTATGACGAAACGGGTTGGCGCTTGCATTCGGTTATGAAAATTATTTTAGATTTTTGGGCTGAATAAACGTGAAAAACTTTACATCACAGATTAGTAAACGATTTGTTTACATTGCTAAGCTCTATCACATTGACCGTAGCTAATAGCTGCGGAACGTATTTAAAGGCCACCTGTATATCAATTCGGAGGAGGAAGAAGAAGAAAAGAAAATAATATTTATTTTTAGTGTTTAGAGGTTATGATATTAGATTCATACATGATTCAAATTAATATACTTTATTTAAAAACTTGATAAATATTCACAAATCTGCAAAAATATTTCGTTATTATTTTGTACTACAAGCAAGGTATCTTAATCTCTTATAAAAGTATTAATATCAACATGAAGACCATTCTAATGGTTGCTGAAAAACCATCATTAGCTGCCTCCTTAGCTAATATTTTAAGCAATGGGAAAAATACATCGAGAAAAGGTTTTTACGTCAAATCTAAAAATAGTAATTAACCTTAGAAAAATGTATATTATAGGTTTCAACGGAGCTTGTTTCATACATGAATGGAGCGGAACATTCTTGAATGGCCCTGCACGATTTAAGATGACGTCTGTTTGTGGTCACGTACTAGGGGTAGATTTTATTAGCAAATATAATAATTGGGATAGAGTAGACCCTGTGGAACTATTTTCTTGCGCAATAGAAAAGAAAGAAGCCATGCCAAAACTAAAAATGCCCGCTTTCTTGGCTGCTGAGGCTAAGGCTTGTGATAATTTAATTTTATGGCTTGATTGCGATAAAGAAGGTGAAAATATTTGTTTTGAAGTTATGAGTTCAGTCGCTAGCAGCATGAATGGTGATGTTTATTCTGACAGTGTCACTTATCGCGCCAAGTTCTCAGCTATTACAGAAAAAGACATCAAATCTGCATTTAACAACTTAGGTATATTATTTGCACATTATCTTGAATTAAATGGAGTATATTTCAAATTTATTGATTACTGAAATGTTTCAGATCATCCAAATGAGAATGAAGCAAAAAGTGTAGATGCTAGACAGGAATTAGACCTTAGAATTGGCTGCGCTTTTACAAGATTTCAAACAAAGTTTTTCCAAGGCCGTTACGGTGATTTGGACGCATCTTTAATATCGTACGGACCTTGTCAAACTCCAACATTAGGTTTTTGTGTACAAAGACACGATGCAATACAAACCTTCAAGCCAGAAACTTACTGGTGCGTTCAAGTAACTATTAAAACTAAAGATGATCAAGATGTAGCACTCGATTGGCAGAGAGTGAGGAGTTTCGATAAGGAAGTAGCTAATTTATTTTTACAGTTAGTCAAAGATCAGAAACAAGCCACGTATGTAATCTTTTTTTGTGTAATCGCGAAGTAAAATACAATTTTTAGTGTGGTAAGTGTTGTTTCGAAAGAAAAAACAAAGCCTAGACCTGTCGCATTAAACACTGTGGAATTGATGAGAGTAGCTAGTTCTGGCCTGGGAATGGGGCCTCATCATGCCATGCAAATTGCCGAAAAATTATATATACAGGGTTACATAAGTTACCCAAGAACTGAAACCACTAGATATCCAGAAAATTTTGACCTCGTGTAAGTTATTCCAATTTGCCTCTATTCATTATAGTACAGATCAGATCACCAATGAATGATTTATCTATTTGAATGTCTGTGTATCAAAAGTTTTGATTGTGGGTAGGATATAACGGATAAAGTATACGTCATAATCCTAAATGTCATTGTTACCCAAAATTTAAGGGCACAAAGCATTTCTTTGTATCTACTGGCATAGAGCAACCTACTAACCAATAGGTTTTTTTAACGACTAAAAATTCATGAGTATGGCTGACTTGGAGTTACTATTTCCATTTTATCTGATCTTATATCTAAACTTCTATAACTATAAATGGATCTTGAAAATGATGATCGTTTATTAAAAACTCTAGTAGGTTTTGTATTGTGTATTTCTAGCGGAGTTCTAAAGCAACAACAGAATAATTCAGACTGGGCAGATGAAGTTAAGGAAATATTGGAAAATGGAGTTAATAGGCCTAAATCAGGACATGATGCAGGTTATCCAATATTTTTAAAAGTCTAACAGTATAATAAATGTAACATCAATTATTAGGTGATCATCCCCCAATTACTCCTATGAAAGCTGCGTCAAGGAACGAACTAGACGGAGATGCTTGGAAATTATATGATTATATTACGAGGCATTTTATCGGCACCTTAGCTAAAGATTGTAAATATCTGTCTACTACAGCCACCCTTATTATCAACGAGGAAATTTTTACAGTGTCTGGGAAAACTTTACTAGACCCTGGCTTTACGACAGTTATGACATGGCATGTAAGTTGATCAATTATTTATTTAGAGAAAATGTCTTGTTACAATTATATTACTTGTAGGCTTTTGGTAAGAACGAAATCGTACCGAACCTAGAAGCAAAAGAGGTTGTTCCTATAAGGGAAGCTAAATTAACAGAACATCAAACTTCACCCCCGGATTATCTAACGGAAGCAGAACTTATAACTTTGATGGAGAAACACGGAATTGGAACCGATGCATCTATACCAGTTCACATAAATAACATCTGTCAAAGGAACTACGTCACGGTTATTTCTGGGAGAAAACTGAAACCGACAACTCTGGGAATAGTTCTAGTCCACGGCTATCAAAAGGTATTTTCTTTAAACAGTTTATATGCAGGGTATCCCGGAAAAACGTACTTTTTTATGGAATGAACAGTTTGAAAATTATTTTGGATTTATTCAACCGCATAATAAGATTTATTTTAGGATTAAAAAATTATTCAAAAGTTATTTGTTTTTGGAATGAAATGAAAAAAATCTTTTTTCTTTGAGCAAAACAAATGAACTTATAGAATTTGCAAAGTACTCAGTGAAGTCAAAACCCTGCGATTCTTAGTGAGAGTGTCTCAACATGTCCGCTACTAGTTGATATAATTATATGTAAAGTGAGTTGTTACTTTTACTTAGTTATGTCGTCAGACCAAGTCTTATTAATCTATGTCAGAAATCTTAAACGCCCTGTATCTTGCAAATGAAGAATCTTAGCTCCAATGATCATATTTAGGTCTGAAGATTATCTGGCAAATATTTGTCAATTTTTTTATTAACAAATATCTTTATCTCAAGATTGATGAAGAGTTGGTTCTACCTACCATGAGATCAGCTGTAGAAAAGCAACTAAACCTGATCGCCTTGGGGAAAGCAAATTTTAATGCTGTGTTAAAGCACACGGTCGATATATTCAGACTGAAATTTCAGTATTTTGTGAAAAACATCGATGGCATGGATCAGCTGTTTGAAGTGTCATTTTCACCGCTCAGTGCATCTGGAAAAGCCTTTTCTAGGTAAAAAAATCTTTCTTAAATCGTTAGAAAATTAATAAACATTTTTTGCAGGTGCGGAAAATGCAGGAGATACATGAAATACATCCAAGCCAAACCTGCCAGGTTGCATTGTCCTCAGTGCGACGAAACGTTTAGTCTGCCTCAAAATGGAACCGTTAAATTATTCAGAGAGTTAAAGTGTCCCTTGGACGATTTCGAGCTGCTTTGTTGGACAATGGGGAACAAAGGCAAAAGCTTCGTTTTTTGTCCCTACTGCTACAACAATCCTCCGTTTAAGTAAGTAAGCACTAAATATAACTCTAGGTCCAAAATAGCAAGCAGTACGTCGTTCGATTCCGTTGGCGTATCATTTTAGAGGGTTGCAAAAATTATTAAATATAGGACAACAGATAGATATTGTGATTTTAATAAAATGTTCTCATTCCATGTCTCCACAGTTACCTGATTCGCCACCTGCAGAAGTACTTTTCATCTCTTCATTTAAAAATTAGAGTTTTATATATAAATTTTTATATACACTCGGAATAGTTCAATACTGACAGCGGTATGATGATTGTTAAAAACTGTACTTTTAATATTGTATCTTTATGTTCAATATGTTTTCAATGCAAACATTTCACGAATTATTTTTTTTCCATGCAGATGTTTGCAATTTTTCTACTCGTCTACTATAGTAAGGCGCATTATCTAAGATACAACACCCCACTGGCCATATCCTCATGGTAATTTACTGTTCATCGTAATTCAAACACATGTAAACTATTCCCCAAAAATCCGCATCCACTTCCAATATGTGTAATTATTAATCACCGAACCAGAGATTTTGCATTAAATCTAATGTAAAATAAGCAAAAAATCATCGCAGACAGCAAGGAAAAACGGCGACATCGCGGTCATCAGTCCTCAGTTAATTTAGATAGTGACAGACACATACAAAATACAATTCGACTACTGACTCTCGGGCCACGGTAAAACCATAACTCAGACTATTATTTCAGTATCGAACAAGCTTCGAAAGTTTTGTGATGTTTTTTTTACAAGAGTCTCACTAGCCGCGGCTTCGAAAAAATCGCGCAATAGGAAACGGAGACATAGACAATTGTTTATATTTAAATCTGTCCAAATCTTGAATTAATTTATTCGTATTTGGTCCAGAAAATTAATTTTCGTTTTCAATCTACAACACTATTTCTTCTAAATACTCTCTTCGCCATCTCCACTTTTCGATTAATATGCTTATTCGTTTTAAGTAACGAAAATTCATTTCATGCATAGTACGTGATAAAATTTTTCGCTCACCGATATATCCACAATACGTAATAAAATTCCCTTATACTCTTTATTTATTCATGATTCAATTTTTTACAACATGTTGGAATAACAAAATTGTAAAAATAATATCGTGTCCTTCCCTCTTGTACGCTTATGACACTCACTGACACAACAGTTGGAATATAAGACAATGCAGGATTTCAAGAAACCAAATTATGCAGTCTTACTTTGTAATAAGCAAAGAATTGTGGTTTGATTTATTTATCACTCACTGCCTACGATTTTGGGCCTGTAGTTATGTAAAAACACAAACACGGCAATATATGTTTTAGGGACATGAGGAAAGGAAACGGATGTAACTCTTGCTCGCACCCTACTTGTCCTTACGGCTTAAACTCGAATGGCATCTGTAACTGTGCCGAATGCGATTATGGAATCTTAGTTCTGGACCCCTCATCTGGCCCGAAATGGAAACTAGGTTGTAATAGGTGCGATACTATAATCAACCTCTTCGAAGATGCTCAAAAAGTCATCGTCCTTGAAGAGGTTTGCGATTGCGGATCTCAAATGGTGACCGTCGACTATAAACAGGAGAAGACCAAACTCCCAAACAACGCAACAGAAATGAAAGGTTGCGTCTTTTGCACGAACGAGTTTAGCAAGTTGGTGGACAGGCCTAAAGTGGCCGTAGTTACTAAGCCACGTCCGTTTAGAGGGGGCAAAGTTGGTGGTAGGGGCGGTAGAGGACGTGGTAGAGGAAGGCAGCCAAAGGATAAAATGGCCCAATTAGCAGCGTATTTTGTGTAGTAGGTATGAATTATTAAATCAAATTTGTTATAATGTGAATAATTAACAATTTTTATTCGATTCGGTTGTTGATCAACTGAATGAACGTTATTTAATTATCGTATTAATTTTTTTTGCATATGTTTTAGTTTACAGTTCGTTTTAGAAATGAAAATTACTTGACGAACATTATGCATGTTACGTTAGATAAATACGTTAGATATGCCATAAAAGTAATAAAATTAATATTATTGAAAGTATTTCATACAGGATATTACAAAAAGTTGATCAGACCGTTACCCAGATTCTTTGGACGAAAGTAATACATACAGCAATTTAAAAAAGATTTTTATTAATCTATGGTTGTGATTGATTTATTAATAATTCTATTGTATAAAATTCAGCGTGAGATAAATCTCCGTTCAAATTTCAATGAATAATGTTAAATAACAATGGAGACACTACTAATTTTTTTTTAAAGTTTACCGATACCCTTCATCTCGAAAAAGATGTGTGTCTAAATGGAAAAAGAAATAAGGATAGTCCTATTATTTTCACCCAAAGAATGTGTGGTTGACAGTTGCACCTACTTTTTTTGTGACATCCTGTGTTAAAAAATTCCGCAACTTATACACTAAAAAATTTGGTACTCTTCTTGTACTCTCTAAATATTGTTTTTTTATCATTTAAAAAAGAATATATGACACTATGAATATAAACATTACTTCATTCATTTTTAACCCCTGACCCTTACAGATAAACTTATCTCTGCGATGAAAATATTTTATACAATGAAATTCCTCAGTTTGTGTATAATGGATGCTAAAGCACCGGTAATATTTTTTTTACTGTGCAGCATCTTCAGTTTGAGCTTTTGCTGTAGTGTAGACACATTTAATAACAGTACCGTAACGTTGGTCGGAGCGAAAAGCATCAAATCCATCACTGGTTGTTTCGAACCCAACGAAGCACTTATAAAAGTGTCATACATTCAAGTTGTAAACGAATCTGTTCCCGTATTAAGAAGGGATGCTATCCACGGATTGCCGAAGTTATTAGACGTTATCCTTGAGAAGGATCGCATTACAGACATCGAACCGGGGGCATTCTACAATTTAACAAAACTGTATCTGTTGAAAATTAAATACAATGAAATAAAAGTAATAAGAGAAGGCGTGTTCAACAATCTAACATTAAAAGAACTTTGCCTGACAGACAATAAAATTGAAATTATTCATCCGAACGCTTTCGACGACATGCCAAACTTAAGAATCCTCTTCTTGAACGAAAACAAACTAACGGTATGGTCTAGCGACTGGTTCAAAAGGAGTCCGCAGGTGTCGGTGTTAAATTTCGAATATAACGTTATAACCACCATTCCATTTCGTAGTTTGCAAAATATTAATGGAGAACTTTGGCTAGAAAACGTCAAAGTGGAGGTGAACGTACAGCTAAACGATAACAAAATAAGAAAAATAGAAGACGGCGCCTTTGAAGGGATCGAAAAACTGGGGTGGCTATTTCTTCATAGAAACGAAATAGAGGACATCGGTGAGGAAAGCTTAGGATCACTGAAAAGTGTGGAGTGGGTCAGATTGGATAATAATAAACTGAAATGCGTTCCCGCAAAATTAGTAGAAATATCTCCTAAAGTTGTTTATTACCTGTACTCTAATCCACTTTCTGCCGAATGTAAAAATAAGTATTCAATTACTGTACTTAGATAAAATGTGTCTTGTATGTTTATCCTTTTAATGAAATGTTAAGCAGTGTGGCCAGATTGGGTGATATATCGCAATTTGGATGATTTTACGTTTACTGCCTCTCGCCCAACATTGCGAAAATCTTGAACCACAAAATTTGGATGAATTTTAAGTTTGCTTGTTCATCGTACGTCTTAATTTTAGGATCTAGGATAAGCCATGACCTAGGATTGGTTAGTTGCTCTCTGCTTTTGCACTACTATATCTCAATGTTGCAATTTTACAATAGAGAACGAGAGAGAAGAATGTCCAAATTTCAGTCATTGTTGTATATTTACGACATAGGTAGCAATTCTTAACATCTGATTGCTAAATATGCTATCTAATATCAGAAAATCTGGTCACACTGATGCTAAGTGTAACTATAAGCTATTTTAAGATAAATTTATAATTAATCACTTAACTTGTACGTGTATGTTGTTTCTTATATTAAAAAAGTAGTGAATATCAACTGAACTAAACAATGTGTTTATTAAACTTGGAGATATTTGAAGAATAAATAAATCGAAATGCAAAAACTCAATTGGCAGAAATATTCTTGCAAAGAATAATTTTTTGACGTACTGACTTACCACACTGATAAGATGAAATCATTTTTGGAACTGCTGGATCCACCAATCCTTCTGTTTACATGCGTTATATTTTGATAATGAAGTGTGGGACCTATACCTTTTTTAGGGGATGATATATATGCTCACAGAAAACTTCAGGACTATAAAATTGGCATTTGTTTCATTTTTAACAAAATAAAATTTTCTTTGGGATTATTCCTGTTTAAAATTGAATTTAATACTTCTATTTTTCAAATTTTATAATGCTGTAACTTTATCTAAATGAACAGTTTGAGAAAAATATTTAAAAAACTACTGTTTGTATAAGTACACACAGTATACACGCCGTCTGATCCAAAAAGAAAAAAAGACAAGATTTTAAGAAAATAAGTTACTTTTAAATGTTTATGCACTAATAACTTTCACAATAAAGACATGTCTCTCTAATGAGAACTAAAATAGAACTGATTTTTCTGTTTACTACAAAAAATGGGACAAAAAAGATAATATATACCCAGTGTTACCAGATCTCCTGTTTTAACAGGAGATCTCCTGTTTTCACTCTCACTCTCCTGTTCTACTGTTTTCACTATGAGATCTGTTTTTAGTTTAAATGTCTATTCTTCTGGTTTCTCTATGAAACCTTCTGTTGATTATACTAATTTTCCCCAGAATAAGAATATTTTAGTACGACACTGTCAATATTTTCACAGTCCTGTTATATTTTCTGTAGTACAGTTCATGTACATATTTAAATTTTAAATCCGCAATTCGCGTTTATATGAACTAGGCCTATTATAACAGAATAGAAGGCGAGTTCGTTTACTTCAGCGGGATTCTGGGATTTATCATTTTGACAACTGACAGTTGTCAAATCACGTGACGTAGCGATGTAGTTGAAAACTATTAAACGAACTCCTTCATTTATATATTTTGTGCATGTACTTGTGTTCCTCTATTAAAAAATATATTTATTAAAATCTCCTGTTGAAAAAAGAAATCTCCTGTTTTTTTGGCTACATTCCTACTGTTGACAGAAATTTCCATCTGGCAACACTGTATATACCATTTACAGTCACTACTCACCTGTTTGTATGTAATATGTAAGTCAAACACATTTCCAGAAGTTCTCAATAAGTTTCAACAATTTTATTAGTAATTTTAAGCATTGTTTTGCAGTTTTAACAGTTTTGATTATTGATTCATTCTATCTACCATTAAAAAATCATCTACAAGCTTGTCATTTTTGATGACAAAAAAAAACAATCATTTTGCTTTTGTTGTTTTGTTAGAACTTTATGAAACAATAAATCTTGCCTTAATAGTTTTTTAAAATGAATGTATTACATGAAACCAAGTCCTAAAAGATATATTTGGCCAAATCCTTTCAAATAAGTAATAATTATTTGTAGATGTAAGTGGTTATACAAATGTAATAAAAAGTAATGTATAAATATGAAATTTATTGATAAAATAAAAAATGCTTAACTACAACTTAATTTGTAGGTTTAAAGAAATTCTGATAGAAATTATTCGATGATCTCCTTGTCATTTTCATAACCCTGCTCTTCAGCTACTTTAAATTGGTTTATCCAACTATTTGGTAATCTGTCGTTGTACATCTACAAAATATTATGAAGCATGTACATTCCAACATCCAACCTAATTACATCTGTTTTTCTACTACGTCAATATCTTCTACTTGCTATATAGACCAGGGCGGATCTATAGAATTTTTTCGAATTTTCAAAATGTTGCACAGCCTCAAATAAAGCATCTATAACTTCAAAATTTTTTCACATAGAAAAGACCGCTCAACCTTTCAAATGGTTGTTGAAAAATTGGAATCGGTTGATTAGGACGGCTACAGTAAATTTTTAAAGTTAACACTTTTCTATTTTTAAATAATTAGATTACATTTATCAATTTGCAATTTAGTTTTTTCAAAATTTATAATTTTAAAGTACTATTTTATCTTAATTTTATCTGTATTTAACAAAAAAAATATTAATTTCCAAATAAATTCTTTTTTAATTTGTTTAAACAAAAATGATTTAAATAATTGTGATAATTATAACTAAATACATTCATATTCAGAGTATTGAAGGATATACGTAAACAAATTTTTTCATTGAAAAAATGCAATAATAGGGTAAAATATATAGTATATTTAATGCATAAATAATAAACTTTGTTTATAACAAAATGTATGCAAATTATACAGTTGGCATTGCGATATTCGAATTCCTTGGCTCGCGAGACATCTGATTAAAAAAAAAGAACGAAATTGGTCCATTTTCGTACCTTAGCATTTTGAACCTCCGAATTCAGTCTCGGAGCGAAAGCCCCCTCCCCCACTTTTCATGTTTTGAGTCACTTTTCGCGCGTGCGAATGACAGCTTTTCCGCTGATACATCTATGTTGCCGATAACTTATGTATATGAAAATTTTTTCCAGCTTAGAACTCGAAAAAACGAAGCCACTGGATCAAAGATTATTGCTAGATTCTTTATAAATTAACGGTAAATACCGATAAACTTTGACCGCTTATATCTCGAGAACTAATAAACAGAATTTAACTTTTTTTTTAAAGGAAGCGTCTTTCCGAGTACTTTAAAATTATAATTTTTGAAAGAAACTAAATTGCAAATTGAGAAATGTAATTTAATTGTTTAAAAATAAAAATAAAAACTTGAAATTTAAAAATTTACTGTGGCTGTCCTAATCGACCGATTTCAATTTTTCAAAAACTATTTGAATGGTTGAGCGGTCTTTTCTATGTGAAAAAATTTTCAAGCATCTAGATGCTTTATTTGAGGCTATGCAACATTTTGAAAATTGGAAAATTTATCTTCAAAATTTGTTTCAAAATTATTTTGCGAAAACTATCGAACCGATTTTAATGAAATTTGGTGTGTTGTTTTATTATACTGCTCTAAAGCTTTTTTTACCAAAATTAGAATGCCCTCAGAGCAGTTAAGATATTTTTTAAAAATTATCCAAAAAGCTTGATTATTTTGCCTTTTTTTCAACAATTATTGCTAGTTTGTAATTGTAATAAATTTAAACATTTTTAACGTACAAAATTCAATTAAACATTTCTGCAATTTTGAAAATGTTCCGGACCTCGTCCAGATCTAGGGACCTACACTTTTATGATGTGAGTTGTACTGAAGGTATTCCGCCCGGGTCTAATATCCCTTATCTCTTATAATAAACATTCAAATTCCATAAAAAAAAAAAGTTATTACAAATTTTATGTAATACGACTCCACTTACCTTGCAAACAAATTTTAATATTTCGTGTTTTGATATTTCTTTTTCTGCTCTAGTTCCCCAAGAAAACGAGACTTTTTTGGATATTTGATCCATTTCTATATTCAAATATTTCTTATTCTTCAAACTGTGGTGAATATAATCTTTTACATTACCAAATATGTCGTGCCTCCTTTCAGTATCAATATTAAGCGATTTCAAAAATGCATAGAGAGAAACTGAAAATAAACAATGTGTATTAAAATGTATTCATTTTATTTTTCTATTTCTTACCGTCGCTAACCACAGAATTGGACATAAAAATATGACTTAAAATAAGCAAAAGGAGTACTTTGTGAGCATCTCCAGGCAAATCTTCATTTCTGACAACAGGATTGTCGATATATGGTAAAGCATTACTTATAATATACTCTCGGGAAGAATTACTCGAAGGATCTGACACAATCATGTTGTAACCATATACCTAAAATTCAAGAGATATAAATAAAATTATCTATAGACTTATTAAAACTGTTCTACATTTTTCAAAATATTTGTGACTTTTTCTATAATTTCTTGATATCGATGCCCTGCTTTGAGAACATTCTTCTTTAGTTCACTCTGCTTGAAAGTTAAATGACTGCCTGCTCTATTTACAATATAGCGAACTAAATTGTTAACTTGATCATCAACGTTTATATTAAGTCCTCCAAAGCTTTCTTCCAACGTTTGCTGAGTTAATGTACTATTTCTCTGACTCTGACTTAAATGTTGACTTAATGTATTATTCTTCTGACTGGAAGATGTTGACTGTAACCTTTTTGACTTCCGTGACATATTTTCAAATTTATGAATCAGAGAAAACAATATTCAGTTGAATGTTTCACCAATTTAGATTTCAGGTTCTAAGCTTTATTTTATTAAATCCAGAATATCTTCTGTTTTATTCTTTAAAAACCAAAATAGAAAATTATTATGGTAATAATAATTTATTTATTCTGTAATATGTTGATAACTAAGAGGTATACCTATATCACAAAATATTGTTTATATTATATGCTTTTAGAATTATTACATTACAATGCATTTATGATTACGATTACATCAATATTCAAATTAAAGATAAAGGTTACTTTTTTCTTCTTCTTCCAATCCTCATACCCAGTACCCAGGGAGTGTGTAGTCTCCGTGCTCATTGCACTAATGCCACTGATCTCGCCTCTAATACACTGAATAGTGATCAGATCAGATAGAATAAAACGCTGTACTGGCAAAGGTAGTAAATGGAATACGCTCCGCTGTTAAAAAATTTTTGACGTTCTTGTTTGACGTGTTCATAGTAGTTGCCGGGTCGACAGGTTATAGTTAAATTCTTTAAAATAAAATGAAGAATCTATTCTGTGGATTGCTGATTAGTATATGTATTCTAAATTTAAGTAATGTCGATGGACAGCAAAGGAGACAGGTATTATTTTTATAAAATCACTTTATTGAGTGTAATTTCACTTCAAATTTTAAGGGGTACACTATGGCAGAAAGAGTGCAACAGCTTACGGACATGGCAAATAAAAGAGCTGTCCTTAGATTCAACGCAAATAAATTTCGGGATTTCGTAAAATCAAGTCCTCGAAACTATTCCATTGTTATAATGTTTACTGCAATGGCTCCACAGAGACAATGCCAAGTGTGTAGACATGCCAGCGATGAATTTACGATAGTAGCCAACTCCTTTAGATACTCCCAGTCTTATTCGAATAAGTTATTTTTTGCAGTTGTAGATTTCGATGAAGGTTCTGATGTTTTCCAAATGGTAAGTATTATAAATCGGTGTATAAGGATTTTCAAAACATTATTTTTAGTTGCGGTTAAATACTGCCCCAGTTTTCATTCACTTTCCACCAAAAGGCAAATTGAAGAATGCTGATACTATGGATATTCAACGAATCGGCTTTGCAGCTGAAACTATTGCCAAGTGGATAGCAGAGAGAACTGATATTCAGGTAAGATTAGGTAATTGTTTCCTCAGAAGGTTATTAATTTTAATTAATTTTAGATTAGAGTATTCCGACCACCAAATTACTCTGGTACTTTTGCCCTAGTGATACTATTTGGAATAATAGCTGCATTCTTATATCTTCGTAGAAACAATTTAGAATTCTTATACAATAAAACAATGTGGGGAATAGGTTCGCTATTTTTCTGTTTTGCCATGACGTCTGGACAAATGTGGAACCATATACGAGGACCACCGTTCATACATAAAAATCAAAATGGGCAGATAGCTTACATTCATGGTTCGTCTCAAGGCCAATTTGTTTTTGAAACCTACATTGTTATGGTTTTGAGTATCCTTTGTGCGAAATATGTTAATAATTAGATATTAGTTTAGTGAATTTATGTTAACTTAAAAAATGAGCGCCTTTCAACAAACGAGTGTTTGTCAGATTTCCTTAACACCTCATAGATGCTGCTATCGTTTTGGGTATGATCTTTATGACTGAAGCAGCGAGGGGAAAGGGAGATCCCAAGAAGCGAAAAATCATGGCTGTGGTTGGCCTCGTCTTGGTCTCCGTGTTCTTTTCCCTTTTATTGTCCGTTTTTAGAACTAAAACCCAAGGCTACCCTTACAGGTAAGGTAAACATTAATCGACTAAATCGCTTTTCATTAATTTGAATTTTTCAGTTTCCTCTTAAAGTAGGACTTTTCTTCGGACATAGAAACACTTGACGTTAATCCTTCTACATTACTTTTATTTAAACTTTTTAAATACGTTGTGTTCAAGTACTGGTAATAAAGTTGTTAAATGACGTGAATTTTTATTTCGTTTGCCTGCCTAATTACAAAGCGTTTTTAAATTATTAAGGTTTTCTGAGTTGTACAAATTTAGCTTTAATAAAATATTTTTGACTTAATATTGTATATATAGGGGAAGATATCTGAAAAATAAAAAGAAAGACATCTGATAAACATATTTAATTCAATTAATAGCAATTTTGTATGGCTTTTACAAAACATTAATAAATGGCATAAATAAGGTCATTAAGCTGCCACAAATATCAGTGTCGGTTAGGCTAAAATTATAATTAATCATGGCTAATAGGAACTGAGAACATAAATACTGCTTTCTACCCTATACAATTAGGAAAGGGCTAATGTGCTGTTATCTAATATCAATTGAACTAAAACGTCTATTTCTCATTTATTTAAGAGTATGGAAGTTGAAGAGATTAGCCTATTATACTAAGTTTTCCAGATTAAAAATGGGAAATTTTTACAATAATATGATTATATTGCCTATGCCAATGTACAGGGTGATTCAAAATTCAGTACATAGAATTTAGTGGCGTACTTTTGAGGTCAAAATAAGAATTTTTTTCCTATAAACGTGTCCACAAATGCTTAGTTCTCGGTACACAGGGTGTCACATTTATTTTTCAATTTTTTAGAAATAATTTTCAAATATATTCGAATGTACGCATAAAACTTGGAGTACGGGGGGTTTTTAGGATGGCAAATTTAAATATGTCATTGCTTTTCATGCTGCTTGCAGAGGGCGCCAACGAATTCAATTGACCTCAACTTTTTTGCTACCCTGTGCATTGACGTTTTGTATTAGTGTGTTCATTCTCTTATCAATTTTAAGCAAAAAAGGTATACTTGGTCGAAATCTCTCAATTCAACTGTTTCCGAGGACATTGGCTGATGAAGAGTTAAATGCACATGAAATTTTATAACTACAGTGAAAAATTTTAAAATTTATTTTGAATTCACATTTATAGGGAAAAAAGTCTTATTTTGACTTCAAACATATGCCCCTAAATTATTTGTACTGAATTTTGAATCAGCCTGTATATCAAAATTAATAAGGTTTTTATCACTGTTAACTTTTTATAGTTTATAGTACGAGTCTAGTAAAGACGTATATTATTAAAAGTTTTTTTATAAAAATCATTCAGAACCTGGGTTTCAGCTAAATTTGTGATGAACTGAATTTTATACTAATTTTTAAGAACTAGAATCTGTAGAAAGACAATACAAAAATAATTAAAAAATTATACTAAAAAAGTTCCTAATTAAAAAAAAGACTAACGATATTCATTTTAATAGTTTGCTTAAAACAGATGTCAAATTAATAGCCCAAGAGATTGGTGTCAAAATTCCCCGTGATTGAACTAATGGCCAATTTTGTTTTTAATGTGTTGGTCGTATGTTGAATAATAGGGTTTCAGAGTTTGCCGACACCCCTGCATGTTTAAAATTAACTGACGGAAGCCGTATACTTTTATTTATCGAAAAAACATTAAATGTAAGGAAAAATTTAAAATTCGTAATATCTCTGTAATTATTTGTAAACATATAAATTTTTAATTACCTTAACTCAATTATTTTGCAAAATATTAAAATATTAAAAAATCATGGAAAATAAAAAAATAAAAAATTCAATTTTATATAATAATAATATTAATAACGACAACAACAATAAGGAAGAAGCAATCGAGATATACGCATTTCCCGCACTCGGTAAGTAGTACATTTTACCCCATTTTAAACGCCCCTGGCCCAACTAAACTGTCAGCAACTTTCATTTTTTTACACCCCCGAGGTCTAGAATATATTTTACGAGTTGCTGACATTAATTTGATCACGGGGCGATTTTCGTATTTACCCCTGCACCCCCAACCCCTGCCCCACAAGGGATGTCAGCAAACTCTGAAACCCTGTTATTCAACATACGACCAACACATTAAAAACAAAATTGGCCATTAGTCCGATCACGGGGAATTTTGACACCAATCTCTCTGTCTATAATGAGAGATATTGCATATACAAATCTCGTGTCATAATAACGTTAATGTTTGGATGTTCGAGCATGCGCAGATGTAATGCACGATAAATTATAACCTTTTGCGGATAGCGCACGACTTTACTTGTGCACAAATTAGATAAAGCTCAGGATCAGTCGGACCTCGGACACACCTTTAATCGTTCTTAATTCCAAATAATGGACACTACGTGCTGTTTGGCAATAACGATGAACTTCTGCAATATCTCTCTAATTTCCATTTTCAAGTTTTTTGGTAATAAGACGTCTCATATTACCGAGTTTTTATATACTATGAAAAGGTAAGCAACAGTGAACACCCAATTTGGTATAGTCTATATATAAATTACATTAAAAAAATTAATAAAATAACTTAAATCACAATACTAAAGAATATTCAAGCCAGAAATTTTTCTGAATATTCAATCATATGTCAAATCAGATCTGGAAGTAGGTTTCATAAGGAATTTTGTACTTGATACTCGACATAATAAATACATTAACGTACCATTAAAAATGGACATTAATTTCACAATTAATCTACTTTCTCACAATAATCTTTTTTTTTATCAGAAAAAATAAGACCGTAGTTTGATTCAAGTCGACATTCGCTATCGTAACGGGCACCACATAGGGTGCTTATCTTCCCTTACGTCCTTCATATGCTGAAAACTGAAATTTCAATAAAAATTTCTGCCTTAGTGTCGCTACGAAATGGAATAAGCTTGTAATTAAAAAAAAAGAGGAAGTCAGTCAATTTTTAATGGTGCGGTAATTTTGATGCGAACTGTACATAGAGATAGATCGATTGCTGGATTTTATACATAGGGACAATTATAATATATACTTTAACACATAGGTTATCATATTTTTGACTAGCTCGTTATACAGAAAGAGAAAATGTGTATTTTCCCAGTGACTCGACATTCCTTCGATAACATAGCATGAATAACCGGGACTGTGAATAAAATCAGCTATCAACTTCACTAAACAAGTCCATTAGCTGCTTAATTGATGTTATTAATTTAGTTTTATACGATCTCTCAGGTACAACTGTAGAATTAAAATTGCTTTACCACGAAACTACCTAAACACTTTTGCAAATATTGGATTGCGAACGGTATAAGAAAGTTCACAGCAGTCAGCAGCAGAGTTCAGTCTGCAGTCAAATTATACCGATTTTCTTCCAAAACACATGTTCAAACAAAGCAATACATATTAAAAATGCTTAATTTCCTAACTTAATTGAAATTCTTTGTTTCGTAAACTTCCGATTTACTTTTAGAAAGGTCTACAGTGGAAAGGTATTGCTCACTGGACGAAATTTGATACTTTACCAATTACACACTGAGAAAATATTTATAACAAATTAGAAACGCAGAAATACTAAATAATATTCCAGCTAAAACTTGTCAACGTAACCTAGGCCATTGTCGTTCTTTGTCGGTTAAGGGTACGTAGACCACCCCCATAAGGGTTTTTCGACTAACAGTCCCATCGGGCAGTTTATCGATTTGTTCTAATTGTTGATCTCCACCAGCAGGTCCAACTGGTACTATCAATCTACCTCCTACCTGAAATATAATCATGTCCTTTATTAACTTAAAGTGAATGTGCAACCGTTTAAAAAATTTTCAATGATTATAATTATACGTCAATTATTGATAATTAAAATACAATTACGACACCTAATTTAATTAGAGACAACTAACCTTTAACTGATCTACAAGGGGTTGGGGTAATGTAGGTGCTGCAGCACCAACATGAATGGCATCATAAGGTCCTAAATCGGGATAACCTTTGCGTCCATCTCCAGCAAAAAGTTGCACTCGACCTGATTCTAGAAGTTCTGGATGGTCCTTTAGGATGTTTTGTTTAGACACCTCCACTAATTCTGGTATATGATCAATTCCTACCGCAATACTGCAAGAAAATAAACAAAATGTGTTAATCCTCATCTTAGTTACAAAGTGTAAAATTTTATTATTTTACTACTTTAAAAATAAACTGCTTCTCTTCAATCGAGGTTGGTGGAATATTTCATACCCCTTTTCTCCTAACATCATCGCCATGCAAGCTGTAAGATATCCACTTCCTGAGCCCACATCTAACGCTCTTGTTCCGTGAATTAAATTATTTTTTAATAGTTCCAAAGCATGGGCGTGCATATGTGGTGCACTTATTGTAACAGCAAATCCAATTCCTTGGGGAGCATCCATGTATGGACTATTTTTTGAATAATTGCCCCTATCTACGGCTAGCATTGCATTTTCTACTGCATCGCTTCGAATAATACCATTGGCTAACCAAAAAAAAAAAAAAAAAATCATCACTTCATAGTATTTCATAATATACTTAACCTGTAATTATTACCTCTCAAATTTCGAACCAATTCCGCATTTGTTTTCCCGTGACTTCGCCAAGCCATTATTGATAGTTTGAATAATGTAAGAAATAGCAATAAATAGTAAACCTTAAACATTAACTTTCCACAACAAAATTTTATTTTAACTACATGACATGACCTCGAAATTACCTCACCTGTCAAATATGTGTCAAATGCAGGAAATACAAAACATAACCCGGTCCTCCGACATGAAATAATCACATACTTCTAGATAGAAGTATGTGGAAATAATCGACTGCATAGATCGACTGGCAATTTTCCAAGGTCCAAGGTTATTCAAAGGCAAGTTTATTTTCGAGTGACTAGAATAGTCCACTGTCCAGAGGAACTCATCTCATTTACATTGAACTGAATCATTCTAGAAACGTTCCTTGTTCTTTGTATGAATTAAAACAAGCATTGGGCGCATTCCACTGTGCAAAATTTAATTAAGCACTCGCGCTGTTTTTGATGGCATTGTTTGTGGTCTAAATGATTTTGGACAGAGGGGCCGAAGCGAACTATCTCAATTTTGTCCTACCTGGACAGCCTCGAAAAGGTGTCCATCCGTCGTAAAACCCGACTACAAATGTAGGCGGTTTGTGGAACCTCCTCTTGTCCTGGCTGACCCCCGAGGTTAGAAATCTGATATATAGATATTCTGTGCCCGAGGTACTAGGCCTATATTAGGGAAGTATAGTCCTAGGCAAAGAGGAACCTTTTTGCCCCTAGACAAAAAAAATCAATGAACTCCAGATTTTTGCCTGACTTCTACGTTTTGTGGCCCTAAGACTATCGATTAGAGGACCTACATATTATTATGAGCCCATTCATTTGAATAAGAAGTGACTCTATGACTCATCGGAAGCAACAGCAGTCTGAGAACCATCGTGATCTCTAAAAATCTAAATTAAACTAAAGTTGAATTCGCAAAATAGATTTCAAGGTTGCTAATTCTGTCTTTAGTATGTGTTCTTTCACCAGCAATAAATTTTCGGAGAAAAATTCAGGTTAACAATAATTATCAGTAAATATGGGGTGGCTAAAGGTGTTTACAATTGCGAAAAAAACGAATTGACATAGATAGGGCAAATAGTGAAGGAGGAAGAAAAACACCTTATTCTTATTTTATGACTTTGGAGGTTTATACTATACTGTAGTATGTTTAGATCACCATTTGCGAAGACCTCATACCTACACGTTTACTTACTCTAAAAGATTTTTATCATTATCATAATTATGTACTCATTTATCTTGCCAGTATTACTGGAGTTGTTGAACTCAAAACAAATACAATTAAATTACTTGAAAGGTACTACAGCTATGTAGTAAATAATACAGCATCTACCTACCTAAAGAACTACACTAATATATTGCATCTTTTCTTTCAAAAGTGATTTTTGTAAAAAATGATAAACTAATAACTACTCACATTCGTACATACCTACAACAAATACATGTCGAATGTTAATATCAATAGTAATTAAATAAATAAAAGTCAATTTCAAAATGTAAATCTTGTATACCTCCCACGTAGGTAATTATTATATTTTATTATACTGATACAATAAAAAATAAATAAATTCAAGTTAATAAAAAAACGTAGGTATCTAGATGCATAAATTAATGTGTTTCAGTTTCCAGGAATATAAGAATGAAAATTTAAAAAAAATTGCATTGCAATGTACCTATTTTAAATGGCGCGAAAAAATTGAATGCAGATATGGAATCATGGCTTCAAACAAATCAGTGATATCATGTGTTTGGGTGGCATAAAATGGTTTGCTCTTGAACTTAGTGATACATTGGTGTAGTTTGTAAGGATTTTTAGATATAAGGTAACATTAAATATATTTATGAACTTCAGAATTTGCATGAGGTTTTGTAAATCTTAAAACTTTTTTTGAGATATAATTAAATCTGCGACAAAGAGTAACAGAAAATGCATGCTCATATTCACGTTGTATATATTTTGCAATGGCCGATTCTTTGACCTATATTATTTAATTCACAGTTTATTTAGCACAGTTTACATTAATAGAATCACATTGAGCGAATAAAAAGTTCTCTCGAGGACAATTAAATATAAATTGGAGTTTTTAACGAAAAGTATAACCTAACATTTTTGGTAATATTACCATACTTGTACACGTATTCGTCTGTTTACTTGCAAATAATTTTCTGAAACGATGCAACCCCATTATTAGTTTTAAAATCAGTTTTATAATTTAATTAGATTTACAATACAATACAATGAAGCTGCGTTGTAGAGGGATCTACTTCTAAATTAGGAGAAAAGAGCGTGTCACATGTGGGCTTTCCATATTTTTTATCAAGCTGGTATATTTTCAAAAGTTTATGTGAATAAAAGTTAGTTACTCATGTAACTTAAAGTATCTAATAATGTTAAAAGGTATCGATATTTGAAGTAAGTATACTCCTTAAATTTACGGGGTGCGTAACAAATAGATATCTTCGTTGTTACTGTTGAAATAAATCAATCTCGGTTATGTAATATGTAATGTATTTATTGTAAAACAAGTGTGTGTGTCTAAAAATTGTTTAAATATATGAGTGGTTTTAATAATTTTACATTTTTTTATAATCGTCTTCTTAATTTCTCTGTATCGTACGCATTCTCTGTCTTATGTGCTGGGAATTTTATAAAGTTGGTACTATCAACAAAAACTTTCGTAATCGTAGGTATAAAAGTAATACGCGACAACAATATAATCTTTAATATTGCTCTAGGTTCGTTTTAGTTGTATTCTTAGCGATAATTAAAAATAAATAACTCCAGAAATTTGTTATTTCTTGTGTATATTTCTAAAGGTAAACCGTACATTACGTCAGCTTTTCCATATGGTTGCCATGGTAACGATGACGCTGCGACTTCACGGATAAAGCGCCGACATACGGCTTTGTAAGGCATTCGAGCACGTGAAATGCGATATTCGAAATCACGAGTTTAGAGGGATGCATTTAGAATGCGGTAACTATGACAACCTTGATTTCGTCTCCAACCAAAGTGTAAACGACAAAGATATGTTGTGCCTATTTCAGGATGAGTACATCTTGAAATTTTTAACGTGCAGGATTGACATAGTTCTTAAAATACAATGATGTAGGTACTTTAACGCTTTAGTTACTTAGTACCTAATTGTAGTATAATTGTTATAAAAATCCTTGATTCCGTAATATACTGCTGATAAGACGAAATATGTTTTATCAGAAAAACACTTATCTGTCTTGTACTTAGTAAATTTAAAGAGTGGATTTATAAGTATGACCGTGGAGATGCTTCATTTGTTCTACATTTAAACTTAATGATTTTTCTAGAATGAATATACGTTATTCTCTATAAGTAATAGTAATGTTTGTAATTATTGCTAGCAAAAATTAATATATCCAAAGAATATATCTTTTTTTAAAAAATAATATAGAAAGAACGATTTTCATTTACAAAACTCTTCGATGACGTCGTAATTGCTGAATTTGGCCGCCCTGTATAAAATTATTTAAAAATACAGTAACCACAGACTTCTTATAAAATATATATTTTTAAGTCTGTGGCAGTAACTAATAATGGAAATGTATGTAACCCTTTATGGAATTTGTAATACTTTACAGGTGCACCGTTTGTTTAGTAAGTGGACATTATACCGGGTGTTTTGAAAAAAGTATATTTCAGGAATTGATAGAAAAAAAGTGACCCTTGATTCTATCGTTTTTTGTTTTTTAAGTACAGGGCGTCAAAAACTTGTTAAAATTAAATTTTACTTGTAGATATATTCAAAATCGCATTTCTGAAAAAAAAGGAAATAACTTAACCCCCAAAGGAATATATCGACCTCGACTTTAACTTACCAGCCAATTACATAATCAGAATAGTAAGGAAGTAATTTCTGAATTTGACAAAGATTTTATAAAACCATGCCTGTAAATGGCATGCCTTTTTAGTGATTTTATATTTTGTATACTTTTATATGAAATTTTTCATAATCTTTGAAATACACAACTGATGTATATCGATAAATATCTTGTATAAGAGCAAAATAAATAGAAAAAACTGATTTTTAGTTTATTATTTTTGAGTGTTTTGATTTTTTTCCTAAAAAGTTACTCACTTATGTACATTTATATATACGTACATATGAATTCCTGACAATATCTTAGAGAAAATATTCTGTTGTTCCAGAATGGCACCCGAAAGACCCATTTCCCCTCAGGAAGAAATTATTCTGACTCCAAAGATGTCAGTACCGGGAAGTCCTGTTGCAGGTACTCCCATGAGAGATGCTCAGTCCCCCATATCAATTCTCTTGGCAGTAGCCCAGAGTCAGAGCAGAAGCCCAGACGACGATCTTACCAGTTTAAATTGGTTACATGAACGTGATTTACTTAAAGGTATTAGCATAAATCTGTTTTCCTGTAAGTATTACACAAATTTAAGATTTGATTATAAATAAACCTATTCTTTTTTAAATACTGGTTTATTTAATGCAATTTTAGGTATGAATATCAACCCATCACCATCGAACAGTATAAATTCAACTCCAATCAAATACCAGAACAACAACTGTATCGTAGACGAGAGATCGAGCACAAGCGATTACATTGACGAATCGTCAGTTTCGGCAGGTGATTCGTCGAGTAGATCCGTAAATTCCCCATCACCGTGCCAGAACCAAAACGGAAATAACCAACGCTCAAAACATCCTCATAATATTCCATATGACCCGTTAGTCCATACAAACAACAAACCGCCATATTCCTTCTCTTGCCTTATTTTTATGGCCATAGAGGATTCCATGCAAAAAGCTCTGCCAGTGAAGGAAATATATTCTTGGATTTTGGAGCATTTCCCCTATTTCAAGAATGCCCCGACCGGTTGGAAGAATAGCGTCCGCCACAATCTCTCACTAAACAAATGTTTCCAAAAGGTTGAAAAGGCCCCTGTAAGTATATTACAGTTGTTTACAATTTAGTCGTTGGAACAACCTTGCTGTTTTATCGACGTTACATATATTTTTTCAGAATCTCGGCAAGGGTTCTCTGTGGACGGTAGACCCTCAGTACAAGCCGAATCTAATCCAGGCTCTAAACAGATCTCCTTTCCATCCCTGCTCTACCTTGGAGTCTTCCTCGTATTACGGCAACAAACCCCAACTGGTAGTCTCAGATAAAAGTTCCATATACCGCCTACCAAACCCAGACTTATTCCCATTTCTGTCTAGGAAATTAGCCGCTACTGAGATGAATAACCATAACAGTGTAAAATGCGAACGGGAGGAGTCTTTGGACGCAGTCGATGCGGCCGCAGTTATGCTAAGTTTGAAGAACGGGCCCAGGGTTAGTTGTAAGAAGGAGAAATGCGCTTGGCAGGTCATAACCACCTCTCCGAGCCAGGATCACACTTATAGTGCCGCCGATAATGCCGTTCCAGGCAGTAACGGGTCTTTGGAGGGCAATGAAGACAGGTACGGTAAACTGTATGGTACTTTTTGGGGTACGCTTTAAGCGAACATAAGAAATTTTTCATTAAGTGTACGGTTATATTAAAATTTCAGGAGAAAATGTGTTTTAGGATGGCGAAGAACCACATTTGTCGCAAAATCGATTTCGAAGACGACGAAGAGAGGAAAATCAAAGAAGGGGCAGAAACTCTACTTAACCTAGCGGGTATAACGACTAGGAAACGTAACAATTCGCTTTGTCACGGCGACGAGGCGAACAAGAAACTGAAGTTTTCTCCCCACTGCGACATCAACAAAAATGAATCGGAAGAAAAACCTATTCCGTTCAAGCCTAGATTGCTCCGGGCTAAGAGGAAAGAGAACAGTCAGAAGGCTGTCTTCAACAATAACAGCGACGAATGGGTGAGACATAGACGTGAGTTAGAAAGGAATCAGAACAGGTAATCAAAAGCCTTAAATTAATTAGGAAATTTTTCCCTATACAGAATTTTTATTCTTCTTGTTATAAAATAACTTTAATATATTTTATGTTTTTGTTTACATAATAAAAAAATTCATCTATTTATAATAAGGATTGTTTTCTATCGAGTTAGACTGACTGAAAATTATTTATTATCTTGCAACAGTTATAGTTAGTACATTTAAGGTGGTATTAATTATTTTCTTTGAGCATACCTTAATCTTTTTACAATTTAGTATTATGTAATTTCCATACTAGTAATATTTAATTTTTTTGCGTTTAGGTGTCGTTAACCATATACAAAACTCAGTGGCGACTTGTGACATTGAGAATAGTTGAAGCATATTCATAAGCATAAATTTTCAAAGTCAAACGGCCTTAAATGAATCTGAAAATGTTTGGTTGCATTTGCAATATTACCGAAAAACTGACGTTCGTGAGAAGGATTTTCATTTAAATTTTATAAAAAATAGAAATAGTTCGGCTTGTGGACTTCTGCGAACATTAACGCACACCGTACATGTATGTTCCAAAGAAGCTTTGTGGTTATGACGACCTCACGTGACATTCTCAAAATTGTTTAATCAATAAAAAAATTCCAAATTTTTACTGACGATAACTTGAACTATTGTCTTTAGTACTGTGAAGGTCATTTGTCTCAAAAGCTTTTATTTTTTTTATTTTTAAGCAAAACAGGAGGGAGTGCTATCTTCGTAAATATTGCGTTCTTTAAAAAAATGAAAAACTGACACAGGTAGTAAATAATTGTAAACAACAATCTGAAAAAGTTTGGAATTTTTTTTTATCAATTAATAAAAAAATTACGACGAGTTAAAGTGAGAGGTACCAATTTTGTAGGCAGAAAACGTGATTTTTTCAACATTTTCATTAATAACTAAAAATTGGGATAACGAAACTAACTGGAATTTTAGCACACAATAGAGTAATAGTGAGGCTATATATATGGTCCAAATTTCAAATTTTTTTGCCCCAACGTTTTCTTAATATCGATTTCCAAACTCCGGGGTCTATTTCATTTATTTCGATAGCAGATGATTTCGATGTTACCATATTTTGTGTTCAGTGGTCTTGATGTTCCATGAGTCTCCTGTCATTTATTTTTACGTGTGTAAATCTTGATTACGCATGTAATATTCTGTTTGTGAATACCAATCCTTGTTTGTGATCTTTTTAAATGCCCGATATATTTGCGATATTAGAGCGTAGAAAAACCAGGAGATTGTTACGCTTTCAGAATTTTGGAGTCTAAAAAAAAACATCAGATAAATTGCTGCTAAGAGGTTTAAAATGTTACTGTTTTCCTTCAGGCGATGAGGTCGATATGTCACCGAAAACATCAAGACCTTAAATTCAAATGTTACTATAAAATTCTAACCAAAAATAAAGTTTTTAAATTTAAGTGATATTTCTGCCATTCTGAAAAAAAAATTTTAAACAAACAATTATAAATAAGTTTGCCTAACCAGAAATATCGTGCATTAAGATTTATATGATTGTTCACAATTAAACTGAAAAATAACTGGTATCGGTGACCTACTAATATTAAAGTAGTAGTTTTCTACCATATCGTTAGTTAAAAACTGCAATAAGTGATTGCATTATTTTTTCAAATAGTCATAAAAAAAATTATTTTTCGAGTAAAAAACTTAATGAATCGATGCCACAAATAAGTAATTAGACAATATCTAAATCGTACTTTGCTTAAAAATACAAATTAGACTGAAAATGTATTCCTTTATCCATCTTAAGTGTAAAGCTGGCTATAACTGTTAGTAGTCTTTGTTTGTATATAAATTTAATCGTGTTCGGGTGCATCACCAAATATTTATTTATTTATAATAATTTTCAAGTCATCTATTATGATTTTAGTGTTAATATTATTTGTAATATTTACATTTGTTGTTTTACCGTAATCATGCAATTACTCAATTTAATGCGGAAATTATAGATTGTAATTTTTTCAATGTTACCATACAGTTAGTTAAAGGGGGTCATATTTCAGTACAAAAGAAAATTTTGGAGTAAAAATTATTGAGTGAAATTGAAAGCTCTTAGAGAAATTATGAGGTTGAAGGTGACGTCCCCAAATAGGAACATCTTGATCTTATTTTGAGAACGATTACATTTTTTTCATTTGTTTTGTTATAGAAAACATCTACTGCATTGGCTATTATATAATTTTATATTATCCAGTTAAATCACACTGTATTAAACTTAAACCTTCGAAAAAAACTTTGAAATTTTGTTTCACACTTAGTTGGCAATAATATGAACGAGAGTGAGAATAATTCAGTATAAACACCGTTGACAACCAGATCAACATTTAAATGTCGACTATTGGTTTATGTGTATCTTTGGTTAATTTTTGACTATGATGACTTTTCAGGAATTTTTTGAGAAATCTCGTATACAGGGTGTATACTAAATATGTAAAAATATTTCTAACGATTCGTTGGATTATTTTAAGAAGAACAGTTCATACAAAGCTATGATCTAAACGGCGTAGCTTTTGGAACGAAATGTGTTAAAGTTTTTGAAAAATGTAGGGTGTTTACAAACTCGATTAGCATAAATATTTTTTGTAAATAGAATATTTTTTTGATATCGACAGACTTACCACATTGACATGATGAACTTTCTTGGAACCACTGACTCAAAGGATAGCTTTGCCTTTGTTCACGTTCACAAAACGAAAACGTAATTAGGAATCTATAAAAATAAATTACTTTGTTCACTAATAATTTTCACGTAATGGAAACTAAAGTAGAATTGATGATTGCAAGTAACAATTTTTCTGTTTACTACAAAAAACAAGCCAAAAAAGCGGATAACACGCCATTTATGGTTACAGCTATTCACCTATTTTTATGTAGTATGTAAGACAGGGACGATTCCAGAAGTACTCAATAAGTTTTAACAATTTTGATTATTATTAATTTTAAACATCATTTTGCAGTTTGACAGTTTTCATTATTGAAAATGCTTATTACTAATTGTCTTCATTTATCCAGAAATCCAGAATTTCCATACCACCGAGTATTTTCAACGTAAGAAGGTTCCTTTCATATTATTTGATAAAAGCGACTTTAGAGTTACATAAGCTTACTGCCTCGTTGAATAAATTGGCAGTAACTCTAAAACTACTCGTTTCATATAAAAAAGTATATACAGGGTGTTAATTAAGTATGTACAATAAATTCAACAAACGATTATTTGAGTGATTTTAAGACAAAAAGTTGATATAAACATTGGTCCGCATATGCTTCGTTTTCAAAATGATAATTTCCAAAAGAAACTTTTCCTCATGTTTCTTGTGTGGTCCAGAGATATGCAATTAAGTGGATTTTTTTTCTACAAGAATTAATCAAGATACGAAAAGCATTCAAGAGACAAAAAAAGTTGTATTTTTAGTTACTTAATTAAAAAAATATATAAAAATTACAAAAACTCAGTGGCGTACATATTTTTTGTCAAAAATATTCATTAAGGTACGCCACTGGACTTAATAAAACTAATCAAGTTAGTGTTAAATTAGTCCTTTAACACTACAAATAAAACTGCCAAATTACAACAAAATTGGGTAAAAGGTATTTAAGACAGCAATTTTTTTACAAAAGTATCTTCAAAGCGCAGCATCGGCGGACCAATGTTTATATAAACTTTTTGTCTTAAAATCACTCAAATAATCGTCTGTTGAATTAATTGTACATACTTAATTCACACCCTGTATATTGTGTTAGAAATATAATTTTAAATACAATGCTATTATCAAATCATAAAAAATTGTTAACCAAGTTCTGTCAGTCTATATCAAATAACTTTATTTGCGCAAATATTATATTTTTCAAAACATTTTAACACCCTGTATTTTTACTTATTTAAGTGACACCCGATGTTATCTAAGAGACGCATATCAATATTTTTCTTAAATTATTTGGGGTATTTGCTCAATTTTTGTGAGCACTGCAATATTAGTAGTAAGGTAGTATATCTTTCTTTCAACCATTTAATCTTAATTAATTATTAAACTGTAGTTGGATTACATTATAAATTTTACATTTTTTATTTTTACATATTTGGTGCAAATACCTCATTTTACATTAGAAATTAATTTGATAAAACGAATGTAAAGAAAAAAAATTCAAGTATTTTGGCTTTAGAACTGTGATAAGTGCGATAATCCTTTAGACAAGCATCTGAATCGTCTTTTTGAATAAGAATAAACTGTGAAAACAGCATGAGTAGTCAAAATTATTTATTACTGACGTTACCATCTTTATATCTGGTCTTTATAGATTAAGGTTTTGCGTAAAAGTCAACAACATTGGTTAAGATATGAAAGTCCAAATATGAAACAAGTGATTTAAATTAAATTAATCTTTTGGATAGACATTAAGTATTTAATCTAAAAATATTCTTAATAGCTTAAAGATGTTCCATTTTCCTTAAAAAGCAATAAATATAAGGTGAAATATAAACATTTCAATGTAAAAGTTTTTTCAAAAAAGTTAGAAGATTAGTATATACTAATATATTTTTTCTATTTCACGTGATATGTATAGATATATATTATATATGCTCTTCCTATTTATAATTAACAAATTAATTTGGTTGGACACAGCAGAAAAATAATTCGTATTTCCTTGCAGTGTAATATATTGTGGTTTCTGTGGTAAATAGAAATAACAAATATAATTATTTTTCAGTGTCCAATTAATTTCAGTTTGTAGAAAGTATGAAACAATCATAGGTGTTTCAGATGTGTGTGTAATAGATATTTTCTTAAACAGAATCTTTAATATGTTGAGAAATGAACTTTGGCTGTCTTCCGACAACAGTAGTAGACATATTTCACCTAGAAAAATTATTCGATGGTGAACGCTGGAAGTGGTGAATATATCGCCACGGATATGTTTAATGCTGGTGTTTGATTAAAATTTGTCTTAAAAATTGTGTAGCAAACCCTGTATTACATCGTATGGAAAATCTGGTGATAAGAAATTTACATGTATCAAGCATACCGAAAAGATTCTTTTAGCTTAGAGCCTTTTCGACAATTTATTACTTGGTTAATGGAGAACATTGAATTAAGTAATTAACAATTGTAATCGTGTTTATATAGCAGTTACCTTTGAGTGACCCAAGCAAGGAATTAAGTAAACCAACATTTTCTGAACATAGGTTATTTGAATTTGAAAAGATTATGGTAATTGTAGAACTTTTTTCAAATAACATTTCTTCTGAACGTAATAAAAATGAAAAGCAAACCTTTTAATTTAGATAAGTCCACACCTGCTTAAAGAAGGTGTTCAAAGTTATCATCACTATTCATTCGCACAAGCAATCACTCAGTGTATCTACAATTGTGCATGCCGTTAGAAACAAGAGTTTTTCTCTTAATTTTTTCTGAGGTTTTCTATAGATTATTTCAATCTTATATCCAAACTTTTTACGGAATCTCAAAGCGAAAAATTACAGTCTTTCTACCTGTTGGGAAATTCATTATTTAGATATTTCAACTTTTCATTTCTAAAATGAGGTGGAGCATCTCTAAAATCACTGATTCTCTTAATTTAAGGGCGTTTGATCTGGTATTATAAACGAACCAATAAGTATATCTATAACAAAACCAGTTGCAATAATTAAAGAAAATTTCTGTTGGAAATCTGTTGAACATGTGGAAATTTTCCAAATCCCATACATGCCTAGTTCGGAAATGTTTTTGGAAGCTCTGCTTAATTTCTTGAAGTTCTGTGTTGGGTTAAAAGGAAAACCCTCAACTTAAAAAGACACCGTTTTTAGTCTTTTGAAATCGATTTATTGGTATCAATTTTAATGATTTGCAGAATAAAACTTCAGTGCAAGGTCATAGAAGTAACATATCTGAAGTTTTTTATCTATGTACACAAGTATTTCTTTGCATAGTTGGTCGATTAATACTTTTTCTAATGTAAAGAAATGATTATAGAAAAGGGCTGTGTTATCATACTTTGTAATACAGGTCATAATATAGCTTTTATTAGAGACTTAAGAATTCTAAATATCTTAATCTTATAGCAATACCAGTTTTGCCTGATAGAAAAATTAATACTCTGTGCTTTGCCAATATTTTTGGCTGTTTTGTAATTAAGTCCTTTGCAACTGTAAATTTACACGAGGCTTCAGTTATATTGGTTGTACTTCCAGAGAACTGTATATCTTCCATAACAGTTTTTGTTTTTAAATCGCTGGTCGATTTTGACTAAAACCAATAACTGATACTTTTTGACGTATTTATGTTAAATTAGTTTTTCTTATAGCAAATAATTCCAATTACTAGCCTACTAATTTAATAAACATACATGGGTGTTTTATTTTTTTGTTACCTTCTTTCACAATTATTTTGTTGTAAAAATACATTTACAGTTGCAAAAAACACTTCATGTGCCAAATAATTTGTATTTTTATTGCAAGTAATATTTACTCGCAATATTTTTTGGCGACTGTCTTCCACTTTTATAACGTAAAACATCTAAATTGTTTGAGTTTCAGTATCTATGTTTTAAACAACTAAAGATTGTAGGTTTACATTTGGATTTGTTTTTAAAGTGTATATTTTCTGTTGGAAATATAGCAATAATAATGTTTAATACTGTTTTTGTTTAGTCATTTATTATTGTTATTATGTTATCTGAACATTTATTGTAAAATAAATTTAAGTACCCAATGTTTCTATCAGTTTTTAACTACAATGAATTTTCCTTATAAGAAAAGGGTAAGTTATCACACAATGCAACGTAAGTAATTAGAAAATTGCAGAATTTTGTTATGTTTGGACTTTGGAGACTGATCGAAATAATTCATTTAGAGTGAAAAAAAAAAAGAAAATTGTTACCTGGACTTTTATAAGTTGAAATGGTGAAGAGGCTTATAATAAACGAAATTTGGGGCGTTGAAAAGTGTGGAAAATTATATCATTGGGATTTCTGGCGAAAATTGACGTTAAACAAAAAAGTATCTAATATAAAAGTTTGTTGAGGTCACTTTTTAAGATAACCTCAAAATTTCCGAGAAAAATGCGAAAAACTTATTTTTTCTTATTTTTCGTTTTTTATTCCTCATATCCGCAAAGATAATTTAATTTTGACGAAACTTGGTGAAAGTATACCTTTCTGTGTCTTAAATAACCGCAAATTTTATTAGCTAAAAAAATCAAGAAATTTCTGATATTCATTTTTGAAAAATTTTTTTCAAAGAAAAATTCTACTTAGAAAAATCATTGTACAGAGTTCTGCCAGTGATCATTTTTTTCGTTTTGACATATACTTTTTGATGAAAAAAGAAAATCTGTAATCACAGTTCAAAAACATGCTCAAAAATGCAAAAAAAATTAAAAATGACTTGCAACAATGAATTTTTCAGTAATTATTGATAATTTTTTTAATTAAAAAAAATTAAAAGAACTGATTACACCATTCAATTGTGCGGCAGAAATGCAAAAAAAAACTCTCATTGTTTAACACAAAACTTTATTTTTGTACAGTATTGCTATAAACGTAAGTCGAATAGTGAATAAATAAAATAAATAATTTTTTCCGTAGGATCGATTATGTACTTATTTTTTTAAAATTTTAATGAATTCATAGATATACAGTGTCCCATGATAAGGGTGGGATAGCATTAGGATCTAAGAAACGGTAAGATAAACGGGGTGGCTGAGATTAGAAAAATGTTGTGTTTTTTTATACCTTACAATATGCTGTTTAGAAAGTTTTAAAATTCCCAAGATATCCGAAAAAACCCGAAATTTTGCAAAATTGTTTAATTTTTTTCTGACACTATTTGAAAACGAATTTTAAAATAAATTGTATATTTACAATGCCACTTTTTTTGCTCTATACAATGGCATCAACATTTTTGCAATCCGACGTTTTGTCTTCGAGGGGTCATCATCAGGTTAATTTTTTTAAATATGCCGCTGCTATTTTTATGACAAAATCTAAAGTCGTTTTAATTCTGAATTAGATTACATTACTATTTTATAAGTTTTTAGCTTGTTTTAGCTATCATTTAAAATTTTTTCCTGAGTACGGCTCTGAACGCATTCAAAATATCTAGTGGAGATAATTTATCATTTGTGCATTTGTAATTCTATTTACAATTAGATGTTTATAGCAGAAAATCAGAAAAAAAAAACTGTTTTTCGCATTTTTCTCGGAAATTTTGAGGTGATCGTAAAAAGTGACCTCTACAAAAGTTGTAGATTTTTGCATGATCTACAACTTTTGTATTGGATACTTTTTTGTTTGATGTTAACTTTCGCCAGAAATCCCAATGACACAATTTGTCAACCCCCCAAATCAACCCTCTGCCACCCATTTATTTTTTTTTGGTTTTTTTGGCCTTTTTCCCTTTTCCCTTTTTAAAGTTTCGGTTACCTTTTTTTTTTTCCAAGTGTAATTTGGTTGGACTATTGGCAGTAATTTATTTTTATTTGGTCACCTGATTATTTAAAATTTAAATTTCAAATGACAAGTAAATGTAAATGTCATTTATACATTCTTCCATTTATAGTTCTATCGTTAATCATTTCATCTTATTACGTGTATGTGATAGACTTTTGTGTATTTACAGTACAAAACGTGCTTGAGTCTGTCCTTTACATATTATTTTTTAACGTTTTATTTATTTTGTTGTTGTGGTCTTTTCTGTCGACCGTCCTTACTCCAATTGCTACAGTCCCGTCGAAATACAAGTTAACAGATGAAGAAATCGAACTTTTTGACAATACTGACGATATAAATAAGAATTTGATTTTGGACAGATTTTGCCAAGCAAAGAATCTCGTTATTGAAACACGATACCCCGCCACCTGTATACGGTAAGTGAATTTGAGTACTGCAGTTATAGACTGATATGTCTAAATTAGTTAAAATTTAGGGAATATATCATATTACTTTCAGATACTGTTTTAAATGCAAACACATAAAGCCCGACAGAGCCCGTCATTGTTCGAAATGTGGTGTATGCGTTTTAAAAATGGATCATCACTGCCCATGGGTTAACAATTGCATTGGATTTTCGAACTTAAAGAATTTTCATCTATTTCTGTTGTACTCAACTTTGTACAGTGTTTACCTTGTATGTACTTCTTTGAAATATGTGGAAGTGATTTTACATGAAGTGCAATTACAAGTTGTATTTGTAGGGTTTGGATAAGTTTTAAATAATTTGACTCGATTATAGTTTGAGGTACCTTTTCAGGTATTTAATATTTTTTTACGCAATTTTCGCAGCAACATTGTTATTGTACAACTGTAGGCTGTTGTGTAAGAATCAAACTTCGATCGACGCATTACAAGCACCAATTATTGCAATAGAAAATGGTACTTACGATTTGGGTTGTCGCAAGAATTTTCTACAAGTTTTTGGGGACAAGTGGCGATTGTGGCCGTTTCCAATACCTTCCAGTTTAGGGACAGGCTGTACTTTTCCCATTAGAATATTGAACACTGGTTCCAGTGTGTAATTGTTTCCATGAAGTTGAAAATAATATGTAAAAGTACGAGTTCTTTGTATTTATATAACGAATGAATAAAGATTAGCAAATTTATAGTAATGATGTTTTCGTTAAAATAATATACAGGGTGTTATAAGTTTGACTGCCTTAATTTTAGCGGACGATAGAATACATTAAAATAAATTAAAAAAACCTTATATGACACGGCTCAATCATTTCCGAGAAAAAAAATGAAAATCTCCAATTGATGTACAAAAGTTCGATTAAGAAATATTGGCATAACTGCGTGCATAGAATACCATAAAATACAATGTATATCACTTTTTTGAACTTCTTTATGCTTAATTCTACAAAATAATTAGCGTTGTAATATATTTAAAATTCTATTAAAATTCATATCGAACAATGTGACAATGGCGCGGCAGTTAACACGTGGTACTTAGCAGTCCAACAACCAGCAATACGCAATTCGGTTGGTATCTGGAATTTGACCGTGACGGAGTGTTTCTTGTGTACCACTATTTCCTTGAGGTGTTTCTCCTTGCGTTTTTAAAATGTTTACCATGCGTGATAATTTTCCAGCGAGTGCACAAGCGGTGTGCATCAGCTGTGTAACATTAGGTTAAGCGCTGTTGTCACATTGATATGAAACTCCCCAATATTAATACTTGCTATATTTTGTAAACTGTTAATGTTACGTCCCTGTAATATACAACTTTTTTGTTCATTTATAATGATGATAATGGCAGTCAAACTTCTTACACCCTGTATAAATTTTAATGTCAGATTCTAGTTACAAATCAGCTTCCTGTAAATGTGTTTATGGAAACGCTTTGTTTGAGATACACATGTGAAAAAAAATTGGTGCTATTGGAGGCCTTCGAACCGACAACAGGAACTGAATTTGATAGCGGGTCTGCCCCCACAGTGCCTAGCATGAGAACAACAAGAGCAGATCAAGTATTCCGAGCCAGGGTTAAGGAATTGAAAGAAAAATTAATTTCACCGAGACATAAAATTCCTAACGCACTCATACTCAGAATAGAGGAAACTATATTGTGGAAAATGACTACTCTGGGGGCTACATGCTCCTTTCAGCATTGAATTACACCTGCAATATCTAGCAAAGAATTGTAAACCGATCTGTCGACCCGTTTAGATATTAGGAGTACAATTAAATACTGGATAGGGCTTGTAGTCGCCTGAGTAGTTGTTTTGCACTATATCATTAGTTGGAAAAATCAATGCTTTCCCTCGTTTTTCAAATTCACTAATCTTTGATCCCTACATATCGAGTATTATCAAATAATGGGTATTGAAAAGGGTGAAATAAAAACAAATTTTTTAAAATCCATTTATTTTGACATTGAAACAATAATAAAATGGATACCCACGTATATAAGTATACATTTGACAGCCATGGGAAAATATCAAACCTAATCTAATCATAGTAAATATAATCCTTTATTGTAAAGTTTAATAACTCTATTAATATAAAAAAAACCCATTGTTGAGTATAAGGAAATGCTGTTTCATGAAATTTAGCTAAATATTGCAGTATCGGTAAACAGTAAATAAAAATGACATGATAAACATACAAAAGGTAATGGTTAAAAGTTCTAGGGAGCATTGAACCATTACCCGGTGAAAAGTAAAAAAAAAACCATAATAAAATTCAGGGATTGTGTACAACGTATGTTAAAAATAACACAATCCTTGACACGCCCTGTAAAGGGAAATTAAATGGCATCGATGTCCACATCGTCCTCCCCTTCGTCTTCGGGTTCTGGTTTCTTCTCTTTGACTTGAGGGGTTGCCTTCAGCTGAATTTGTGCACGGTCGTTATATTCAATTTCCACATCATCGTCGCTCTCCTCTTCACTATCAGAGTCTTCCGTATCGGCCTCTTTCAGCCATTTAATGAACGGAGCCGCCTTGTCGTGGATTTCCTGACTTACCTCCTTTGACACATATTTTTTCGACACCTAATGAAAACAATAGAAATTGACCTTAAGCATGCCATTCTTTAAACTTACATGTGTAATTGTTCAAATAAAGTGGTCACAAGAAAATTGCTTCCCCGATTATTTCTGTTACGCTTTCAGACATGAAAAAAGTTAAAAAAAAAACTTAAGGGAAATTTTTTAAAATTTATATAATTTGAACACTGCACGTTTCCGCATATTTTTGTACATTTTCTTAAGATTATAGTAATACAGTAGAAAAAAGTAGTATATTTATTTTTACAACATAGATATGCAAAAATTCAATTCAAACAACTCGTATTTTTTGCACTTTGCGTCATATCTCAAAGTAACAGAGATAAATAGGGGAGGAAGGGTGTATTTTTGTAAGACCCTGACCTTAATGGTAAGAGAAAAAATCAAGGTTCTAATTATTTTTATTAAACAAACTTAAAATTGTGGATAGTGGAGTAAAGGTAGCTTAAAAATATGTATTATTTCTGAATAATTAACAGAGCCTTGGATTTTCATAAAACCTTTTTCAATCGCCTTGAAATGGCTTATAGAAAATTATAAACTTATATTTGTACCCTAATTATTATTTAATTGTTTAAACAATAAAAAATGGTTTTTCAAAGATTATTTTAAATAAATCAAAAAATTTCAAACCAATTTTAATCAAATTGATACTATAGGGCAAAGGTCGGCAACTGGCGGACCGCGGTCCAGGTCCGGACCACGAAAGGTAAAATATTGGACCGCCAAAAATTTTTTGAAAGTATAAATTACTCAAATAAATTATTTAAAAAATGTTTTTTACGTTTAAGTGCAAATCTTATCATTTTTTTCTACTATTTTACAATTGTGTGTGTGTTTTGACTTCTTAATGGTTAGTAAGCAGATTAAATTTGAGTCCAAATAAAAAATAAGAAATATGAATTTTTTTTCTGGACCTCGTTAAAAATTTTCAAAAGTATTCGGACCCCACCTAAAATTACTTGCCGACCCCTGCTCTAGAAGATACAACGAAATCGTCGATAAATTCNGTTTTTCTTTAAATTTTATTATAAATGTTTTAAATAAAACAAAATGGACCATCTTAAAGTAAAGTTTTCATGCTTCAAAAAATGCTCCTGTAAAGTTGCAATATCATATTTTGAACTAAAGTTATTAAACTTTGAAACATGACCTAAAAAATCAAATTTGTATTTTTTAAAATTATTGAATATTTCGAGCGTTGTATTTTTCAAATTAAAATTTTAAGATTTTTTTTATATCACTCACTATTTTAAATGTTATTTCAGAGTAATCTCTGAAAGTTTTAGATTTTTATCTTAAAAATTAAAAAAATGGAAGATTTCTACAGTTAAGTAACAAACTTTATTTACACACTATTCCTGTAAATATCTTTTTTCGATTTTAAAATCATAACTTGTTAGCTACAACATTCCTCCTTCATTTAAATTTTTGTGGACTTGATTTGATCAAATCGATCAAAAGTTAAAACAAATTTAGTGGATAGCGCGAGGCCGCGCGCTCCTCGATTCTTTCGCGCAAGTGCCAACACTACATTTTCGTACGATTAAAAAAAAAATTCTACTACCTAGTTTTGATTTTAGAAAATAACATATATATACCTTTTTCAAGTAAAATTTCTCGTTCTTTCGATTGGTGCAATTAGTTTTTATTTTTAATTGAATTTATTAAGATATACAATAAATGGAATTTTGCAACTAATTTGTTAAATAATCAAGCGTACACTCTACGGTAAAAAATCATCCGCATGGAATGCTGCGACTGCGCGGCACGGTTCAAGTGCCGTCAGCACGAACGAAAGGTCAAATTGATGAATACCGACTTACATACCGTTCTAGTGAATAATTAGAATGAGACAAAAAAACTGAACATACATTACAAAAGCACTTACTTTGTCGGACCAATCGATGATACACGCTTCCCCAAGTATATCCATATCGTAAAACACCTTCAACAAACCCGGCACTATACTCATCAGCTTGTCACGATGCAGTGCGATGACCTGCTCCAAGCCTCCCATGAGGTAACGTTGAGCCTTCTTATCATTCAGTGTGAAACGCAAAAACAGCATACGGTATGTCTTCACTTCCTTAAGGATGTTGTGATCGAAAAGTAACTCTGCCAGGACGAGCGGAGCTTTCGGTTTGATTTCAAGACGTTCGGCCTCATTCAAAATCTCCTTTTGGGTCTGAACGTTCTCAAGGACGCCGGCATCCCTTTTCGCCTTCACCATATTGTACAAAATGTCCATCCGTTCCTTTTCGGACTTCTCCAGATCGTCGCTGATGGTCATGTTCTTGGCCCCATCAGTCAAGTCAAGCATTCTAGCCCTAACCGCCTCTTCAGATACGTCGACTGCCCATTCCGTCTGATCGTCGTCACTACCTCCCTAAAAGGAAACCGTTAGAGGAACACCGAGGTAATTTTTTTACAAACTTACGTTATCAACCGACTTGTCAGTAACTGACGTATCACCACCGTCGGCGTGATCGTCTTGTTCGCCGTTGGTCTCACCATTGCGTTTGCTACGTTTGGATCGTTTTCCCTCAGTCAGTGAAGAGCCTTGGACTGCAGGATTTAGATTAGGAGGGTTCTTGAGAATGAACGTTACTAGTTTATGGTTGGATTCAAGCAGTCCGTGGTAACCGCAGGCTTTGCAGCCCTGAGAGATGGTGCCCCTTTTTAGGGACACTATTAGATCGGTTTCAGGATTGTCGCATTCAGGGCACAGGACAAATCTACAAAAAAGACAATACGGACTCAATAAATCTCAATGAAAAAAAAAAAAAACTTGAATATACGAGTAAATCCAGAATGTTCCTTTATTGTTTTTTATTACACTTAAATGCATTTATATAGCGCTTGGAATAAAATTAATTAGACAATATTATGTTACGTTACGGATACGAAAAATATATTTTATTTCAACGGGTCTAGAAAAAAAAGAAACGCTGTTCATAACTAATTGTTGCGTTGTCATATATTTCTAAGGACTCAGATTTGACCTCTAGTCCATTGGACCTTTTTGCCTTAACTTTAAGCTAGGAACATCTTATAGAAGTCTGTGAGTCGAATTAAGAGACACTCTGTACACAAATTGTTGCAAGCAAAACAGATCTTACTTGCGAATGAAGCCATCCAGAAGATCCTGCAGCTTGGAGGCGTCATGGGAACCATTAACAATGAAACGTTCATTTTTGAAGTCAAACTGGGTTTGAGCGCCCAACTCGCAGCCAAAGTACTTGGTGGGGTAAGTGGGTGGTCTGCCGAGGGCCTTAGCCACCTCAGCCATATTAACGATGACAGTTTTGATGCCATTACCCTTACCTTCTACTTTGGCCATAAGACGTGGCATTTTGTAGCGATAGAAAACATCGCTGACATTTCTGTTTACGTTGACACTCATGGTGATGGTTGTCAGACGAACTGTTAGGCAAAAAAATGGTGATAGCTTTGAGCTGAGTTGCCTTCACCGCTGCCGGTAATACTTGCTGCTTTATTATTTTGAATGTTGATAGGGTAACCAGTCACGTTTCTCTGAAAGGTTGTAGTTTCCGATGCCTATTAGATGAAAATTTTGTAGTCCTGTAAAGGCTCGCTATTAGGGAAGAGAAATGCTTGTAATTCGACTAGTGTTACCTATAACAGGTGGGCTCACGTCGCTGCGAAGTCATACACCTCGCTGGCTCGGGCCCTAAACTCCCAACTATGCTTTTTGTTAATAATGTCTCTGCAAAACACAAACAGGTTAAAATTATGCATCAACTTTATTATACGGCCACTAATAGCAAAAATTTGTCATCGTCACTTATAAAAATGTTATTTTTCAATTGTGGAAATATGAGTAATTGCTTTTTCTAGGAGAATATTATTAAAATTAAACACACTGTGATAAAAGCATAACAGGCATAAGCATATAAAAAGTAAAATTGGGCGTTGAAGGGACTATTTAAACGAAATTATACAATAAGGATGTCATATCCAATATCTTCCACTAACATTCTGAGTCATACAACTTAGGTTGTACTTGAAAATTTGCCAAAAGTATGACCGAACGAGTAAAACTTTTTATATAGTCCATTATAATAGCTACTTACAATAAATTGTGAACAAAATTAAGTAGAAATATATTGATGTAATAATTTCAAATATATTTTCTTTGAATTGAAATATCAATTACGATTACGTATGAAATTACATAGGTATTTGTTATTGTAAACTCCTAAGAAATAAGTTAGATTTCTTTTTGAAATGTGACAGCAAAATAATATAAATATGTACAAAATAAATTAATTATGTACATATTCCACTCTAAATTAAATGCGAATGATTAGACAAATGACATAATAAAAAATGAACAAAAAATATGTTTCCTCCTGAACAATTTACATATTGGCGGTTATACCAGGGTCTACAATTAACGTTTCGGAAAATCAATATACTGGCATTATTAAAATTTGTACGTTCCTAGAAATATCCTATTCGTCCCTATTTCTCACCTACAGACGTATCCAACAAAAATGACAACATTCATGATGAAAGTATGACGTCATATCATGGCTTCCGTGCGTCTTTCCGCGCTCCGGTTTCATAATTTTTCCTAAATCAGTACATTATTTCAATAGCAAAGGTAACCGCAAGATAAATATGTACATGTCTTTAAAAAGTTGCAATTTTTTTAATTTAAACAAAACCCATTATATTTTTTCGCATTACTCTGCGAAATATCTCACCTCAGTTTTCGCATTTAAATCCGCACAAAAAATATTTTTCTGAAATCTAAAGGATGAAATAATGGAGTCGTCTTTTTCATAAGGAGAGTCAAAGGTTACCGCAATTTAAGGTACTGAATTGATTATCTTAAAAAATGTATAAAATATATGAGAATTGCTAAAACGATGATAAAAATACGAAGTGTTTGCAGACCTATGTTCATGTAACCATTTTTTCTGATTTTTTGTTCAAATAATTTTGTTGGTACATCTTGTGACATCTTGATACATACAAATAGTTTTTCGGAACGACACTGATATTTTTTGAGTTTAATTTATTTATGTAACACTAATAAAACGTTTATTATTCAAAAAGAAAATTAAAACATAACCCATTTTGAAATGATATATTTATACAAATTACATGTAACTAAAACGATTAAATAGCATGATATTTAACCATATTGTATCGGCGTTAACGAGACTAAAAAAATATTAAAAAACACTTACTTGATATGATTTTTTCTTCTATAATAAAAACCACAAATTAATGTCATATTATGGAAAGAGTCTTGCAAACTGCCTGTCGGTTTGACAGTTTAGATTGTTTAGAAACAATGTTTACCCCGACCACTCGGATCACTGCGCAACCATTTGCCTGATTTTGGTAAATCAGCAAAAAATGAAATAAAATAACTTTCCCTCGACAGCCACAGCACAACTTCGCATCGTTTTAATTTTTAACAGCAACAGCAAATTTTAAACTCGACAATATACGTAGATCAAAACTTAAGAAAAACAATTTTTTTTTAATTCTGTAGGAATACGAAAGTTTAAACCACTAAAAATTTTATTTAAAATGGCGAAATTTCATTCTCTAAATTTTCATTTAAAGCTGGTATTGATCTGGCTATTTTAAATTGCTTGGGAGGTATTACTGTGGTCGTGGGCGTAATTTCAGCTTTTTAACTGGGGTGGCAAAGCGTACCGGGGGTTTGGGGGGAATGCCCCTAAGGGTAAGGGGGTCCGATTCTCCCCCTGGGGAAATTTTTAAAAATTAGCATTAAATTGTTCATTAAAGCTATTTTCACTATTAAAAATCCCTTCAGCAAAGACAAAAGACTAGTGTGCGGTTCACCCCACGCAAAGTCGCTCATTTTCGTTTTTTACGCACCTCTTTTACGTCACGCCTCCTACTCTATTTCTATTTAATAATATATAAGTTCCAATAAACCTTTTATTTCTCTGCGCTCAATAAGGCTGATTCAAGAAAGTACCGTGTATAAAATTTTATTTTAAAATTGTTTGTAAATTACTGACTACTAACATTCTGGGGTGACAAAACACTGGGTTGGACAAATTATGATCAATAACCACCGTTTATGTTCATACTGATCGCAGTTTTATTTAGGGTTAGAGCAAGTGCTTCAAAGAGCGAATATTCCCGCAAGTGTGAGACTGCACTAACGGATACTTTAAACTTTTGTGATTCGCGCTCCATGCGGAAACGTTACAATTTTCCCATTAAAATAAAATCAATAAACTTCCGTTAATCAGTCACTGGTTAAAGATTTGCTCTGCCAGTTTCACACAATAAGAACGCAATATATTTTACAAATATATGTTCAATTACCGTTATCGCGCATATCTACACAAGCAATATATTTACACCTAGGTCATATTTTCTCACATTTGTGAACTGATACCTCGAAAAAATGTACTATAATGTATAATACAGTAATGGATTATTTTTTTGCAGGTGGGTTTTCCATAAATATAAATAACGTTATAAAAATCGTCTTACCAAGTGGTACAGGGTCGAGGTTTTCCTCATTAGGTTCAAATTTATTCACTGTTTACCGACACTGCTTTCCGGACGTGTTTAAAAATCATCCAGGATGGTCATCAGATTAATATTGTTCGCCGATGCTGCTATTGAAAAGATCATTTATAATCGTATATATCATCTAATATGTGCTATTTAAAGTGATTAGGTTGTATCCCCTTGGTGCAAATCTGGTTAGTTCCATAATACAGGCTCCGCCAGCGAAGTTTATACATTGATGGTACAGGAGAAGGGCACAAAAATTAAAAGCGCTACATTGAAATTTCGATTCCGTGACATAAAACTGACGTTTCGCCACAGCACCGTTGTGAAAAAATTCAAGTAGTAGTTTTGTCATTGGTTTTGTAACTTCAGAATATTGGGGCAAAAGCATTTTGATATTGTACTAATGTGGCTACAATTTTAAAAACAGTTACACGGAAGTCTTGAGAATATAATAAGCTACTTCCTTCTTTGAGTAAAATTCCATTCACTTATTCAGAATTCGGACCCTGTTACTGTAAACGTTTTGCAATGACCCTCGGTGTGGACTTGTGTATAGTAGGATCATATTCGATGCAAAGTAATAAATCATTGCCTGACAAGGGAACCAATGCAGTACGCTTTTAAGGGTTTTAGAAATTGAATAATTTCTTTATACATTATGAAGGGACGAAGGGATCAGTTCACGTCTGGCACCCTTGTTCCTACAAAAATTCCTTTATTCTCATAAACTATTTATTTTAAATGTAATTTATTATAATTCCACATATGTACTACATTTTACCTCTGTACGCGCCGCTGTTGTTTACTTATTTTTGGGAGGCGCTCTCTAATTGACGAACAAGCTCGCCAGGTTAGTATTTGACGTATAACCGACCACTTCGTACACTCGATGCACCTGGGCGACTACAGCCACTACCAGAACACAGTGCGTATGCAGCGGTATTTCAGACTTTACATTCAATTTCATTTTAAATTTGAATAGTTCATCTTACGCCTCCAAAAAATGATGACACGATTTTTCTTTGATAAAAGACCCGACAACTTTTTGCTCTACTTTGCATCGAATACGACCCTACTATAGTAAGCTTTTTACCGCCGCTAGCTTTTATTATACTGGGTGATGCTTGTTCAGAGATTTAGGCTCAAACCATCTGCACTATTCTTAACATTTATATTTTAGAAAACGATTCGATTTGTCGAAATTAAATATCATGTTTCCAGACGTCATTTCTTCAAAACGGACGAACAAGTTGGGGGTGGTAAAAAAATAATACTGGGTAATTTAATCCAAATACCCTACATCTAAATTTAATTATCAGTTTTGAAAATATTACCAGGAAACAATTTACGGACACAGTAGACCGAGAGCGTGTCACTTGTTTATTTTTATCCTTAATACTTAATAGTTTCCGAGGTACCCTGAAATACCATCGAATTCGACTCACACTGTATATACGCTGTTTTCATAGGACTTTGGGGATTTGTTGTTTATCTTTGAAAGTTGTCTAATCACTGTAATCTGTAATGTCAGATTTTGAAAAGGATTTTTGAGAATTGTAAAAAAATATTTTGAAGGTAGGCATTGCAGTTATATTTTACAATCATCTGTATTTCAGATTTGGAACTATAGGAAGGAGTGGGGGATACATCAAATGGCCATCTTTTTTCACCCAACCATTTGACAGTTTAAATAAATTTGATTAATTTCGGGATTTTGCGGTCCCATATGGGCTAAAATCGATAAGCGAGCATAAACTTATTTTACCAACATACCTTTGTATTTAATATTCGTATATGTTTAGTATTAATACATAATTAAAATATTTATGAGCCTCTCTTGGTTCACGATTAAAGTTCTGTTCAAATCACGCTTTGCAATTAGAAAATGGAAAGCATACTTTTATTAAGTACCACACGAAATAAAATGGAAACAATGCGACATTAATTTTAAAATTCGTTAGGTGAAACTTTATTATAATTCGGAAACATTTTTATTAGCATTTTCACACAACAGACGTACGGAAAACCTTTTTATTTGCCAATATCCAACGGACAATTTCATAGTAGGTACAATATGGAATTACGAAAAAGAAAAATTTATAGTCGCACAAACAAAGAATACGTACTGTAGCAACCATCGTGTAAAGTCGACAGCATGGGCATGGAGGAGGCCTTGTGCCCCTTCGACACCGCTTCCTTGAGGCAGGCTATGTTGAGGACGTTCACCAGCAGCACCAGAACTGTTATCTGGAAGGCTCTCACGGGCCACGTAAGCACCGTTCCTGCACAATCGATAGGGGGGGACAGGCGCGCTAGCGACGCCGCCTCCGTATCGACCGCCCCCAATGCGGATTTTAGCTCCGTAGGTTCAGTTCAGAAGAAAAAAATTGGGCGGATCTCCACCGGCGGACTTGACCTTTCATGTAAACAAAACGGCTGTGATTTCTTTTTCGAAACGTTAGCAAAATTCGTGTGCAAATGTGTCCTAATCTGACTACTATACAGTGGCGTCCGGTAAAAATTAAAGTAGTCACATTTTGATAACAAAGCGTGGGACCCATATCAGTTCTAGGTCCATATATAGAGCTTTCATTTTGCGAAATAAAAAATTAAATTAGGCGTTGCCGATTTTGAGTTCTCGAAAAGGGTTGCATATTTATGAAATATACATACCTACATTTTACAAATATACGTAATATATACAATCTTGAAATAAATAGAGTAGTATATAAAAATAATATTTTCAGTTTCATAATGACACCTGCCAAAATTTTGAAAATATATGTACAGAGTGACCCATTTGAAAGCGGGCCACCCTCATAATATTTTTATTTATGGAGCGATTTTGACGAAATTTTTTTTGAAATGTAGAGGGGGGAAAAGTGTATTTTGGGGCCAAGCCCCGTCCAGTTCTTTTTTAAACTAAGGCCTACTAGATCACATTCAGAGGCTGAAAAATCCAGAATCCATATTAGCGATATTTTTAGAAAAAATCTACGTACGCCACTGGATTCGGCGTCCCCTGAAATGGATCTGTATCAAATTTCATGAAAAAATATTCAACATTAACGATTCTGCAGTTAAATTTCTGTCAAATTGTTTATTATTCATAAAGAAACTTTTTATCTAGTAACCCATGCGATAGACATCATTATACCAAAATACAATGAAACAGACAGAAAAATGAACGAGAAATTAACATATAATTTACAAAAAATACAATAAAATAAAATTAACACACATGAATTAAATTAAATTCTGGAATTTTCAACTAAATCTTCATTTAATTGAATGCATTTATTGTATTGTTTTTGAATGTGTGCGATAACATTAGACAATTGATGTGTTGTAATTTCAGTGCATGCCTATCTTCTTCTTTCGCGCAGTTCTTCTGCATTCATTGGACGAGTGTAGTAAACTTTTTCTTTAATGAACCCCCATAAAAAAAATCTAGGAGAGGCAACATTTACAAAAATATTCATTCAATTAAATGGAGATTTAGTTAAAAAATCCAGAATTTAATTTAATTGCACTGAAATTACAACACATCAATTGTCTAATGTTATGGCACACATTCAAAAACAATACAATAAATGCATTCAATTAAATGAAGATTTAGTTGAAAATTCCAGAATTTAATTTAATTCATGTGTGTTAATTTTATTTTATTGTATTTTTTGTAAATTATATGTTAATTTCTCGTTCATTTTTCTGTCCGTTTCATTGTATTTTGGTATAATGATGTCTATTAAACGTGTTATTAAATATTTGTTGTGATTGATTTATTATCGCATGGGTTACTAGATAAAAAGTTTCTTTATGTATAATAAACAATTTGACAGCAATTTAGCCGCAGAATCGTTAATGTTGAATATTTTTTCATGAAATTTGGTACAGATCCATTTCAGGGGACGCCGAATCCAGTGGCGTACGCAGATTTTTTCTAAAAAAATCGCTAATATGGATTCTGGATTTTTCAGCCTCTGAATGTGATCTAGTAGGCCTTAGTTTAAAAAAGAACTGGACGGCGCTTGGCCCCAAAATACACTTTTCCCCCCCTCTACATTTAAAAAAAAATTTCGTCAAAATCGCTCCATAAATAAAAATGTTATGAGGGTGGCCCGCTTTCAAATGGGTCACTCTGTATGTGGGGCAAAATATTGGTTTTAATAATAACATGAAATCATGCCATGGAGACTTTTCTGTAACACATCGTGCTAAAATTTTATCAAAATATACAGGGTGGTTTCAAGATTAGAATCCAAAACGTAAATCTCTAGGTACCCCTTTGAGACGCGATATTTGCGTTAGAAAGCCATAATGTTATTTTGACCCTCTATATACGCTCCCGAGAGATTAGTAGATAATTACCGGATACCCTGTATATTGTAATACGACCCATTCTCATTCCGAAACGGGGAAAATTATTTTGATTCTGAATGTGTAAATTTAAAACTTTAATTAAAGAAGCCCCAATGAAATAAAACGATTGGATTTGTAATCAATAACTGGGGGATGAATTACGATTTCAAATATTATTCCGACGATTTTTGGAGCTTTAAATGAAAATTGATACTGCCGCCCGCAATACTGGTTGTTTACTGTATCAGTGCAATGACTTATTTAAAAAAAACAGAATGTATATAAAAAAGATGAGGGTTAAAGTTAAAGATTGTGTTAAAATGATGGTAGAGGTCCAAACTTGATTTAAATTTTATCAATTTTTGACCCAGTAAATGGTATAAGAAATTAGTCAAACTATATTAATTCTAGCCCCAATAAATAACTAAGAAAAAAAATTGGAGGCAATAGAATTAGTTCAAAGATATATTTTACATTTAATAATAAATAAACAATAAATTGTTCAAGAAACTCGTATTTGTATCACTTTTATATGTTTTGCAATAATTGAACAATTTGTCAACTTTGAGCTACTAACATAAAAATTAATTGTGATAACAGCAAACCACAAACCATAATATGAAAAACTTACGCCAGGCTAATGTAATTGCTATAATTAACACCTATACATACAGGGTGTCAACGTCTCAAATGTCTTCTTACTCTAATTTATTTTTTTTATATATAAAAACGTTATAATTCTAATATGAATAAAATGTCGTTCGATTACTGCCAGTTTACATTTTTACATATTGCATGCGACGATACAATCGACGAGTTCGTAATAATGGTCACTTATGTATGTATTTCCGCCAAAATAATTTATTCATCAGCCACGTACGTCGGAACATTACATACGCTGAACATAAAATTAGTTCACATAATAAAAATATCCAGTACGACAGCTGCTAGAGACGATTTCTTTATGCGTTTATCTTTAAATATGTCATTTATAGGAGCATTCCAACAAAACCGTTTCATAAACGCATTTTATAACTACTCCATCATAGCGTAAATCAGGAAAACATTTAACCTATTAATTTGATTGACATAGCTCGAAGGAGACATATTTAATGTTCAAACATTTCTTGACCACTTGAAATTTCTAGAAAAACGATGGTTAACCTAATAAAAGTGAAGAACTCAATTGGTTTCGATAGAAAGAGCTTATCACTATGTTTACAAAACACATCTATTTGTGGAATATGAAAAGTAAGAGATGATATGCTAAAAATATACTGTCGAGCATAATTCACGTTTAACTCGATACCAAATAAATATTATTTATTTTTGTGGTGACCAACACCTAGCCCAACGAAAATTTTGATGAAGTACAAGTACATTTTAGAAAAAAATTTATTAAAACTACAGTTAACATTTGCAAATCTTATTGAGCTTCAATTTACAAGAACCTAAAGTGGCCTGATATAATATATACATGAGTAGTGCATTAATAGAAATAAAATGAATGGGTATTTAACAATTCGAAATTAAGGAATATTACATCATTTAAAATATTGGAACTACAAGTTTTTAGATGAGGAAAAAGAATCATAATTGTCTTTTGCAGCATTGTATATGAAAATGCTCTCCCCATACTTTGTATTCAGACATACCTAATTGTCATGATCAATTAACGCAAAATGGATAAAAATAGTTTTTATGCTCGGTACCCAATACGATTAGTGGTATCAAATTCCAAGGTTCGTTACACAACGTGTCCTGTTAATAATGCAAACCTAACATGTAATTTTTTTTCTATAGAACGATAAAATTTCTCACTTTTGCATTCAAATAAAAATATATCTAAATGTTTATACTAGAGAAAAGGATTTTTAGGAAATAATTCCTGTTTTAAGTAAAAGTGGTAAGTATAAAATAAAATATCGAAGAATCGTACATAAAATTTGACATCGAGAAATTATTTTGGCATAACTATTAAACTGGAGGACCTTTTTACATCCTACGAAAACAGTTATGGCAGTTCGAAATAAGACAAAACTATCCTATTCTTAGTATTACAGCATTCACAGTTTCAACCATATGAATTTAAATCATAATTTTTTTTTAATTCTAACATATGTCAATAAGATCAATTTAATTTTAATTTTATAAATTGAAATACTGAAATAAAAGTAAATACATCCAATTCATCATTTTATAGTGTATTGTGCAATTTAAATTTCATCAGATTTAAGTTTGGTATTGCATCGTTAAAAATATATAATAAAATGTGTTTAAATATATTTTTTTTACGTTTTATTCAAGTGTAATTATTTTTATCACACATTTAATTCGACATGTGACGATGACCAATTTTTAAATCCTTATTTCAATCATATGACAAAAGATACAAAAAATGCACTTACCTTTGTGTCTTACTAAAGTCATATAAAATATTAGCGCCCTTTTGGACGGTAACTTTTGGGAAACCAAAAAATTTAGATTCAGCAATGTAATAAAAAAAATCGAATATTCTTATCAACCTCCGCCTACAAAAAAAATACATGTAAATTATATTCATATATTAACAAAAAAAAAACAAATTTAGGAACAACGTAATACCTAATCTGTACATAATTAATAATAATGTAGGCACATTAGCTTTAAAGCTACACGTAAGACATGCTTACCTTACTTTCCCAACATCCGAATTGTTGCACCAATGCACGCAATTATGGAAAATTATAAATTTATAAATGTGAAAGAAAAATACCCTCAAAATTACACTACAAATAAGCGACTTTACGACAATGTTCTAGAACTTAATATAAAACTTCTTTACAAGACTAAGTTCGCCATATGCAGATAAAAACCACACCACGACGACTTCGGAAAATAAAATATCGAATATCGCTCGCAACGTTGCCACAATATGCCGTAAAAAATTTAAATATTTTCTTTTTTCTTAATTCAAATTTAGAAATAGAATTTGGCGTATGAATTACGCAGTATGCTTATACTACAAACTGTTATAAGGTTAATAGGAATTATATAAGGTATTTTTGGCATAATTCTTAATATAAATGTACACTTGACAACTGTGCAAATTTCTTGTTTGTCACAAGACATATGGGCGTTTTCCACCGTCTTAGTTCATCAAATCTTATAAAATCGATTTCGACTTCTGTGTTAGTTACTTTCGTAACTAAATAAATGGTAATGTAAAATGATTTTCTATCTAGTTTCAAATAGAAATAAAAATAAAAAACTAAGGAATAACAAATTTATAAGAAGTTCAGCACTACTGAATATTTAAAACAACATAATATGGGTGAACCGATTCAAAAAATTTACTATGACTAATAGCTATAGAAACGTAAATACATACATATATTATATGTTATTCTTCATAACTGCTTCAATTTATTAACAATAGTAAATTAGAAATCGCAGTATTCACAGTAGTAATTATGGATTAAAATGTGGGAGTAACTTTTAAGTAGTGTTCTTGTAGCGCGTACTAATCACGTGTAACTCAGTCGTAAACGCAAAATACTTTTAGTTTGAACAATCACGTGTAGATGTCACAACTAAATACAGATTTCTTCTGACATATGTTGACGAACTGTCAATCTCGAAATTGTAGTCAGCGCAGCAGCCATAATAGTGCATCGTAAAAAGTGATTGTGTAGCAAAAATAGTGCATTTTCTAGTTTCATCTTTTATGAAAAGATGTGAGTATATTACACGTTTCTTGTAGAACATTTTGTTTTGTGTAAGATAGTGTATTTAGTATAAATTTCTTTGTTTCTATTCCAAAAACATCAAGTGGTTGTGCCGAGATTTACTCATTGTAGGCGATATTAGTCATTTCTATTCTTTCTTGGATAAATATTATTAATTTTTATAGTCAATCTAGCCATTTCTTAGTATTACATGGTTTTGTCCAGTTTTGTTATGGTTTACTGAACAACTAGGTTTACCGAGTCCTAAACGTTACTCACTTAGGTAAACAAAAAAACGAAAATTGTTCATTAGTAAACTTTTTATCTAAAAGTTATGCATCTGATTCTCTGCCTATGTATGAATAACTCTTAATAACATTGATGATGAAGTAACATTTTAAAGGAAACCGCTTGAAATTGTTAATTACCTATGTTCCTTTTCAACTTTTTATAATTTCTTTTAACGGTGGCTGAACACGATTTCGTTAATTATTGCACGGAGAGAATTGAAAATTCTGCTACCGAATTTGTAACAAATTGAAAAGAGAACCTTACAGTTACATGTTGGTCGATTACTTGAAGGTGTAGATTTTAAAAATATATTGTTTTTGGTAACACTTACCTACTTTTACCCAAATAAGAATGTGTGTGTTCTTAGATATGAAATATTTTGAAAAATAACTTGGTAAACTTTGTATATAGTGTTTTTCTAATGTAATCTTGTTTTGAGAATGGAGAATTGTAGTATTTGTAGTTTGTACCAACATTAGTGTCACATTAGCATCCTATTATGTCTCTATATAGGAATTATTATACCCTGGCGTCAAAGGAATTTTGATTTGAAAAGTTAGAACCTATAACTACGCACCATAAATTATCTGGAAGTATAATATTTACTATAATAAAATATAAGCATAAGCCCAAGCAAGTATGAAAGCTGGAATAGGAATATACCTAGGTAATGTACTGTATTTTGAACTAATAAGAAAAATGATTGAAACAGTTAAGTAAATCCTAAAATAAATAGATAATAGATAAGTGAGCAGTAAGAGATAAACTCATCGATATGGAGACTACAGTTTTTTTTTTAGAAATTATGAAATGGGAATAGGTTTTTGAAATTTTTCTGAAGAAAATTTGTAAGATTGATAGCTGGCATTTAAAAATCTAAAGCACTTATTTGGCAACATGAGAAACCAGAAGAATTGTAGGTGATTTACAGTAAGTTACATGAGTATTTTGTTGAATTCAAAATACTATACTATCTGCATATGTCAACGATAGATAATTTATAATTTTTATTTATCTTTCGGTAGTTTGTGTAGGAAACACAACAATAAAAACCAAAGAACAGTATTGTTCCTTTGCCTAGACAACATTATTTGCTATTGTATTTTATTGGTGTTATTTCATGACTAGAAGTAAGTTTAAACCATATTGAAGTAAGTTTAAACCATAAATAAAATTTAACTATATCTGCTGACCTCCTGCACTGTGCCAATTTGAATGTACTTATCAGGATCTCTTAAGATATAGGTACACAGGACAAAAAGGAATGAAATCATCTACGAGGTAATTATTACTGCATCATTGCGATTGTGATCTTTTTCGTAACTTTTGCTATAATAAGTACCTACCTAAATGCAATTATAACAAAATATGAGGCAATATTGTCATTGCCCGCGACTCCTCGCTGATCAATAAAAAGGGATATCAAGCCGACATATCGGATACCCCCGGTACGTCGCGTGGCAATAAAAATAAAAAAACCATAAGAACGCCAGCATTTCCCCTATTACCTTGATTTCGGACGGGCGCATGCGCGTCGTCGCGACGCAGTGAATCAACTGCGGTCGCTCGGGCGCCAGTAGACGTCTGTGTATATCGTTAGAAAGGCACACCCGAAAATGTAACTTATTAGTAGTGTCGGTTTTCCTTATTAGCGGTTTATTTAAAAAAATATCGTACTGAGAAATTTCGCGTGCTTTAAGATGTATGTGTTGCATTTTGATGTATAAAAATATTTTAGTTACTGTTCATGATCCCGGAATTTTTGCTTGGTAAAGATTTGAATATTATGTGTACAGGGACCTGTGAAGATCTTAAGAAAACAGGGGTTCTATATTTCTTAATCTTAATCTAATAACGAATGGATAAATTGAACCATTAAGGAAATTCTATATATTTATGCTTTTATTAATACTACGCAATGTAACCAATTGGTGACATTTCTACGTAATTGTTAAAAGAATCTAAAGTCCCCAGTAAAAAAAAAATATTTACAATTGTAAAGATTCATACTATGACTTCTCTTCATATGTGTTTTTTAACTTAAATAAGTAGTTGTTTTATTGATTTTTTTCTCGATAATAAACGTAGTAGAACAGTTTTTCATTATTTTATTATTACACAACATATTACTACTATGTATAAAAATAAGATAACTATTTATAGCTACTTTATATGGTAGTTTCAAGATACTTTCAGTATTGCCTTTCTATAACTTTTCTTTTTATATCGGTTGGTAAATTGGGAGGTCATGCATCAAGATATTGTCATTTATTGTACCTAGACTAGACTATTGCAGTTTCTGAAGAAAGTAACATTTGTAATAACTATAGACTTTAAACTATGTTGGTTCTTAGATTTCAAATCTTTCCATAAGATACTTTGGAGTCGGAATTTTTACCAAACACAATATCTTGTTTAACGGAAACTAAAATTGTCGATCAATAAATTCTATTTTATCTAATTTTATAGTACAATTTTCTTTTGTAGTGATTTAACCTTTGATGTAATTAAAAAAGTCATTAACAAAAAGAGACAAAAAAGACATTTTAAATACACATCTGTTTCTGTTGAGTAGAATCTGATAATATTTTCAATTTTAATACACTGACCACATTAATAAAACTGGGAAGTTTTGAGAGACATTTTGTATAATTATCTCACTGGAGAGGCTTTTTTTTTAATTATTATTCAATTTATAATTTGCAGTTGATACATTCTCTGAAATTATTAGATGTGTTATATTTTTCGTTATAAATTTTAATCTGTCTTGTTAAGTACAATGTATAAAATAGTAAAGTTGATGTGAAGGTTGCGTCTACATTTAAAGGTTGTTTTCTTTAATTCTCGAAAATCAATAGCAATACTGTGTAGCATTTTAAATCCTTTTTTTTTCGTCCTATAAAATTCTTTTTTCAACTGATTACACTAGGAATATGTTCCTACACTTACAGGGTAAACTGAATTTTGCAGTTTTATGATTTTTTAAAATATTGTCTTTAGAACTGTTGTATACAGGGTGTACCACTGGGAACTGCGTCGATCGATATCTAGGAAAGTACTGCTCCGAAAAATTTGAAAATTTCTCCAGAACTTCCGGTTATATCGGAAGTCGACATCAACTTCGTTATTTTAAATGGGAGTCTATGTGAAATTTGAGGGTCACTTTATTAAATATTTCGTATATCTAGGAGTTATAGAATTTGAGATATTAATATTTAAAGAAAAAATTTGGCAGATGCAAGGGTCCGTGGAGATGCCAGTAACTCTTTTCAGGAGCGTGATATCAAGTGGATTTTTGGTACCTGTAAAGGGCTTAAAGGGTAACACTACATTATGGTATACCGACAAGTTGAAACATTTAGTACTAGGTGTTTCATTTTTGCTGTTACATTTTGATAACTTCAAAAAGCTATAACTTTGTTAACTTAAATGGAACACCCTGTATTTTTTTACTCTGTCGTATGCATATTGAAATTTCCTTTCAAGCCATTGTTAGGGTTGCCGTTACTACTTTTACAGATATTTGCAGTTTTCTATGTTTTGGACATTTTCTCGTATCAGACCCGTTGTCAAATTGTCCATGACCAGAAACACTCCAAAACAATTAAAATGACTTTCAAATTTTTAGGGGCAGTACTTTCCTAGATATCGATCGACGCGGTTCCCGGTGGGACACCCTGTAGTTGTTGTATTCAATTTCTTTTTGTTTTCTATAATTGGCAGATGTCGAATCGTTTGCCCGTATTTGACGAATAATTCTCTTATTACTCATCCACATTATAACGACCAAGAAAGAGGTGAGAAAGGAGAAATGGATACTTCTGAAACGAGATCTTTTATTTTTCTTTTCAAAGCCGATTACAAAGAAATCTGTCGTTTTGGTGTCCCGTTACCCTTCCCGCTGACTTGCAAATATTAGCGGACTGTGTTCTGTTCGCCCGTCCCATAGTATCCATTATCGAACACATTCCAGAATGGGCTGTAATGTGATGTTTTCGCTGCGGCTTTTTATCGATAAAATCTGAAACTCTGAAAGACCGCATTGGAAATTGATATCCAAGTATGTATCGGGTTGCCCCCGGTTGAAATTTGCATGCCCGGTTGTATCGCGTGGCTATTCACAGGGTAATCTTACCTCTTCTGTAGCATTTTCAGCATTCGTCTGGTAGTAGTAGTATTCCAGACAACATTTTGTAGTGGTTACATAAAAAAAATTATACGCAATTATGCCCGAGTTGGAAGTAGCGTCGATACTAACTCGATAAGAAATATTGATTTAAATAATTTTCATAAGAACTGGAAACTGAAAATATATTTGGTAGGTGACTAGACTTTGGTAGACTACAAAAGGCAGTTATGAAACAATGTAGCTTGACTGAATCATTTTAATTATGGAAATGTTTCCGTTCCTCATTAACATGAGGGCAATACGACGAATTCTTTACCAACTTTGTGTCGTAATTTTTTAATGTTGTGATGCCTATCTGTATACTTATAAACGGCTTCTGTACTTCTACACTATAAATTTCTGTCTGAACCTCTGCGTTACCAAATGTTTAATATATGCAAGAAAATAGTGGTTATTTACTGTAATATTGAATTTATATCCATTCTCTTACTGAAAGTTACTGAGATAGACATCAGTTAAATATAATCAATCGAGAAAGTAACCGTAAACGATTAGGACATTTATAAAAAATGACATGGATATTTTTTGGAAAAATGTTGATGAGCAACAATTAGTGATTGTTGCAAGTCACTGTCCGCTTCTTTTTAGGTTTGAAGTCGATTATAATCTAGATTTCTTCCTGTAAGGATATTTCATGCCAGATTTATAATCCGTGACAATTTGTTTCTGATGTAGTGGCTTATCTGGATTGGTAATTGAATTTATAATAAAAAAAATTGAATTTGTTCAAGGTTTCGTCTCCTGTTGGAGCTAGTAATTACTTTTATATTTTTTTTAAGGGACATAGCAAAATTTGACTCTACTAATGCCTCACGAATGCTGCTGTTTTTTTTTTCTATTGAAAATCAGTTACAGTTTTAAGAAGTGAATTTTTTTCAATTCGAACTGTAGACACAAAGCTTTCTCTTTAATAGAGGAATATTGAATATTTCTCGATTTCTTTTTAAAAATTTATTATATCTTTATTGGAAAATACACATAAGTGTTTTGCTTTTGTCCTTGCTTATGTCTCTTTTTTCATTATCATTATCAACTGATAATTTAACACCATTTGTAGGTGTTTGACAAATGTCTCGTTACAAGCATATAAACGCATGAAGTGGAATTGAAAATGCTGATGCTGATTAAATGGGTACATAAGTATTATGCTTACCACAATAAGTACATACCAAGGACATAGTAATCAGAAATTTGATTTAGAAAGAAATAATAGAAATATTTATAATGCCTTCAGTACCATAACAATCTCGCGATTTATGAATGAGTATCGCTCAAAATAGATAAAACATCTTTGATCAAAACATACATTTGCTGTCTATAAGGTTTTTGTTTTCTTATAGATACAACTTGTCTAGGTACTGTAATTTCGAAAGATTATAACATGGAAAGATTGGGAACGGGACATTTTTAGCTTATCAAGCCTGCAGAAATGTAAACATCTTTACAGTCGTCAGGATAACCCAGTTAAACAAAGATATTGTGTTTGGTACTTGTAGCAGTGCGTTATTTTTTCTGATAGTTCAGTGAAAACAGTTTGAAAAAATGTTTTTTTACAATTTATGTACGACTATATGTTACTAGTATACGAAATAGGTGTTTTAATCAAGCAAAATTGGGGAATTGAATAGTGTATATTGAAATATTTTTTCTTTTGTTGCAGATAACAATAAAGTATTTATAGAGTAATAACAAAATTATACATAAACAATTATCCGCGCTTCTGGGCTTCGATGCGAGCGATTTAAATAAGAGATACTGTATATTTTTGCAACGTCCGTGATTTCGTGATAACGCCTTATACTAGCTAAGAATTAAAGTACTTCATATATAATTTTTATACTCGTAGACGCTCAAAACGTTCTTGTGGTAATGGTAACAGTGCTCATTTTTGGATTTATTCAGGAGAAACATGTCTAAAACCATCAACGCGTATAGGATGTAAGTCATTTTATTTTATTTGTTTCTGTTTTGTTTATGCTTTTTGTTTTTTTTTACTCTTTGGTTTACTGTTTGTTTTTTTCTTCAACTATTCTTATTTACACAGTGCTAAGCGTTACTAATTTACCGAAAAGTTTATTCTTGCCATTAATAACAATAAAGGTGTTAATTTTTTTTATGTGAACGTTGAGGAAACCGTCAAAAAAATGTTGTTAGGGGTCAGGTGTTGTGTAGGCGAAGCTTATAAATAGTAACTATTAAAATACAGGCATATTGTTATGTGTTGTGTTATTATGATTTATTTTGCGGTGCAACCTTAAACTGTTATCCTTTCTTTAGAATAGGTGGTCTAATTGTTTGACAGAAATACATCTTAATAGTATTTATCCAAATACTGTGTCAAATTAGCTTTATTGCATTTGTTTGTGTGAATAACTTTTATTTATCGTTTTTTTCCTTATGGTTTGCTTTTTCGTGTCTGTAATTTAAGCTCTTTTAATACGTTTTAGACCAGTGCTTAAGCCTTCAAAAATGGTAAAAAGTGAAAAAAAATTATAGTAGGATGAAACCCATTGGAAAAGGAAGAGAATATAACAGAAATGAAAGGAAAAATAATTAATTTATGGGCGATCTGAGGTCGGGAAGGGGAAGGGGGTGAGTTTTTAAGGGTAAAAAATGGTTTATCTTGATTTGCGGAAAAACTACAAGTCTGATGGAAAAAAATTAAATGGCAAAGTTGTAGGTAATAGAAAGATCTACAACTTTTGTATTTTACACTTTTTCACATAACCTCAAAATTTATGTGAAAAATTCAAATAACCAAGTTTTTGGTTTTTTATTTTTCTTTTACAAAAAAAAATTTTTTCACGAAATTTGGTGAAAACTTACCTATTTATGTCCCAAAGACGCTGTAATTTTTTTGATTTGAAATATTTATTTTTTTCACCTTACTTTTACCTTAATATCGAAAAAGCACCCTAATTTTCAGTCGAAAATTCTCACGTCAAAATATCTGCTTTTTTAAAAACGTCGGTGGGCTTTTTCTTCGTTGAAATCTCTACTTTCTTATGGTGTAAAAAAATGTATACATTACTATGGTAAGTTTTCTCAGGAAATGCAAAGAAACGAACTAGAATCCGAAATTTTTTTTCTAATCATTATGTACAATTTTGAGCTATTTATTAAAATTTACACTTTAATTACTCGAAAAACGTAAGATTCCATGTTACATTGATAAACAAAAAAATTACAAGTCGAAATATACTATTATAATTAACAACCAAATAAGTTAATAAAGTTAATATTTAATAAGACATCTACAATATTTTGAGAAAGTTGTAGAATCTTCTTTCGTTTCTTTGCATTTCCTGAGAAAACTTACCATAGTAATGTATATATTTTTTTACACCATCAGAAAGTAGAGATTTCAACGAAGAAAAAGCCCACCGACGTTTTTAAAAAAGCAGATATTTTGACGTGAGAATTTTCGATTGAAAATTAGGGTGCTTTTTCGATATTAAGTAAAAATAAGGTGAAAAAATAAATATTTCAAATCAAAAAAATTACAGCGTGTTTGGGACATAAATAGGTAAGTTTTCACCAAATTTCGTGAAAAAAAAATTTTTTTGTAAAAGATAAAAATAAAAAACCAAAAACTTGGTTATTTGAATTTTTCACATAAATTTTGAGGTTATGTGAAAAAAGTGTAAATACAAAAGTTGTAGATCTTTTTATTACCTACAACTTTGCTATTTAACTTTTTTCCATAAGACTTGTAGTTTTTCCGGAAATCAAGATAAACCGTTTTTTACCCTTAAAAACTCACCCTCTTCCCCTTCCCGACCTCAGATCGCCCGTAAATTATTTTTCCTTTAATTTCTGTTATATTCTCTTTCTTTTCCAATGGGTTTCATCCTACTATAATTTTTTTTGGGTTCAAAAATTATCGACCGTGGTCTATTTGAAAATGATTTAACTTTCGTTTGCCAGATAATGTAAAAAACTGTTTGGTTTTGCATGACACTGGTCACTACTCACATCATCTCCTTTTAATTATTTTAAAAATAATCACTGATTGGAAACAATTTTTTATTTTAACTTTCCTCCTATAATAACATCCTAGCAATTAATGATTGTTATTTCACATTGTTAAATTTTTAATTTTACACAACTCAAAAAGTATGACGCAGTCCTTTAGAGCCATTTTACTGTGGCTTGTAAAGTACAGGTTGGTCGCCATTATAGGAAAAACGAAACAGCATTTAGTGTTTTCTGTAAATATATATAATGTATAATCTGACAAGATATTGCAGGTAATTTATACCATTCGTCTATCCAGACATTTTTTTATAAAATGTTCATTGACACTAGAAGGTTGCTGGAGGTAATTTAATCGGAGTAACACACGCTTCATAACATTATTTATTTATTTATTTTTGGTATCGCTGTTACAATTTATTTTTGTTTGTAAAATTAAGAGGTAGGGGATAAAAACAGTCCATATTTAGAAAAACGCCTAGATAAACTTGTACGATGACTTCCTTTTAAGTTGAAGTAATAATAAATAGTCAGTGTCCGTTACTATTTACGTAAAAGAGGTGTTGCGTTTGCTTTGGATTGTCCAACTTGTCGAAAAGAATATATTTTAATTGGGTTCTCCTTAATCTCGTTTTATTTTGTTGTTTTCCAGCAAAAAGATAGAAAGCTTAGGCAAGATGACCGCAATGACCCAAGAGGAGATCGTAGCCGCCGTCAAGACCGTTGCCCAGGGGTTAGATGCCCTCCGGGCCGAGCACGCCGGCATCCTCCACGGGCTGCACGAGGCCCCCGACCCGGTCGTCACCGAGAGGGCGGGCCTGGTGCAGCAGAGTGCCGAGATGATCGAGTTGGGTCTTGGAGAAGCGCAGGTAAGGGATCAGTAACTACAGTTTGACACTTCGGTGTTTGAATAAGGCGCCGAGGTAGCGGGGGCTCAGGGGTTTGCATCGTGAAACGTGGTTCCATGCATTCGTCAGTTCATTTCAATAAAATGTGATTGGTCACTGGATTGATGAAGTCGCCTATTATTTTGGGGCAAAACGATTGTTGCTAATTTTGAAATATAAGATCTGTAATTGTATAAAATAGTAAAACTTAAAATAAATACACCTGATTTTTTAATAGGAAATTTTTTTAGACAATGCGTCGGAAACTTTGAAACATATGTACATCAAATCTAGATAGTCTTGATTTTTGCCGTGTTTATGAACTTCGAATATTTCTTGCACTTAAGAGAAAAACACCGTTCGTGAAAATAATAAATTGTGATATACGTCAACTTGATAACCCAACGCTGAAACAGAAAATTATGTATTAACTCACTGCAAAAGTACCTCACAGACATTTTCAGTGTAATTTACATACTATAGCACTGTTTAAAAAATGTTCCGTGTTAATCAGCAGTCACAATCAATGGGGTTAAATCTGTTATTGAATCAGTGAAAAAATATTCAGCGTAACTTACATATTAGCTGCAGACTTTTTATGTCATGAACACGCCAGGCTTATCTATTGATTATAAATAGGAGAGAAGGGGAGGTTCTCGGTTGTTTGACAGGATAGTAGCTCATGCGGAAATATGGGTTAATCGGGAAGTTATGGCAAAGGAAAAATTGATAATGTATTTACTACTTCTCAAGGAAAAACGAGTCACTAAACAAATAACACACTCAGTGCAGCATCAAACGTGCTTTTCAATGACGTCACAAGAGTCCGAAAAATCTATACTTTTGTATGCCTGAGTACAATCACAGTGTCAATAGTTTGTGATTTTTTCCAGTTCTAGGGAGTTATTTCTTAAATGTTTAGTTAGATTGATTATTTAGAAAATCCCTTTTTTGGTTTATTAGTTTTTCGAATATCATTACCTTTTATTATACAATTAAAAGTAAATAGAATATACGTAGATGCATTACATTTTTATTGCACTTCACTTGTTGGATTGATATTTATTACTTATCACCCAAAAAGTAGGGTAAAACAAAAACATGAACGTCTTTGATACCGATATAGTGTCATAAATTAAAAATCTATCTGTATATTTACGGAAAAATGTATGTACTACCTATATACAGCGTAGTAAGATTAATTCTATGACATAAATAAAGCAAGAATTTCTAAATATACTGTGGATTTGATCCAAGGGCCTAGTGCTTTTGTTTCTGAAATTTTTGTTGTGGAAAATTTCATTTTTGCCACGCCTCTCGATATTTTTGTTGAAATGCCGAATAAAATGGTTGGGATTATCAATCATCTTTTATGGAAAAGGTCAGACGGAATAATACATAGAGACAGCTTCAAAATATTTGGAATACGGAATCTAGGACAGGGAATATCAAATGGATCTAGGGAACGAGTTGGAAACATTCCATTATTTTTTTTTGTGTAAAAAATCATTTGAGTATATGAGAGTCTTATAATGTCAAGATTATGTTTGCTGGAGACAGTGGCGTAGTCCGAAAAAAGTTTGTGAGGAGCCGAAACGTGAAATTCTTCCAAGAAAAAAAAAGGGGCTTTTATAATCCAGTGAACAAAAATACTAAATAAATTATCAGACAGAAATGGTATCATATGAGTTTGAGCAAGTTCAAGTGTAACACTAAATTTTAAATTAATGATTTTCAGTGTCGGTAGATTCATAAATGGTATCATGTTATTAATTTCTTCAACCGGCTGCTGCTCCCAAGTCCGCTATGTTTATTTTGACCGTGAAAAACAAGAAATGTCGCTGTGCCGCGGAACGTTTCAAATTGTTTAGCAAATATTTTCAGCCGGCATTCGGTCCAGTTCAGGATCCAGTTTTGGGTTCAAGGCTCGCGTTTCAGTAATCCCCCCACTAAAATTAACAGCCTCTAAACTTAGCTCTTCGGATGACATCCCCGTCGGTGGAAGGTGTGCGCTCTGAAAATGATTTCAAGTTTATCAGCGGGCAGCCGACAAATAACGTACATTTTCACAAACCAGGCAGCGATTTTTTGTACAAGGATATTTATATGACAATATTTTTTTGCCTTTCTATCCAGAAAAAAAAATAGTAAAGACCGCTTTTAAAAAATGAAAATTTCATTTCAAAGGTATAAACCAAAGTTTTATTTTTTTAATGGAACACCCTGTATATAGTTTTGTTGTTTTTTGCATTTGCCTTTGCCTTTGTTTTTTGATTACAGTAATGTTATATGTGCTTCGTTAGTTTGTACAATATTTTGGTTTATTTGCTGCTTCTGCCCATCTCATAATCAAGATTGCCATGGAACCAGTGCGTAGTTATGTTTTTTTACTAAACCAATCTTTAAATTGTTTATTAAGAAAAAGGTTTCAATATAAAAGGCGTTTTGTAATACCGTAATTATATTTTATATATACCAGGCAATTTTTCTTTATAACTCCCTATTATCCACCTCATTGATGGTATTAACTTCATTTAGTGTCTTTCTTAGGTCTTATAAATTATTAGAACGTTCTTTGTTTTCTTTATCTTTCAATAAATCGGTCACACAAAGAACTACATGAACATCAAATTAGGATTTCTTATTTTCTTGTGGATGATAAATCACCCCTACATAAGAAAAACGTATTAAAAATATGTCTTTGTCTAGAATACAATGGGGTTATTATAAAACACTTTTTATAGTATGTTTTTTTTTTTAATATTTAAATATAATAATATGGTAATGACAATCTTGACTTCGTCTGCTTGCGGTCAGTTAGTAAATAAACGAAAACATTGTGCAAATTGTTAAAGCAAATAGGTATATGATATTTATCAGTGTTTAAAAAAAATAGAGGATTCCAAAAAGTGACAAATATACAGTGTGTTCTATTAAAAAAAAAACATGTTTGGTTTATACTTATCTCCGAATTGCAACATTCGGTTGTTTTTATAGATTGAAGGTCCAAAAAGAATAAGGTAGGGGGAGTAGAGTGTTACGTGAAAATTCCTATTTTATTATAAAGGGAGATGTTTTATGAATCCTCAATTTAAAAAAGTACACTTGTTGCATCAATTAAAACGCATTGTATTAGAGAAAAATGGATTTCAATTTTCTGTTGCAATCGTCAGTTATGGATGATTGAATTTTTAAGGCTTTCTAATTTAATTAAAGTTAATCCTCCTGCTAAATTTATATAAATATAAAGTATGTTTTTACGATTTAGACCAGCTTACCTATATTTAAAAGTCCTCAAGTTTCTTGAATTTAGCTTCTTTGGACCTTGCCAACAGTATCGCTTAAAAGGATGGTATCGGAATTTCTCTACTTTTGAGGGGTAGATCTTTGTATCTCTTTAGATAATTTAATTTAAAACCCTGTTTGCCTCACCTTTGCCAATACTGATCTTATCATTTATGCTGTTTTAGAAGCTTTCCAGGACTATCCTTTTCCGCCGTCGAGGATTGTATTAAATCTAGACCCGGTAAAATAAATAACTTCCTCAAAGCCACCTTTCCTTTGTTTCAAGTTGTAGTGCCACCAATTTTTTTTTTATTTTAATGACATCCTTGTATACTTTCGCAATGATGTATTATTTCTTGTCAACCGTTCTAATTGCAAATTGCTTTCGAGGGGAGTTTATTCGAAATTCATTTCCGATAAAGGGTTTGGGTTGTAGTTAATTATTTTTTAATCAAAGGGTTGGTTGACATTTAAGTTAGAAAATGAAAATACTTGGAACTACATATTGCAGTATGTTGTAACAAAATATAATTTATTTTGGCATCTTCCTTGGAATCTAAAGGAAAAAAATCACGGAAGATTTGTTTCCACTAGATAAAGTTGCATCCTAATAAAATATGTAATCATTATTAAATAATGGAATACGCTCTACAAGTTTTGGCAAAATCTGAAAATAGTTTAGCTGATCATATTCCTAAATAAATTATTACAAATCGTGATATTTTCTATATACAGACTGTTCCACCTAAGAGGAATTCTTCTGTAACTCTGTAACTGTAACATTTATAAAAAATGGTTTTAATAAAATGTGTCTGGAATTATACGGGCCATGTAAAGAAAATATTTTTAGTGTTTCATTTCGCGTGAGCGCCACATAACTTTGTTATTTTAAATGGGATACCCTGTATATTATTGCGTTTTTCAATTTCTTGGTTAATATTAGGTAGAGTTTATTAAATGTACATGGTGTTTAAAACTTACCGTTTTTGAGAGTTGTTTTTGAAAAAAATCACGATTTCAGTTCTCTAAATGAGGCTAGATAGCGTCTAAATCGTAAGAGTTAGACACCTGCAGTTTTCACAGTTCGTTTTGACATAAATTACTCTATCTTCTCATCTGTCAGGAAACAGTGTACGTTGTTCAGACTCGGAAATGTTGAGACCTACATGTAACAATCTTACGAGTTGAAAACTTTTTTTTCAAATTGAATGGCCCACATGGTTCCAGATAACTTATATTAAAACCATTTTAAAAATTAAAACCTCGTATGTCATATTCCCATTGAATTTATAAGCTACGCTAATATCCTTTATATCTGATGTTTTTGCTATTAAAAAATTTACATGCACGCTGTTTGTCAATTAATTGTCGGTTCCGCTCCATATACTTTTAAATAGTGATTTAAATTTATAATTAGATATGATGTGGCGGGCGTTCTATTCTAAGTATGGTAAAAATAATTGCCGTTTGTCTTCCGTCTACCCACATCCCAGATATGTTAAGTAACTGTGAACTCAAATCTCGAATGTAAATGTGTAATATAAATTTGTTACGATATTTCTGGGCATACTGTGGCAAGCAGCAAGAAGACCTCGTCCGGAGAGGCCACGTTATGAGTTGGCAAAAGGGTATGACTCATATCGGTCGTCCCCCGACCTTCGCGATCAATGAAAGTATACTGCTGGTGGTGCCCCTCTCCCGCTGTTCCAAAGAGCAGGAAGAGCGACTAGTACAGTGCACCATCTTACGTCTGATCTGAATGCAGTTAGGGAAGATCCCATTCTATTTGCCATTTCAGGTGGAAAATTAAAACAAAAAAATTAAGTTTGTCGAACCAGTGGCGTGGACAATTTTCGTCAAAAATATTCTTATTAAGTAACTTTTATTGTCAAAGAAAATAATATCTTGATTTTTTCGCTTGGCTTTTGCCATTTTGGTAGGTACAATTTCCTAATTGATACTTATACAGACTTAGAGTTAAACAGGGTGTTAGACAATAGACGTATCAAAAATGAACAAACGTTTTCCTCGTCCGTATTGAATATTATCATATATACAGGGTGTTTCAAAACTATATCACATTTTTAAGGACGTATTCCTCTCACGAAAATAATATGCAACAGGGTGTTCAGTATTTACAGCGTTTACGCGGTACGGATTTGGTTATTTTTTCGAATTGACGAAAATATCGAATGGTGTAGTGGCGTATAGTTTAAATTTGCATATCAGATGATAGATCGTGCACCATATATATTTACAAAATTTAAATTAGTGCACGACCATTATTTTGGCGTTTCTTACGATGTTGTACGATCGTGTCGATTCAGCAAAACTTGGAGTAGCGATGGCGCCGCTTCAAAGGTCAAAACGAATTTCTTCGACATGGAAATTGCATCGCTCTACTCTGCGGTGGCGTTTTGTACATAGTTACATGCTTGCGTGATGGCATTTACACGCTATTTCAGTTTATGACTGCTTTGGACGTGGTCTATAATTTCTACGGACAGATCGTTACGGAAATTGTTTTCTATTTATTCCTTCGGAGATTAGATGGATTTTTGGATACGTGTGGGTTCGCAGAAGTCTTATAGTCGATAGTTTAATGGAGTACTATTGCGTTACCATAGGCGTAGGATCTCTCTATAAAGGGAACGTGTGACGTCATAGGAGCAGTTCAATTTTGCAAAAACAAATCACTTCGGTCATCTAGATCTCGATGGTAAATACTAGGTACTTCTATTGGCAGATTGACACATATTCATTGGTTTTTTGCACTCGGTATTTGTTTTGGCCATTTGTTTGTTGTAAATATTATTATTTTTGTGAGAAATAAGTATGTGTAATATCGTATACTAAAAAACGACAAAATGACAAAAAAAATACTAAGAAGAAAGTTATTTTCTAGAACAATTTACATGTTGTGACTTATCCTCTTCTCGCACCATATGTTCTGGTTTCAATGTTTAACCCAAATTGTTGAGTCAAAAAAATTCAAGGATCCGTCCGTCAAATTAACGAATCATTGCTACAGCTGCTGCTGTTTGTATAACGAAATGACTAACGCTTACAATATTTAATTTCATTATGCCACACAGTACGTTGTTGAATTACTGACGACCATTCGAGAAATTTTCTTCTGTCATGGTCTTTTCTTATTTTGGACTGAAACTTGTTTAACGCGGTATTTTACATTAACAAACGCTTATGTGGATATTTGTTTTCGTATACAATAATTATTTTAAGTCTATAAAACTACCAGTCACATATGAATATTAGTTCCAAAAATATAAATTTTCCAAATGTATTCTGCTTTAACCCGCAATATTTTTGACACACAAATTACAACAACAGTTTAGGAATAATGTGACGTAATAGGGTTTGGTGGAAAGCTTTCTAGGATTCTGGGAACCAGGAAATCTTACAAGTTGTCATTTTTTTTTTATTTCAAGAGAAATATTTGGAAAGAACACCTCGAAATCTATAGAAATATCAGTTTTTAAAAATTCTGTGATCCTTTTCAGCTAACTCCTGGACTATAAGGTGACCCCTGATTAGGTGATATATCGTGGCAGCAGTTTTGAAACGGTGTGACGTCAATCTATTGATTTTCTACTGCAGGCTTTATGGGTGTTATTTCTGGCCCCAGATTAGCTCCCTCACGGATACGCTCGGCGATTAAATTAAAACTGGTCTAATAAATGTTTCACCTTGATTACCTATCTACTGCTATGTTGTGGAAAGTGTATATTACGGTACGGTTTATTAACATTCTTTCGCGGCTCAGTCAGCTGTAAATCCTCACTGTCGACTGTCTATAGGCGGCTGCATAATTGTATTAATAGGCCCCCGTTTCCGATTTGATCTACGAAGTTTACAAAAAAAAAGAAGGCGTTTTATAACATTGTTAAAACTTAAAAATAGATTATTAGGTTAACATTTTCTTTTAAAATTGGAAGTACAATGCACTTACACAATAAAATTTGGTTTACTATATTTTTTTAAATTTAAGTTAATATACGGTACGCGCGCTGTAAGAAAACGTCAAAGGAATTCGATAGGCGCGACTTTAGTTAGTTCAAATATCTGATATATGGTTTATGGCCTATCGGTCTACCAATAATTGTCACGTTATTGGCTAAAGTTTACGTGACGTCACCAGTTCAGCCAATAATAGACTCTTTTAATGTGACGTCACATATTTAGGCAACCCGCAACAAATTGTCATAGTTGAAATTGTACAGATCGAATCTGATCCTTATTTACTATTTACTATTTAGATACTGTAGAAATGAACAATTTCAAATTAACTTACTTTTAGAAGTATTTAAGAACAGCCAACACGTGTTTCGTAAAATAGATACGCTAATGCGCTTAAAACTTACAAAAAGCGATATAAAATAATGTTCTTAAAATTAAATAAAGTAAAAATTTAACATTAGCCATGTTATTCCTAATGCGCATGATCGGGAAGAATAGCCTCATACGCAGGTGAGATCTTGTTGATATATCATCGCTGTCATCATTAGCGTATTTTCTCTTCTTTTGGTTAATCTTTACATTTTCTAGGTCTACCAATTATTTTTTATTGGTTTTCTTGGTGCTTTGCTGTCAGTCTGTTTATCGAGTGTTTTTTTTCTTCAAGTGGTTTATTATAGACGTACTCCTAACTAGAACCAAACTTTTCTTGAATGGTATCCCCTGTTGCGAGGCTACTTCGCTTACATGAAATTATCTTTATTGCGCATGCTCAGTAACATTGATATAATTTTAATTTATTAATTACTACAAAAGTCAATAATATAATTTCCTATTTTAATTCAAAATATTGTTCTATAAATTTGAAAATGTAAATCTATAATTCTTTTAGTTTGGGGTTTGAAACTTAAATATTTCTAATATTGCCCGAATATCGCAATATTTATGACAAAGAAGACATTTTTTTGGCACTTGTGTCCAAAGTACATAAGGTGGAAAATCGATCTAATAAAAATACTGAGAAATTCTATGCGTTTTGACTTTTGATTCCTATTGACATTCGCACTATGAGATTTTTTTCTCCGTTCAAGGCTAAGGCTATGTGCCTTAAAGCAGAAGGGAACCATGAAATACACACTTCTAACCAAAAAAAAAAATGTATATGTTGAAACGCACTTTAAAGAGAAGTTTAGATTATATAGCATTGTTTAGTAAGTGTATTATTACAAATAGAAAAAAAAATAATTGGTGTAATTTTTTTTCTTTTTTAAAATCTAATGGTTCTAAGTATTAAATTTTGCTATTGAAATTAAATGAGAGAAAGTATAACTCATAAGGGATATTTGAATGCTAAAAAATAGAACGATAAAATAAAAATGCCTTTAAATATATTTAACATATAAATATTTTACATTGTTTTATGTGACAAATGTTTACATTCCTTTATCAGTATGTACATTTATAAATTGTATTATGCATTCAAATAATTGCCATTACTGATGCTACGAGGTTGTCACCACCTTATCACCCTAATTCTTTCTTCTCTTGCAGGTCATCATGGCTCTCGCTTCACACTTGCAACTGGTGGAGGCGGAAAAACAGAAGCTTCGCACCCAAGTACGTAGGTTATGTCAGGAAAATGCGTGGCTGAGAGACGAACTGGCTTCCACGCAACAGAGGCTGCAGGCTAGCGAACAGACCGTAGCGCAGTTAGAAGAAGAAAAGAGACATTTGGAATTCATGAGTTCAGTAAGCAAATACGATCAAGACATCAATGAAGACAATAGCTCGGAGCATTCCAGGAACGAAAAGCCGGACCCTGTTGTCGACCTCTTCCCCGACGACGACAATGACGACAGACACAGTAAGTGTAAGAAATTCTTCAACGCGTTCTTAGCACCCTTGAAACAACTAACGTAACGTTTTTGTAGACATGTCGCCGACGCCACCCAATCAGTTACAGTTGTCGCAGCAAGTGAATGCCGGTTATGAGATTCCTGCGCGTCTTCGCACGTTACACAATTTAGTCATACAGTATGCTTCGCAAGGTCGATACGAAGTGGCTGTTCCGTTGTGCAAACAGGCCCTTGAAGATTTAGAGAAGACCAGCGGTCACGACCATCCCGACGTCGCCACCATGTTGAACATTTTGGCGTTGGTCTACAGGTATCCACGTCAAAAGTCGTCGACCTAGCACCTTTTGTGTGTATAACTAATTTTCTTTTTGTAGAGATCAAAACAAATACAAGGAGGCAGCGAATCTTCTGAACGACGCTTTAGCTATCAGAGAAAAAACCCTAGGAGAGAATCACCCGGCCGTAGCCGCAACATTAAACAACTTAGCCGTACTTTACGGGAAACGTGGCAAATACAAGGAAGCGGAACCCCTCTGCAAAAGAGCTCTCGATATCAGAGAAAAAGTCCTGGGTAGGGAGCACCCCGACGTTGCCAAACAGTTGAATAACCTTGCTTTGCTATGTCAAAACCAAGTAAGTAAATTAACATGTTTCGTTTTTTTTTGTACACGGTTATCAAAAATCCTTTTTTTTTAAGGGTAAATACGAGGAAGTAGAGAAATATTACCAAAGGGCGTTGGAAATTTACGAGAAAAGGTTGGGCGCTGATGATCCCAACGTCAGCAAGACCATGAACAACCTGGCTTCTTGTTATTTGAAGCAAGGCAAATACAAGGAAGCTGAAGTACTCTACAAACAGATCCTCAACAGGGCGCACGAGCGTGAATTTGGAACGATTGACGGTGAGCGAAAGTAACAATTGAACGCTACTCAAGACTGTTATCACATATACGTGGTATTTGTGTCGATATAGGGAAAAAATTAGATATTTTTAAACGAACTTGATGCTGTGACAAATTTTAACGTTTGTTAGTGATACATGTTGACGGGAGCAGCTATAAAATTTAGAATTTTCACTTTTTTTGTTCGCGAACTAGTATTTTGAGGAAGAAAAATAGTGGGTTAAATATTCCTATTTAAACAGTGATTTAAGAGCGATAAAAGACAGTATTTTTTTCATAATTTTGACTATCTCGGGAAATTGTCACGGGATTTCATAGATTTAGAATTTTTTAAAATTGCGCTTGCAATTTTTATTGCTAGGTGCTGCCAGTACAGGCACGTCGGTAAAAAGTAAATTCTACAATGGCTCTTTGATTCTATTCTCTTTGCCAGCATCGTATGATTCTTTGACAAGTGTTGTTAAATTTAATTTTTTTTTTAAGTTATGTGTGAGTGGTGAAATTCCACAATGAATTTGAAACTTAAAATTTCAAAATTTTAAGGCCAAAAAAAATTAAATCTTGGATAGGACTGCCTATTTTATATAAACTTTTAATTAAAAAAAAACATGTTCTAGACTAAAAAATTTACTTTTAAAAATTAAAATCAAAGAATTTATTGAAACACTGAAAAATTCAATTATTTTGGAGAAAAATTTATGAGAATTTCATAATATTTCCAAAATATCTGAAATGTAATGCAAAATTTTAGTGAAATATTTAATTGTTAATGATTTCATAAAATTTTTCAGTAGTTTTACGGAAATCTAAATTTAATTAAAATGAGGTAAATATAGAAACAATTTTTTTTTAATAAACCACCATTTGGGACAAAAAATTATGAACAGTTATGAACATTGAAAAATAAACATTCGCAGTTTTCAAGGAATTTTTTGCTTAAAATTTGGTACGTGTCCTGTCTCCAGTACCTCCGACAAATAATTTATTACAGCGGTGCTGCTATTAGAATAATTAATACCTTTTTCTGATCAAGTACAAAGATTAAAACATTTTGTGGAATTATTTCCGACAATTCACTTCACGTGATGTGATAATGTGCTGTTAAGGTACTTATTATTTTTAAATAATCAGAATTTCTAAGTTTCATTATTAGGTCGATTTATTCGAAAAGTATTCACGATAGAAATGTAATATGTGATAAGTGCTGAGTAGGAATTTCAGATGGTCTTGCCTGTAGTTTTTGTAAATATTCGTAGGTCTGCACATGCATGTTATATTTTTTTATCAACTTAATATTACGGCATTATTTTTTTTTAATTTGACACTGCAGTAAGATCACAAGTTGTATGGGGAAGTCTCTCTTCACGATTATTTTTAATTTGAGAAAGCTTTCATTCACCGTCACCATCCTTAGTCACTTCTGGTCTTTCTGTATATTCCATTCTGTTAAATAGTATTCTTTAGCCAATATTACCATTCCGCAACATTTTTGTGATAGTCCGTTCTTGTTTAGTAACTTTTGTTATACAGAGTGTTTATTTTATTTTGTATCTTGTAATTTAAATTTTTGTGCAATATACGATTTCATTGCATGATTTGGAGTTTTATTTTTGTCGTTTCGTTCTAAACCTTCTCCTTTTTGATGGCTGTTTAAACACACTGTATAACGGGTGTCTAACTTTCCTTGGTAACCTTTCGGATTAACAAACGTTAGATGAAAACATTCTGGACCAGTCAAAAGGCATACATCCACTTTATCCATTATGCTACTAAATTAAAAAAATTTGATAGAGAGAAAACGTAATGTTAAGATATAAATGACTGGGAGTATTAATATACAGGTGTCCCGATTTACAAGTAGTCAAGTCATTATCCATATAAGTAAAAAACAAATGAAGCAACTGTTTTTTTAATAAATGGACCCCTAAAAGACATCCAGAAACTACGACTTCCTCAAAATCACAATTTTTTTTTAAATAAAAGCTTTTTATCTGAAATCTAATAACACTATGCCCTTAGAATACCCTACTGCGATTTTTTTGCAGGAAAAGTGAAAGTTATTTGCGACAGAATTGGGGAAATAAAAAAAGCAATTAAAAAATTTAAAAAAAAATAAAATTTTAAATTTTATAATTTACAAAATGTAACACAATAAATAATATATAGTATAGAATATGTAGTATATAAGATAATGAAAACGTGGTATTAGATTTCATTTAAAAAAATTGTGAATAGTTTTCCAAAAATTGGCTAAAAAAAATCATTATTGGCTTAGAATTTGGAGGAAGTTGCAGATGTCAAACCGAGTTGTTTTATGATCTACTTAAAAAATATATTTGACATTCATTTGATTTTTAACTATAATTTGTGGCTTGTATACCTACAAATCAGAATACCCTGTATTTAGGCATAAAAAAGTAAATAAATCAGAGTTGTACTTTTTACTATAATTTTCCCAATCGTTTGTCTAAACATAAGAACAAATGTCAAACTCTTGTGTGGAAGAAAGATCGGCGTATTATAATTATATCACTCAATTTCAATCAGAATTAAAATCGAATTGCAAAGTAATATTCTTTAAAAGTTATTTTTACGTATGTTTGAAGCTGAAGCATAAAGTAGGATTTTTGCCTTATTGAACTCATTCTTGAATCTAGTTGGGAAAAAAGGGGAACGTTTTACTAAAAATAAAAACATTCAGGAACACATTGGTGCACAATCTTGACACATATTTTCTGTTTCTTATGGTCTATTCGTAAAGTAATTTTTTGCATTAGTTTAACATAAAACAAAAATCGTTTTATTTTTTTTTACTAACCATTTGCTTTTTATGGGATATCTAAGTTGCGCTTGACTATTAATAATTAATAAGCTTTTCTATATGAAGGTAAGTATTTTAGCAAAAAGGAGTAGATGAGTAAAGTTGCCGATTATTCTGCATTTCCTTTTTTTCTACTATTGATTCTATTTTAAAACGGGTGCCTACTGTATACTAGAATATTTTCATAAAATCAAAGCAGTTTCTGTTTTTAATTAGTCATCCATTGGGCCGAAGCCGAAGCTGAAAGTATAGATGATATATTATGAGGTCTTATAAATTTGCTTCTCACTACAGACATCTCGGAACCGGTAAGAGATACGAAGTAGCTTAATAATGTTTTATTGTAACGTGTGATGCTAACAGTTTAATTAACTAAGTGGATTTCACAAGGTCTAACGACACTTAGAGAATTTAAGAAACAGAAATTAAAAAAAAAATTAGTTAAATTTGGAACGAATACATTGAAGATGAATTTTTAGACAAAACGTCTGAATCTGGGTCAAGCTGAGGCAGTACAGTATTGGGGGTCATGAAGGCTTGCAAAACATATACTAAAATTTCCAACGACGTATTTAAAAAAATAAAGTTGATGATGGTCCTAGAGAGACGAAACGTTACATTATAAAAATTGATTATGCCATTCAAAAAAGTTGCCATGAGAAAGTGTTCTTCTTTTTTCAATATCACCTCAAACAAGACTGAAATTAAATAAAAACGGATTTCCAAAATTTCGTTTTTTTTTCAAATATTTCGAAAACTAATCATGTTAGCCTTGATTTTTTAGAGGCCTAATGTTGGTCCCCTGATTACGCAACTTTGCCCCCATTTACGCTACTTCGTATCTCTTACCGTTTCCGAGAGCCCCGTAGTGAGAAGCAAATTTGGAACAGCCTGTATTTTGCAAGTAAAAAAAATGTTAGCGTAAGTCTTAATTTCCATTATTATCCGTGAAATACTCTTGGGCAATATGCAAAAGCACCAGTTTGAATGTTACCAGATGAGCCAGATCTGTGCAATTTTGTATAGAGGATAAAAAGGACTTCTTTGAAGGTTATAAATAATATATCTTCTAACAAGGATAAGGCAAGGTAATCGGATCTTTGTAATTTTTGATATTTATGGTAAATGTAGTTTGGTCCTTGAATAAGAATTTTCCGAAGTAGTTCGACGCAACGTTCATAAATTACCGAGATAATCGATTTTGAAGTTTTACCTGCCAGCTGAATCCACTCGATGTGACACATTTTTCAACTAATTGGTAGCGTTCGAGTCCAACAGTCACGAGATTGCTGGTTCAAGTCTCGTCGCTCAACATTTTTTTTTCTCCTCCAAAACGGACCATGTTTTTTTTTATTCTTTTTCTCATCTCAAAAATTATGAACAAAAAGGTAAAACTTCAAAATCGATTATCTCGGTAATTTATGAACGTTGCGTTGAACTACTTCGGAAAATCAAGGTCCAAACTACACGTACCATAAATATCAAAAATTACAAATATCCGATTACCTTGCCTTCTCCTTGTAAGAGCTTTAAGTAGAACCTTGTATATTTGAGAATGTTCCATTTTTTTACACAAAGTGTGGCACTCCATCTTCTAATTATTATAGTCTATTTTTTTCTTTTTTTAATTTCTACATCTTAACTCATATTTCTTTAAAAGTTTCACAACTAATTTATACAAATTTTACATTTGCTGCTGTTGAGATACTCGTGTTACAGTCAATAAAACAAACTGTTGGATTTCACATATTGCGACGTCAAATACACATTGTATTGTTAGGGGACAACAAACCTATCTGGCAAGTGGCGGAAGAGCGGGAGGAGAACAAGGCGAAGAACAGGGAGAACGCTCCCTATGGGGAGTACGGCGGATGGCATAAGGCTGCTAAGGTGGATTCTCCTACCGTCACCACCACATTGAAGAATTTGGGGGCTCTGTACAGGAGACAGGGCAAATATGAGGCAGCGGAAACTTTGGAGGATTGCGCCTTAAGGAGCAGGAAGGAGGTGAGCCTAAGATTGAGTATTGACAGTTTTTATAATTTCTTTGCGTCATACGGTGTTACTTTATTAGATTTTGATAAATGTTGATAATCACCTCTGCATCATGCTCTGAAATAGTTTTAATAATATTAATTGCATTTATCTGGCACTGTAGTACACAATTGATTGTTAAATACAAAATATTTTTTTTATGCTTTTGAAAATTAAACTGAAGGGTGGCTATTTTTTAAACAATATATCTTCGAGAAGTTGTTTTGGTATAACTAACGACTCTCTTCAGCAAAAATTACAATTTAAAAAATCAATATTTTTTTATTTGTTAAAAAAACATTGATAATTTTACCTAACCATTCCCAAAACTGATATACAGGGTGTAAGAAGTTTGACGACCATTACTTCAGCATGAGATAGAGTAATCATAAATGAACAAAAAAAGTTGACAGCAGCGCTTAACCTGCTGAGGCACACCACATGTGCACGCAGCAGACTTGTCCTACGGAAAAAATGTAAACAACTATTACATTTAGTAAATTTCAAGAAATTGATTTCCATCTTTTAAACAAACAAAATAAAATGTATCGATTTTGTAGTACGAAGATAGTGTTGTGCTTAAATTTTAGCTCGAATTTTAGCAATTATGAATCTCTTGAAACAGGAACTTTTAATCAAATTATGTATTTGAAAAATATGTAATTAAAGTACCCAAAATAATTTAGGTACTTACCAAAAAGCAAAATTCAGTAATTTTTAAACACAAGTACAAAACAAACTACAATATATGCTTAAAATGTCCAACACCATTTTCGATGCACGTACAAGACCTTTGAATCCAATTTTCCTGCACCAGCTGGAAAACACCTCAAGAAAAGGAAATAGTGGTACGCAAAAATCACTCCGACACGGTTGAATCCAGATACCAACTGAATTGCGTATTGGTGATTGCTAGACACCTTAGTACTCGTGTTAATCAACTGCCGCGCCGTTGTCATATTGAATATGAATTTTATCGAATTTTAAATTTATTACAACTAATTATTTTTTTGGAATTAAGCATAAAAAAGTATTTTATGGTATTATTTGCATGCAGTTGTCCATATTTCTTAATTAATCGAACTTTTGTACATTAAGTTGGAGATTTTGGTAATTTTTTTCTCAGAAATGGTGTTGAGTTTAGGTCCCATGTTATATAAGGTTTTTTTTGTTTATTTTAATGTATTCTATCGTCTGTTAAAATTAAGACAGTGAAACTTCTAACACCCTGTATGTCTGTAAAATTGATTATAAACTTCTTAACAGCTGAACTATTTCAAGGCTATTTACTACGTTGTTGGTTTAAGTTTCTTGACATTTCGAAAGTCATACTGTTCTTCGGAAGAACCTCCGCAACTGAACTTTTTTAATAACAGTTTGCTGTATCTGTCCATATAGGATGAATTTTGTTACATTATTTTTAAATAACTTTTATTTCTCGCCGTACCTATATACGAAACGTCAGTGACATTTTTAAAAGTTTTTAACGATGCAGATAATTTGTATCATGTATACAAATCAAAAATCTTTTGAAAATTTTTTCCCTCGAAATTTTTGATCGATTATATTCGAAAAAAAATATATTAATTGCTGAAAGCTTTTTATGGTGCTAATTTTGTTTTTCTTTCTACTTTTCCTTGTTATTTTTTAATAAACAACTAACAATTTCATCTTTATTTCCATGCTGCAGCATGTGCAACAAGTAAGTTTGAATTTTAAGTAATTTTAGCTAAGGAATACAATGTTTAATAGATGTATTTTTAATAGAAATGTGGTAGTTCTTTTACAGACCTATGAATGAGGATTTAAATTAAAAAATTTACTTCATTTAGGGAAGGTTATAACTTGGACTATATTTTGTGTACAAAGAGGAGTTATTTTAATGTTATGTAGTAACAATTTATAGTTTGAAGTAAAATTACTCTGATATAAAGGGTGTTTCCTAAGTCTATGACAAAACTAAGGAGGTTGTTGCTACGATCATTTTAGACTAAAAAGTATTAATGGTGTAGTGTGTCTGATTTATGAAACGTGAACAATTAAAGACAAAAATTTAAGACCCAAAAATATTGGACAGCACTGAGTATTTTGGAAATCATCAATCAAGTGCACAATGTCAACCTTGTGGCACACCTGAAAGAATTTATTAGACATGAACCTAGCAATCTTGATACTGAGTATGGGTAAATAATTTTCATTGAAATAAATGTGAATTTTTTAAATTTCAACAGTTCAACACTATATATTTTGAAAACTAGCGGTTTTATAGCCTTTTTTGTTGGTTTAAGGAGTAACCTCCTTAATTTTTGACATGAACTCAGAAAACTTACCGTATACAATTCGATTTATTTTTCTGAGCATTTTTTAAGATTTCCTTGTTTTAGCAGGCCTTAGATATAGTGAAACATTCAAAAGTAGCCAATTTGTTGGGTGATGATAGACGCAAATCAGCGAGTATTAAAGAAAAGTCAAGAAGAGGCTCTAGGGAGTCCCTGGATATGTCCTATGATGGCGAAGAGGTATGTGTTTATTATTTTCGTGGTGTTTTTATGATAAGGACAAGTTTATTAGGCTTTTGCTAGAGTAGACACGTTTTTAGTATTTTCCTTTTAGTTAGTAATAATCTTTGAGTTCATATTCCAGCAGCGCAGCAGATACTTGTTAATTTTTTAAACGTGACTTCCTTCATTTTTTGATAAATTTAATCGGTTAGCTTGTTTCTGGAATATGGAATCGAAAAGGTAAGTTTTTGGTTGAAATCAAAATGTGTGTGCTTTAATAATGGTATTTCTTTTTTTGTCTGTGGATTATCTGACTTTCACCCTTCCTTAAATACACAAATATTTTTCTAAGGCATTTATCAACTCCATTAACATTTTTTCTTAAATTTTTTGAAATAATTTTTTACGCTTTCTAGTTTTATTTTAAACTCCATGATAAAATATCAATTTATATAAATGTGTTAGGGTAGGGATGTAACAAATATTTATTTAAAAAAATACGTATAATTATTTTAATATTAAAAAACATTTGAATAATTATTTAATTATGGTTGCACTCGCAATTATTTTTTAATATGAAACAATTAATTAAAACTTTTGGCAGATTTTAAAGCTTTGACCCATTACTCTTTGCGATGCCTGTTTTGCGTTTTCCAATTTTTTCTTTCTTTAGATATAGGTATTGTTTTTTAATAAAGTTCTGCAACTTCTACTTGTAAATTGAATATTTAAATGTCTAAAATGTCGCATAATTTCTTGTAAAGACCAAAAGTTCTTGGTTAACTCAAATTTTTTACTGTAGTGTCTCTTTATCGGAATCTCTTAACAATATGCAACCATCTTCTTGTTTTCTCCTTGTTGAATATTTTGATAAAGAGTTGTGTTTTTTAAATTTTCATCATTTCATTCCTCCTTTTCTAATGCGAGGTTGCTAAAATTACCACATGTACTTTTTTTAAATCTTACAACATTACTGATTTACAGTATCAGGAACAATATTAATTTTCTTGTGGTAAGACTAGTATTTCATGGATAGATAGCAGTATTAAAAATATTAGACTTCTATGTTAGATATTACTTGGATATGTGACTACATTTACTTTTACTTCTGCATGTTCTCTCTAGAAGGTTGAGAACTTTTGGACCTTACTATTGCAAAAATTAATGAATACACTACACATCACATTTAATGTACTCCTGAATACGAGTCCCATTTTCAAAGAACCGTTTTTGATGGATGATCATTCATTTTTTTTTTTTAATTTATTCGCCAGTAATGATGCTAAGACATAAATTTTTATTGCAACAGCAGTCTTCAGCATATGCAGATTGCAAGAGAAAATAAGTTTTTTTGCCCTGAAATTTTAAATATCTTGTAGAGTGACTAAGCTAAAATAGCGTATGTCTACTAGCCCAGTAAATGGAAAAAAATTTGTAAAAAAATTCGATTTTAATTTAGCAGGTCTCAAATGAAGAGTTTTTGAAAACCCATAAATATAAACAAAAGCAAAAACTCCTTTTGGATACAGCTAAAAAACTCCATTTTTGGTAATTTTTACATTATAATCATTGTTTAAACAATGATCTTGTTGTTTTAAACCAATACTTTTTGGGAAATTTTATTTCTTTTTGCCTAAACTAACGATTAAACCAAGTTTCAATCTGAAACGAATTACCTTTTGATTTACACGTATTACAAATTTCATTTACTGGGCTATACTTGAATCAGTTTGTCACCCACCATTTCTGAACAATTTGAATTCAATTTTAGTAATACGTTAATTTTTATGTGAAGTGTATATCGGTATAACAGATAATGACCTGTTAACAGTTCTCTGTATTTTTGCAAGAAACATGTTCGGTTTAGAAGTCCTAGGTCTAGGTACTAGTATTTAGGGTTTGAAAAAAATTTTCTCTACCACTTGCAAAGCAGTAATGAAAGTATGTTTAAAATACGCCAAAAAATTATGTTTAGTTTCTATATGACTTTTGAGCTGTGTGTGTGTAATTTGTTGTTGTTTTTGGCAGACAAGCACTGCAAGGACTCCAGACACAGAAAAAGGTGGATTGAAAACCAAACTGTTTAACGCACTGGGTATCAATACTCCTGTTAGCAAACCTAGTTCTTAGTTAGTTACATTTTAAGCTTTCTTTAACTTTTTAATATTTATTTGTGGGCTTTCAGAATGTCTTAGGCCAAATTGTTTTTTTTTTTACATCATTCGAAAATGGCCTTTATAGTTATATAGTAACATTCCACCTAAGCAAGAGTCGTGGACAACTTCTCTAATGAACTGGACCTTTTCACATTTTGGTGTCTAGTAGTATGCCTAATGCCTAATCAGCGCTTAAAATGTCAAAGTAACGTAGATGAAAGATCATTCGATTCGTTAGTTTCTTTTTTATTTGACACCAGATATGTACTAAAAAATCTTCCAAAAAATATACATTGGTGTCGGAATGAGAATAATTGTAGATTATAGGTTTCTTTTCTATTTCTATTGACTCAGGTGCGCAATACTTTTTTTATCAACTTATATTAGAACTTGTAAAGGAATATTCCAAAAAATGGGTCATTTCTTAGTTTCATATTTTTACCAAAGCAGTATTTACTGTTCAGTTTGCTACTTGCTTGAAAGTAGCGTTGAGCAAAATTTTACAAATTAGAAAATTTTAGAAATTAGAAGTTATTGCAGTGGAAATATGAATAATTTTTTTCTTTCAGAATTCCATCATTAGTTTTAAAGATGTGCCACTAAGTCTTTTCTTTTTTTTATATATTAAGGCAAAGTGACTGCAACTGCGAGTAGATTTAGGCCAGATTTTTGTCAGTATTACTTATATTACTTGTAATCTGGTTCACTCTCCACAAAATAGTTCCTTACAATTTTTTTGAGTATTCCTTGCACAAAATTCGCTTTTCCGCCTAGAGTAGGTAATTGTCAAACGAAGATCCAAGATTTTTAATTCAGCCCTCAGTCTTCCCTATATGTTCACGTATATTTTGGATCTTCAATTTTAGGTCAATTATTTATTACTGATTTGGTGCAATTACCCGTTTTGTAATTAATTCAACGAATGGATACTTACGAAATTTACTTATTAATGTATTTTATAAAACGTCAACGATATGTTTGGTACAGAAGAAAAATGTATTTATTTGCTTATTTTGCTGTATATTAGAATGTATATTGAATATTTAAATGATGTGTTAACTTAAAATTAGTGTTTGTTAAAATTGTTTATAATAAATAAACATGTTTATTGATTTTTATTTTTAATTTCAACCCCTTTATGATTTACGATTATTTGCATGTTTCATTTGGTTTGCCGAAAAATTATGGAGTTGATAATCGCTTTTAACTTTGCACTAACACACTTTACGCTTTTGGCTGCAATCTCGTATTTTATATGTACTTTTTTACTGTTACTTATTGCGTATTTAGGACCCGAATTTGCTTTTACGTTGGTCACTTTGCTAGATTTATTCAGAACTGGAACGTCGACCCATCCCGATGGGCGGCGATCGTAATTCATAACTTTTCGGCAGTTTATAACTGTTCTAGATATTAAAAAATATTCTGCTGTATATAATAAACTACAAGAAAAGCTCGTGAGAAATTTAGTTCAAGCGTTAGAACGGTGCTTTGCATAATAACTAACCCATTCGGTTACTGATAACTAACAATAGCTGTAAATAAACATCACTAATTTTTTTCTTACAGAACGAATCACGAAGAGGAAGGCCATGAAGTTCTGAAAAAATCAAATAAAAATATAGGTTATACTTCTTTATGGTATTTATAATTATCACTTACGTGATGAAATTTGTATTTTTACATAGAGTGGCTAGAACAATATTAAGATGGTTATTCCCAGAGTTCTACAAATAACAGCCTCGCTCCTTTGGAAAACCCCTTAATAGTCATTAGTTTTCACCGCATGTCATAATCCCAATCATTTTCAAACCGTAACCGTTCGTAGCAAGAAACTTTCAATTTTTTTTTTCTAATTCCTTTCAGGACAAATATCCCTGACGGAATGCACTTAGCTTTTTAATATTTTTCCAATATAGTGTGCACCTTTTTACGTTTTTTAATTATTCCAGCAGTGGGTAATTTGAATGGTAAAACCGATGAGAAATACTATAAAGAAGTACAAAATTGTTGTGAGCAAAGCTAGTTGGTGATGGTAGCTATTAATTTTGTTACTGAAAACTTTGCGAAATTGTGCTGTAAATTGGATAAATGGAAAATATATATCAATTAGCTTATATTACAACAATGTAGACCTGTCTTTGAATTTGATATTACTTAAAAATCAAAAGCAGAATGTGAAAAAATCAAATATAAAATGTAATCGATCGAGGGTAACAAATTCAAAATTATCTTGTCCTTTTAGTTTTTTTTAAAAACACGATTTTCATTATTTAAAAAAATATATAATATTACCCCTAATTGGTAGATAAATCAGCAAAATATGCAGAACATTTAACAAAATATAATCAAAATTGAGATAACACAAATACAGGCTGTTACGAAATATTTGAAAAAAACGAAATTTTGGAAATCCGATTTTGTTTCATTTCAGCCTTGTTTGAGGTGATACTGAAAAAAGAAGAACACTTTCTCATGGCAACTTTTTGCGCTCCATCGAATGGCATAATTAATTTTTAACGTTTCGTCTCTTCAGGACCATCAACTTCATTTTTTTAAATACGACCCTGGAAATTTTATTACACTTTTTGCAAGCCTTCATGACCCCCAATACTGTACTGCCTCAGCTTGAACCAGATTCAGACGTTTTGTCTGTAAAAATTCATCTTCAATGTATTCGTTTCGAGATTAAAACTCTAACAATGTTTTATTGTAACGTGTGATGGTAATAGTTTAAATAACTAGGTGGATTTCACAGGGTCTAACGACACAAGTGTACGATAATTCGAAAAACAGAAATCTTAAAAAACATTAGATAATTTGGAACATTGAAGATGAATTTTTAGAAACAAAACGTCTGAATCTGGTTCGGGCCGAGGCAGTACATTATTGAGGATCATGAAGGCTTGCAAAAAGTGTAAAATTTCTAGGGTCGTATTTAAAAAAATTAAGTTGATGATGGTCCTGGAGGGACGAAACGTCACATATAAAAATTGATTATGCCATTTTTATAGAGGGCAAAAAGCTGCCATGAGAAAGTGTTCTGCTTTTTTCAATATCACCTCAAACAAGGCCGAAATTAAACAAAAACGGATTTTTAAATATTTCGAAAACTAATCATGTTAGCCTTGATTTTTTAGAGGCATAATGTTGGTCCCCTGATTACACGAGTTTGACCCCATTTAAGCTACTTCGTATCTCTTAACGATTCCGAGATCCCTGTAGTGAGAAGCGAATTAGTAACAGCCTGTACAGTACGAATATTCTTAAAAATTTGTTGATTACTATATTTCCTGTTCATTTCGCTAAACACATCTAAAGTTATTTGTTTTCTAAGAAAATATAATTTAAATATCTCGTATTCAACTGTAAAATGTTCTGCAATAAAAAAAATGGAAACTTTTTAATGGTAGGATAGTTTAATTTAATCAAAACTGATGCAAAGTATTAAAAGTCAATAGATTTATCCAGTACTGGCTTACCTTAGTTCAAATGCTAGTGCTATTACTTTATTTTAATATAATTCATATTACACAAACGAGTTGCAGATTTTAATTAGACTTGTCTGCACAATTTCAAACATTTTGTCCTGAAAGGTATTATTTTCAAATCTTAAGATGGTAAATGTACCACAGTAAATAGTGATTTGTTTCTGATGTATGAAAGTGTAGAAAGGCCATATATTTTTTACTTAAATTTGAAATTTTTAAATTCAAATTAAAGTTTTTACTTTGAAACACGAAATTTTCAGTTTGAACTCAAATACATGTATTGATGTATCAGATTTAGACTCAAAATTCACGTTTCAAATTCATAATTTAAAGTGTAAACTCAAAATTTAAATATCAAATTCGAATTTCATGAAGTTTGAGTTCATATAGGAAATTTCGATTTCCAAGCACGAAATTTCAAGTTTGGACTTAAAATTCCATGTTTCACCCTCGAAATATCAAGTTCAAATTCAAAATTTCAAATGCCAGCTTGGTTTTCGGGAAACACTTATAGGGCTGGTCCTATACCTTCATACTGATGACCTCAAATTTTTGTTCTGTTCCCATAATAGTAATCTCATTGCTTCCTTTACGCATGACAAGATGTATAGAATAAGATCCAAAAACTATTTCCTCTATAACAAAAGGGCCTTGTTCCACATAAGTACAAGCTACATTGAAAACAAAATTTACCACATTTCAGTGTTAAAATGAGAAACGAGAAATAATATCCAAGTTACTTAAATGAAATTAAAATGGAGGAACTCCGATAAGTCGTCAGCAAAAATTAGTTAAGTCTAGGTTGACTTTTGTTCACTTACTTGACGTGGCCAATCGTACTTAAATATAGTTACTTTATTGCAATATTAATGCTGCTCTTCGAGCAACAAGAAAGTTGCAATACTTTGAGTGTCGGAATGCGGGCACGAACTCTCCGATAAAGTGCTACTAGTATACTCAAGTATAGTAATATTCACTTAATTACTTTGCAAACGTAATCTATTATTGCTTCTATGGGAAGTATAAATAAATTACTAATCGATTATATTGTTTCTAGTTTAAATCAGCGCAATTCTAGTAATTCATTATTTATATAATTTTATGTTTATTTCAATAAATTTGTGGAAAAGTATGATTCCAAAATTTACAGGCAACCCTTATTGGAAACAGGGACAGTATTGATTAAATTTATTAAAGTTCTTTAGTTATAATGATTTAAGTTGTTTGAAAATGTGATTAGGAAAACATATTTAATGTCCAGTTCATTTCAAAATACTTGATATTATTAAATCGTCAAGAACCTATGTATAACTTCAAACATTACATATAGCTACAATTAAACTGTTATAGAACTGAAAATTTTAAGAGAACATTCAATCTCCCGCTTTGTTTATGTAATGTGTAACTGCATGTGCAATATGGGAAAAATATAATACATTCCATAACACACTACCCTATTTAACAGCTTATAATATATTATGTGGCTATTCCATATAAATTTTCCTAAAAGGGAAAACGTTGAAGAAAATCAACTGGAGAAGATATATAAAAATTACACGACATTTTAATCGAATTTTCTGATATATCTTCACCAGTTTTTTTTCCAACTAGTATGTTTCCGATTTTAAAACCAAAGCTAGATGAGTTTAGGTAGGGATGAGTGGAATCTCGTGTGGAATGGCTACTTTACATGTATCGAAACCTAGTTGTTAAATGTAGAAAATGGTTTATTGTTAAGTTTCTATCCATAAGATCCCTGTGTTTATTGGTTAACTTGCTAGGCCGATTTTTACCGCTTTTGCTACTTACACATCATAATTGTAATGTGATGATGACCAAAAATAAAAGTTATTACAAGAACAAACACCAGCATGTTTCATTTATATCCTGAAATAATCCACGTCCGAGCTTAAATAAAATATTTTGATTATCAGTTATCGAAGAGGATTATTCGTTCTGAAATAAAGGGAATGTACTAAGTATTCTAGTTTTATTTTTTTTACAACAAATGAACGTAGTCAAAATTACAACATAATCTAAGGAAAAGGTATTGCGATTATCTAGAAACCGATGCTAGTTAATAACTTATAAAATATAATATCTGTCGACTTAAATATCCTAATCAGGTATTAACAGTGAACAATTTCATAAACCGGAGAACTATACTATAAAAGAACAGTATAATGCAATTTCATTAACAATATTATTAATATAATCGTTTGTATTTACATCTTTTTGTAAACTGGCATCGATATGTAACTCGTATGTGGGTCCATAGTTTACAAAATACTGAAAGAATAAAAAATACAAAACAATAGTTTTCTTAATTTTACGAGATATACGGTGTCCGCAAATTTCACCGACAACGTTTAACTGCTGCCCGTTTCAAAAAATCGATCACTAAAAGTTTTGACCGCTAAAAGGGAGAGGTAACCAGAGAAAACTATCATCCAGTATATCGATTTGACAAAAGTTTTAAGAAATAATACGCCATAATAGTTCAAGTAAATGTCCCAAATTTTAACGCGATCGGTAAAAGGGTTATGAAGTTATTAATTAAATTAGTTTTATTTTTGACAACGTTTTGAAGGCTTGTAATTCGAAAACCAAACATTTTTTTAATTTTTTTTCATACATCTTATTTATTTATCGTCGTGAATATGCAGTCAACAGTTGTCTGTGAAATTTGCGGATACCTTGTATCGTATTTTTTCAAATTTATACATGATTACCTGCGAAGTGTCTGGAATATCATCGTCTAACTCTTTATCTGCAATAATCGATGTTAAGTATGTCCACAATCGTGCTGTATTTGCAAAATTATATCCTCCTAAAATCAATGAACCCTTTAGGTGCACCTGAATTTTGTTTACAAACAAGTATTTATTGTACTGTTCAATAGTTCAATAAAAGATATTAAATATTTTATCAGTGATGGCATAGATAAGTGTTACCTTTAAAATGTGAAACATAACTCGAATATGTATTTGATTTAAATAAAATTAATTTCGGATTAGTATTCTGGCAGCACTCAAAAAAATGAACCCTACTTAAAATCATATCTTGTACAATTACTTAATTGTAGGCATGTTTATATTTATTTACAATTTAATAACTATCAATGAGAAAAACAAATTACTTACCTCCACCTAGGAAAAGTGTAGGCAAATCGCTTTTTAAAACTTTGTCGACACACTCTCCTATTGTCTTTAAAGTCAAGTTACACTGTCCTATGCGGTCTCCATTTAATCCGTCTGCGCCACATTGCATTACAATGCATTTTGGTTTAAATGACATCAGAACACTGCAACCGTATTATTTTAATTACGGAAATCTCGATTTATGTTCACAATTCAAATGATCTCACCTAGGAAAAATTTTATCGAACAGCTTCAAATAATTATTATGGCCAATGCCATCTAGCAGAGGCACATTTAATGAATAATATTTTCCCTTAGAACTTCCTACTTCGTTTAAATCTCCTGTGCCAGGATAAAATCCTACACTCTTCTTGTGAAAAGAGAGGGTTAAAATTTTGTTGCTAAATTCAAATGCATTCTGAACGCCATCCCCTGAAAAGGTAAAATGTGTATAAAATATTAAACCGGAATGAAATAAAGCATAACATAATATTTCTGATGTTATTACCATGATGAATATCCAGGTCTAAATATAGGATTCTATCAAATGCCGTTGATAAAATGTGAATAGCTAAAACAATATCATTTACATAACAAAAGCCTTCAGCTGAATCCCTGAAAGCGAAAATTTTTTCAAATATATAATAAAAAACATCTTGTAAGCATCACTAGTACCTTTGCGCATGGTGCCAACCCCCAAACCAATTAATAGCGATTTTACATTTATTTTTCGCTAATAATTTGGCAGCCGAAATAGAGCCCCCAGCTAAAGTTTGAACCAATTCGAAATTTCTTTCCAAGATTGGACACTCGTAGCTCAAACCATATTCTACTTGCTCCTTTTCAAATTCATCAAAATTATCAAGATCGTTGACCTTTTTTAGGAAATCTATGTAGCTAGTCGAATGAAATAATTTTAATTCGTCTTCAGTAGCATCTAAGCTTTGAACTGCTTGGAATTTTCCAGTCAATAATAAACCATAACAATTTATTAAGTCCTGTACCATTGAAGCCTACATAAGTTATTTGATGATTTATAAAATTATACTTACGGCATTTTAAAATTATACTTACTCTATTCAACATGTTTGGCAAGCGGTTACATTCTCTTATTAACTTTTCAGAATAGATATAAATAATTTTTTTGTCCATAAATTCAGTTTTAATCAAACGAAAATTTATAATTTATAGGTTATAGCGGGTAGCGAAATATAAAGCCTAGATAAATGATACTATAAAGTATTTATAATTCAAATTTACTGGTTACCTTGGTTACTGTCGGTACCAACTGTAACAACTCTAGAACAACTAAACCATGCCCACCAACTACCGAAAATTATACGCAAACGAGGAACGAAACAATCGTCTTTACTAACTAGTCCTCTGGTACTAGTATTACATAATACATACAATCAAACCGAATAGTATGCAAGCAAGGAAATACTTCAAAGGAATATTTAAAAATATTGAATATAGGTTTCCAACTGAGCAATTTGATTCAATAGTAAATTTCTGGTAGCAATAAACGGTTTATAAGTGTGGCAGGGAGTTATTGTAACTTCTCTCTGAAGTGTAAAAAGTTTAATAGAGCCACAGTAAAATACAAATGTAGTTCTTCGAGCGTGACGTCATAACAGTAGTATAAAAACAATATTTTAATTGGTGGAAGAGATCTAACATCACTACTTTGTGCTGTGTGGTGATTTAATTTGCCTTAAATGCAATATATTCTGTTTTATTAAAATTGAAATAGATGGGTACCCAGAAGGAAGGGGAAGATTTATTGAATTATGACTGCCTATGTTAGATTTTGTTTTTTTTTTAATTTTGGATATTCTTGTAAAAATAATCGTGGTTTAGGAAAAACATAGGACAGGAAAAAATTTAAATAGGAAATTGAGTTTAAAAAAAATAAACGAAGTACTTATTATTTCTATTGTATATCGATATTTACAATAATTTTCTAAAGAAAAGTCATTGGCGCCATCCCCACTTCTTGATAATCCACGCATGTGCCCTGCGCTAGAGATTATTATTTAAAAATAACACCAGCCTTCACAGTGTGCTGGGACGGTGTGCTACGTAGTAGTGTGTGTTGCGAATAAAGCGCTCTCGTAAGTTAATATTGATTTATTTTATTTGAAATTAATGTTAATCATAATTTTGAATTAGTTCATTTGTCTCGAAGATTACATAAAGCAATTACCTAAGAAACATTATTATGTTATCATATTTATCGTGTTTCTATATCAATAATTTAACCTGAAAAACCTGAAAATCCAGATGCCTACCGGCGATTTTAGATTGGGATTTTTTAACAAAAATAAAAGTCTGTAGTCTAATTTCTTATTTCTTTTATTCATGCTCGTTACTCAGTTTTATCACAACAGTTTGTTATTAAGTAATACCTATCTACTCTGTGATGACATTGTACATATTATATATATGTATGTAATTATAAACATTATTAACTTTTAAATCTTGCAAATATTTAATGTGTTTCATAAATGTTAATCAATATGAATACAATACAAATACAGTAAAACGAAGTAAACATATATTTTTAATATTAGGTGAATAATTTTGAAGCATTTGTTTTTGTGTACATTATAGTTGTTACAAATATAAAAGGTCAAGCGATTCACTTTCAAAGATTAACCCAGATTACAAAGTTCTCATTATTTTATTTTAACCAAAGTCCATAAATATTGATATAAAATACGTGTTCTGGTGGAATTAAATTATATTAAATTAGTCAAATAGACAAATTTTAGAGATTTATTTGCTGGTTAACACGTGTGCACTTAAAATTTTTGAAATTTCAGATATTTATACAAGCCTTTATTTAAGCACCAGCAGACTAATCATTAATTCAATTTAATTTTAATTTAATTTACTTAATAATAATTTCTTGGGCAGTGAAAGACTAAGATTCTAAAATACGCGTAATTAAATATAATATATATATTAATAATATTACTTCAACATACTTGAAGTTTATATTTTCTGAGGTTAACAAGACTCAAACTTAATATGTGTTCAATGTTTGGCTTGATTTAATTTTATAAAGTAATTAACAGTAAGTAAATTAAAGTCTATTTTACTCAATTATCGTTTTTGTAAATTTACGATGTTGAATAAACATATTTTAGGAGAAATATATTTTTACTGAAGGATCAATAAGATATGGCACATCCAAGCAAGGTCAATGTGACTTTGCGTTGCTCTATTGATTGGGTACCTAGTTTCCTATCTTTTTAATAATAATTTCAAAGAAATTCCAATGTTGCATCTGTACAAACCCTAAATAAAAATTTTACAGGGTGAAAAATAGATCTACAGAAATCGGTTGGTCTAAAAAACAACAATGCAATTTTGTTTCATAGAACGCTGCGTAAAAATACATAGAAGGGCACATTGTGTCTACAACCCCCTTTTCTACTTTCGCATTTATCAAAATCGCACAAAAAATGTGCTGGAATAAGATAAAAGCCCATAAATAATAAAAACCTCGTTTTTAATTATAACTGACACCCTGAATTTTGAAAAAGAGGTGCGTAAATGAAGAATGTCTTGATCTACTTTTTTGTAAGATCCTGTATTTTAGTTGCACCATGTTCTAAGTGACCACGCGTGGAGTTAATTAGTATTCATTTTCATATTTGTCCATGCAATATCGTTTCAAGTATACGTATTAAATATTGTTGTATTCAGATGTGGTCAACTTTCATTTATTTAAAAATTGTTATTTACAAAATCAATTTTGATTAAGAAACTTTAGGAGTTCAACTGAAAATTATTGATATCTAGGTTAATCAGATAAACTTTATGTCGGATTCATTTTGAAATTAGTTTTAAAATTAGTATTAAATTCTCTCGCAACAGTTCAAATTGGTAATGTGTATTAAACATTGATAATGTGTACACAATAGTAATTGTAAAATCATTTTCGTTACCATTTATTTGTATAACAAAGATAAATAGTTACTTCTCCCAAAATAGGGAATCAATACTTTTTGTAAACAAGGAAAGTTTCGTTATTTCTATTTGACGAAATTTATGGAAACATATGTAATATGCGTGAAAGTAATCTTGTATGACAGAACAGATGTATGTATTTATAGATTTACTTAATTAAATATTAATTGGAGCATCACGTGAATCGTATATGGTAACGCCGATAATGAATTTAATTGTAGGAGGTATCCAAAAATCGGAGAGTGTCATCCTCTTTCTGGACAAACACTTGTAATTGAAAAATTAATGTTGATATTTTAATTCAGTTTATATAGACATGATTTTTTAACAATAAGCAATTAATAATTGCTAAAAAAATAGTAATTAATAATGATAAAAACTCCGGAAAGGTAAAAAAATATGTTTCAATTTTTTAAGTCAATGAAATACAGTATTTTAGTATCATTTTTATTATCGAAGTACAATAAAGTAATTTGCATCTTATTTGTACTATTAAAATCACATTAAAAAAAACTATTGCAAATCCTTTCTTAACTTTTCGTGATCTATTTATTGCTTTCTTAAATTACTATTTCATTCACCTTTTGTTATTCCAGGGTCCTGGTAACCTCATGAAACAAACATAAACTGCCAAAGTCGTGCCAGGAACAAAACTTTGCTAACAATTATAAGGTAAAACATATTGTTATATTCTGCGTAGTTTGTTGTTTCCTTTCACTATTTGTTTCCATTCACAATAGCATACATAATAATTATTTAGGACGTTGTCAGATATTTTTGAACACATTCAAACAGTTTCATTGAATGTTTGTGTTAGATACTGCTGAAATAAAAATAATAATAGTATGTAATTCAACTGTTTTATACAATTTGAAATAGAACAAATATTTTCATTAATTTTGAACACCCTGTATATTAAAATCAAATCTTTTGCGGGCACATGTTTATAGGAACTTTTTTCACAAACTATAAACTGTGCTTCGTGGTCATTATTAAAATACAGGGAAAATTATTTCCATATTATTATTTGCACCTTATTTCAGTGATGATCGATAAGAATATCGTAAGCCTTTTATATCATTTAGGCAATTTTTTTAATTACTTTTCCAGTTTTATTACCTAATTTTCTTTGATTACTTACTAGAAATATATTTCCTATTAGGATTGCTTTATATGTTTGAAGGTATCTCGGTTTGAACTCATAAACCACAATAAAAAAAATAAAATATTGTTATGTACAATTGTCAATTAGTTATGCTTAATTATTTATGCATTTTTTAGATGTTGTAAGAATATTTCATTAGGTACGTGCCTCCTCCTTAGAATAACTTTTATAAGCAGTGCAAATTTTCCTTGGTTTGATTAACACTTTGCCCATGGCTTGATTACTACAATTATGGAATTCTACTTCAATCGTGTCCATATTTCATACCATTTCCATTGTTTTGAATGTAGATTGTGGAATATTTTCTTATAAAACATACTGTATGTATAAAATCTGGTAGATAGGTAATATAGATTTGTTTCTATAAATTAGAAAACCCCGTGCCTATTACAACATAATTAAAATACATTTACCTGTGTATTTATAGCAGACTTATTTCTAACTTGAGTTAAAATAGTTTGGAAAGTACCTAAGTGTCGCAAATTGCTAACACAGATGACGTTTATGTTTTCGGCAGTACAATAAAAATTGATTGCAAAAGTTTTAAAATTTCTTTACGTCGCAATGTAACTAACCTAATTTGTGTATATCACTTATAGTTCGTTTAATTCGAATCGAAAAAATGTGATTAAAAAAATAATTATAATAAAGTAAATCCTGCACTTATAAACGTGTATTATACCTACCAAAAAGTTGCCTTGCCGATTTAAACTTGCAATCATTTGTACCCGTTTCACTTAATCTAGTCAGAGGTTATTACCATTTAAATGTGGGCACCACTGCTATAAATTATTTACCTTGTCCTTTGCACAATTTTATTCTTGACCTATAAAGTCACATGCTTCTTTAATTGCCATAATGTCGTATGGCCAATTTTATGTTATAAAATTTCGACATGTAAAAGAAAACACGTATATTATTTTAGATAGGTATTTAATTTTTAACATGAATGCACCAAAAATCCTATAAATAGTTAAATTATGATAATCAGTTCAGACTATCCACGCATTTTTCATATAGGTGAGATGAAGGTAAAGGTGTCCATACACTAGCTTCTTTTACGTTCAAGATGTGCCTCTATTCTTCCTTGAAAATAACCCGATTTGGATCAAGTCACCTTAGTACAATTTGCCCACATACTTTGATGTTTGTAGGTCGTCGGGATCCTGGGGGGCAGTACGATCGACGCCTTCAGATCTGTCTAATTATTTTATAACAATTTAAGGAATAATTGCCTTTTCTTAGATCTGATGGCGCTAATTTAAGGTATGGATGTCATTAACTCCATTAATTATTTGTTAATTCTGAATTGTCACAAATTTTACGTTAGTTTTCTTCAATATAGTTAATTAGATATGATCTACCCTTCCTGTTTTCAATTTCATGATTCGTTAAAATTTCTCTCTAAATTTCTTTCTCTCAAGGTTTAAATGTCGTGCTCTACTATCATTGTAGCAAGTACAATTCATTGTCAGCTTACATATTTGCATCAATCTTTATCTTGTTAATAATTTGAATGCGTACGCAGATCTTTAGTTTAAGAGTTCAAGATCAACACATATACTAGCAGTTATTTCGGTTCGTTAAACTTTATAATTCAGAAATTAATTATACTAAAATATTCATTAAAAATGTTTATTAATAAAACTACAAAAACGTATTACTAAAATCAGCGCTGTTAATTTATATGTTCCCGAACAGTAAGCTTGACTTTAATGTCAGTTTTATTCAAATTTATTTAAGGCATCTCAAATGATATCTTCAATTTATACAGTTACAAGTGTCATTAGATACACTAAAAGGGATGTATCTTAATGATTATCTGAAAGTACTAAAGATTTACTAGAATTACAGTATTTCCAAGAAATCGTTGTATCTAATTTAGTCACCATTAATTAAGTAAACGTTTTTTTTTATCGGAATTTCATTCGGTTGTCGGCGCCACTGACGGATCGTTATCACTATCAGTTGGCTTACCTACTTCACACGGTCGCATACCATTTGTTTCGTAATTACTGTTAAAATAACCCGTATCCCCGTTTATCAGGGGCACTATTTGTTTATCTTTATCTGTAGAATAATCAGTGTATTCGAAGTAGACTGATATGAAACTATAAATTATAATATGGGAGTATCAGTCATTTAATCCATTAGGTACGCCACTGGGAATGCCGATAATTGATTAATATTGATGTATCTCCCCATACAATTTTTGGAAAATCCATGACATATCCTTCCCATATGACTTTCCAACGACGAATAATTTTTTTATGAAAAAAGGCCATGTACAATAAACATAACTTGATAATTCGTAGATAAAGAAAAATATATACGTATTTATTTCTAAAAGCTGCAATTTCACGAATTCTTTCCTAGTTATTCTCTGATTACTTCATATTTATTCTTTACTTTAGTGTTAATTGACTAGATCAGTTAGATTTATAGGATCATTTTTAATATTTGATTTTTGTTTTCCTGTTTTGGCCTTTGAAAGTTCAAAAGAATAAGAAATCTTTTAAATGTAGGTCTTTTGTTGAAATAATTTGGAAACTATAATTAATAATTAGTGATTACTATAATCATCGGATTAATTACAATAAATTATTAGGAGCATACGTAAAAAAAGTAATTAGGATGTCGACGGAAAGTGTAAAAATAACGAATAGCGTTTATAAATTCTATTATTAAAGGAAAATCATTATACCGTTATGTAAACTAAAAAAATTAGTCTCGTTGCGTAGTTGCGATTTAGAAACGTGGCACTACCCCCCGTGCCAATCCTGTTATAGATTCTTTTAGTAATTGGCTTTTTTCCAATTGGAAAACCTTCTATACATGTGTCACAGTGTCACGTAGCTCGTCAGTAGCTTCCTGATAAGAAGTTTCTAAATAAAACGAAGTGCTGAAATATTGCAGTGCCACTGAAAATTAAAATACGTGCTATGAGAAATGAGAGGGTTGCTAAAAGGCAGTTTCGAAAAGTTTTTAGAAAAAAACGGTATCGTTAGGCTGGCTTGGGTGCCAGTTCATAAAGGCGTTAAGGAGAATGCAAAAAATACCTTCCTTTAATTGAATTTGCAAAATAATGTCTTTCCTCTAAGTTCCATTTTTTAGTTTGCTTGTGGTGGTTCAACAAAGATATCACTATGTAGAAGGAAACGGGGAAAACCCTTCTGGATTTGCTGCGTATGTCGTTAAGCCTAATCACCGATTTGGATAATGGAAAGGAATTATTTCTTACAGGAATATTAAAAGAAGAAATAAAAGATAATGACCATAAATACTAAACTAAACAATAATTAAAAATTCATTTATGATGCATTTTTAACAACGTACTTAGACTATCTAAAAATTACTTAGATATTTGATAATGTCCCAATTTATTTTGTATTACTATTCTGTATTTTCTGACTAAGATTATTTCCTTTCATAATTAGTTAAATGATTTATTTGAACAAGAAGATATGAATTTTATTTATATTTGATATCGTTCACTGATATCAGAAGAAATTTTGTTGTTGAAATATGTATGTGAATCTTAAGTGTATTCGGTTATTTTTAAGTCAATATTATCCACATAATTGAAATGTCAGGTTTCTACTCGTATACGCATGAGTCGTAACTAGTATAATTTTCGTACTATTGTCTATGGAATTTCTCAAAACTTTCCTACAAAACTCGTTAAATAATAACACGGAACTTTTATTTATATTATGATTGCATATTATCAACGAACGTGTCTGTTTTATTGGTTAAGTTATTAACTATTTGATAATATTTATCCATAAAAATTCAAAAATTGACATAATATGGGATTGCAAACTGCGTTTTCACAATGAAAATTTATTTTTCCAATAGATGTTTTGTGTATAAAATGTAGTATTGAATATTTTTCGAAGTGTTTTCAAATAAAAAAAATCTAAAAATAATGTGACCATTCAAATAGTTTATCACTAGATAGATAGTTCAATCTAGATAACTTAAAATGTACTCATATGTTTTGACTACGTATCAAAATTAAAAAACCGAGCAGTATTTTGATTCAATTAAAAGATAACGGTCTACAATGCTTATCAGTCGTCTGATAGTTCATATTGTAAATACCAAGAAATACTTGTTAAGATATTAACACCTCTGAAACTTATCTCGGATGTGCTACAGCTCGTATTCAATAATATATTAAAATTAGTGTACAGGGTGTTACGTAACTGTTTGGTCAAACTTTAACAACAATATTTACGTTACAAAATAATGAAAAGTAACCTGTGCATTTTGCGACTACTCCTTTCAAGGACCTTTTTTTTAAGGCTTTATAGATACTGAAATAGGTGTTACTAAAATGTTTGGCAAATTTGTGAGTGACGTACCTACGTCACAAATGAATACAAAATAATTCTATAAATATGTGTCTGGAAATACTTCTTGTTTGAGATATAGGATGTACAGAGTTAATAAGAAAATAAGGTTTATTTCAACCTTCTGGGGTGGTATTCTGTAACTTGGTACGGACTACAAAATGGACTACAAGCGATAGCCTTGAACTTTTACAACTTTTTTAGTAACTGTCGTTAATAATATAGCAAAACGTATTATTCAGATTTACTTAAAATGTCACAAAAAATCAAAGATAAATGTTTCTGTTAAAGTTACGCTTTATCTTGCGATATTTCTTTGCTATAAAGTTATAGCACTGTAAGAAAGTTACAGAATACGGCTACCGAACATGTATAGAATATAGTGTTCAGAGGTGCTTATGGGGCTAGAACCATGGTAGGGTAAAACTGAATTATTTTTTGGTCAACGATTTTGCAAAAATTTGAAACATCAGTTCATCTAACGTATCTCCATCGCCTTTAACTCCACAAAAAAAGAAATATCCTTGACAAATTTGTATGTGAAACAGCATGCCGTGAGTATTCTTTTTTATCGTCTTCTCTCTTAGCCCTCGACAATTCATATAACCTTGAAGTCTGTGTAAACTGCTTCGTATCATCAAACATGCTTTCTAATGATATCCATTACCATGACATTAACCAACGCTGATGGGACCCAGAACTCGACCTCCTCTTTTTTTGGTAATACCTGTTTGCTTGTATCGCTTTGTACCAATTATCTTATTTGTTTCAAGTTTATTTTATAACAGTATTTTTTTTTTGTTTAAAATAAAACATCATTTCTACACTCTTACTCACACAAAGTTTTGTACTTGAGGAACACTTTCGGAGACATTCTTTCATTCAAATTTGCTTACAACGGTCAACATGTTTTGCATCTTGTTTATATTCTACCTAGGTACGCCAAGAAATTCGAAATATTTTTTTACACATGAATCTAACGCATTTTTACTTGATTATAGTGAGCACTATGAACTCTTTGAAGACGTCCACTGATCAATTTGTTATTGTTTGCATTTTGTGCGCCTTGATTTGCAAATCAATTACATTCTGAATACAGTTCTCTGTACTTTGGACTATAAATTATTTAATTAATTTTTGTTTTACGTCATTGTGAACTAAATATTCATGTTTTAATAACAACGATCGAAGACAAATAGAAATAATACTGAAACTAAAAATAGCTCATATTTGTTATCATTTAAATTTTGAAATAAGTTAAGTGTATATTTGCAAACTTCCCATGCTGTTGAAAGTTAATATTTGGAAAAAAGTGTTCTGTATAAATGTGTAAAAATTTTTTATAGGACACCCTATATAAATATTTTTATTTAATCAATTAAGTATTTCTAGATAAAAATCCGTTTCTAGTTATTTAGTAAGTGATCCTATCTGATAGCTTTAAAAATGATAAATTTTGACTTTTTGTGTCTGAGCTTAGAAACGTTGTGAAAATAGTATTTCATCGTATTTGCGTCATATTGTAGTCGTTTTAATCTTTAATCAACATAAATAATGCATACTAGGCTACAGATATTGATAAAAATCTTTTTATCTATAATTTTTAAGGAAATGGTAACATTTTTATAAAATATGAGTAAGGATTATTGAAAAAATAATCGTTTGGTTTAATTATACAACTTTACAGTACTTCTACAATGTAGTCCATTAACTAGAACATCCCCCTAACATTTTTTGACAAACAAAATGATGTTTCGATGGTCTAAGCTGGAAACACCCTGTGGAGTAATTATATAAAACTTGGTTAGGTCCTTTTATACTCTGTTACAGGTCCTCCTCTTGTGTCATTATTTTGTTTTTTATTCATCCCAAATTTAGAATTTTTGAAAAGAAATTCACATCTTCAAGTAAAACTTTGCAATTTTAATTAGGGGATAACCATACGTATGAATAAAACTGAGTAGAAAATTTGGTTTCTATAGTTCAGTTCAGGACGACGACAAGTACTCGTTTTAAGTAATTTAAGTTGATCCCATAAATATGGGGTTAAGATCAGGGTTATAGGCAGGCTAGTACAGTTGCTGAAAATCAATTCCTGTCCGAATCATGGTGCACAACGTTTGCAACATGCCTTTTTACATTGTTGTACGTAAAGATGAATTAATTCAATTAATCAGTAGGTAACCCATTATTTTAGTTTTTTATGATAATGCTCAAATTAAAATTTAAAAAATTTATTTGAAATTATGTGCCTTTTATAAAAATTGAGATATGTATTGGAATTATTAAAATAAATGAAATATTGAAAAAAGAAAGGGCTCTGTAAGAGACTACAAGAGAACCTTTTGTTTTTTTCACTCTGTCAGTAATGATGTTTTAAGTTATAGTTAAAAGTAAAGAAAACTTGGCAAATAATATATAATAAAAATCGATTATTAAACGAGATAATAAATAGTAATTAAAAAAAATATATCTTTTATTACGATTAATTCTTTCAGAGGATTAAATTATATGTGCTATGTATTTATAACTACTATCAAAGTTCAAGGACTATAATTGTTGTATTGTAATTTGTTTTCGTTTTCTAAGTTTTGATATAAAACAATTCAATATGTATTCAGCTACAATTGAATAGGCAACTAATTGTACGCTAAGAAATATCCCATAAAAACAGTTTTATAGGTGGTGAACGTTCACCGTTTGAGCTAATTTTTCATCAATTGTCCTGCATTTTGCCATGACTTCTTGTCCCAATGCCCTTAAATTTACACCTTTGTATGTTTTCCCAGAATAAACGAGATATTTGCACAAACCGTCAATTATGTCCTGAAAACGAGCCAGATTGTCAATCTTGCATGATGATTGTTTGCAATAAAGAATTAGAATTGCCCTTTATAATATTTACTTAGAAGCTTTTTCCACTTTCGTTCAGTTTGTTTACATACACTTAGCATTTAATTGATTAATTATTAATAATATGAAATTAAAGTCGGCAACCTTAATTGCTACAGATAACGTTTTCCTCGTACCGATTGTAAATTAACGCAGGAAAGGCTAGACATTGTTTACAAATTTATTTATGCATTGTTGTTTACAAGAACTTTGCTCCTCATTTAAAATGGATTTCCCTTGACACGTTATCGCTAAGCACTTTGTTTCTGTTGAGTTCTGTTTGAAAACAAAATAATCACATTAGTAAATTGGAAAATATGATTTTCTTTTACGATCTTAAACCTGTAAGGCTGTATTAAGGCAAGGAGTAATAAAATTTTATTAACTATTCTACTTCACTGCACGTGATCCATGCAATCACTCTAGTAGAATTTATTAGACCGTTTATTATTACTTGTACATTACTGAATTAATTAAATTAGTTTTGCAATTCCCTCATTAAATAAACTCGGTCAGTTATTACATAATAGCAGACGGTTTAAAGTCTGAGGATATTTGAGATATAATTTCGGATTAAATTAATTCTGAACACCCTAGCACCCTATTGCATATAAGAAAGAAGGATAATTTTTCCACATTGCGGATTTATAATAAATCATATAAATATATCAATCCATGTTTTATCATAATGTTTACAGGTCTTCAGATAATATGACCTTACATTTTGAACACTTCTATTTTTATAAAAATTAAACACATATTGCATTTGTTTTTTCTCTTGGTCACAAACTGAATCGTAGTTACAAATATTTCTTATGTTGTTGTGTCTAAAGTATTACTTCACTGTCATACTATTGACTCCTATCAAAAAGTCACTATTTGACACTAATATCAATGTTTGTTTAAAAAAATTATTTTAAGAAAATCCAGTACTAGCCTATTAGTCTGTATCAAATTTCAAGTGCTGTTGCCCATACAATGACTGCCATCACACTGTACCAAGATAATTTTATTTTGCTAATGCGAAAGTTACATTTTTGTAGGAATAGGTTTTTTAAAAAACTGTTATTTCCATAAAATTATGTTTTATATCCCATATGTAAGTAACTTTTAACAAAAATATTAACCTTGATGATTTTTGTTATTTGTTACAGGAATCACGGTGACATTAAGGGAGGGGTCAAATAAATTCTGCAGTAACAAGCAACACACTTTAAAAATGCTAGTCAAATTAATCACAAGAAAACCATTTCTCTGCCCTAAGGGCATTCTAAATCACTCGTCAAAATGGAGGTACTCAACTAAAATTGAATACAAACCGATTCGAAGTGTTTTGGTAGCAAACAGAGGAGAAATTGCTGTCAGAGTATTTCGGGCTTGCACAGAACTGGGCATTAAATCGGTAGCTATATATTCAAAGGAAGACAGATCCCATATTCACAGGTTAAAGGCGGATGAGAGTTATTTAGTTGGAGAAGGTCTGTCTCCTGTACAGGCATACCTTAATATACCCGAAATCATCAAAATTTGTAAGGAACATGGAGTCGATGCAGTGCATCCAGGGTATGGGTTTTTGTCGGAACGATCCGACTTTGCACAGGCCGTTATTGATGAAGGAATACGATTTATTGGACCCACTCCTGAGGTTGTCTACAAGATGGGTGATAAGGTGGCAGCTAGACAGGCAGCTATTGCTGCTGGTAAATATTTTTTTTATTTGCTTAAATAAACTCAACGTTCCCCCATTTCTAGGTGTACCCATTGTACCTGGAACAGATGGACCCATAACGACTAAAGAAGAGGCGAAAGATTTCTGTATAAAACATGGTCTACCAGTTATATTTAAGGTAGAAAATACTTATATAGAATTAATGTATTTTTTTACAGTTCCTACTTTGCAATTTATAAATTGATTGTAATATTAAACAAACACTTACTATTTTTTTAATAGGCTGCATACGGAGGTGGAGGTAGAGGTATGAGAGTGGTTAGAAAAATGGAGGACGTCGAGGAAAATTTCCAAAGGGCATCTTCGGAGGCCTTGAGTGCTTTTGGAAACGGGGCCATGTTCATTGAAAAGTTCATCGAGAGACCGAGGCACATTGAGGTTCAGCTGTTAGGTGATAAGGCGGGTAATGTCGTGCATTTGTACGAACGTGACTGTTCAGTGCAGAGGCGGCACCAGAAAGTGGTGGAAATGGCTCCTGCTCCTCATTTGGATCCGAAAGTGAGACAGCGAATGACGGATTTAGCCGTAAAACTAGCGAAACATGTCGGATATGAGAACGCGGGAACGGTAGAGTTCTTGTGTGACGATCAGAATAACTTCTATTTCATCGAAGTAAATGCGAGGCTGCAGGTAGAGCACACCGTCACTGAAGAAATAACTGGGATCGATTTGGTGCAATCTCAGATAAGAATTGCCGAGGGTATGACACTGCCAGAATTAGGGATTCATCAAGAGACAATTAAACACGATGTAAGTATAAAAATCCAGTGTCCGGAAGTGAATGGGTTATACTTTTTGGATGAAAATAAACCATTTAATATTCAGTACAATTGGGGTTTCTTAAAAAGTTGCAGGAATTTTTTTATTCCAATATTTTAAGATAACTTTTTGATATTTTGAATTACACTTTTTTTTTTTTGTAAAAAGGTGTGTTTGTTGCATATTGTTAAAGTGCAAAGAGATTAATAATTAATTTCCTTTTAATGCCCATAACTATTTTATGAAGCAAAATTGTACTGATAACATGAATTAAATCGGTTTATTTCCATCCAAACAGCTACCCTTGAGGTACAGCCCATTGGCTTCCCGACACCCTAAAGAAAGGGTAAATTAGAATTGGAGACAGTGTGTGATATTTTAAGGGATTTGCAATCCAATGCCGTGTAACAACAGAAGACCCGGCAAAGAACTTCCAGCCAGACACGGGCAGAATAGAAGTATTCCGTTCAGGAGAAGGAATGGGTATCCGTCTGGATGGAGCTTCAGCGTTCGCCGGTGCCATAATTTCTCCCTACTACGACTCGCTTCTTGTAAAAGTAATTGCGCACTCGAATGACCTCCAATCAGCCTGCGCTAAACTCAACAGGGCACTAAGGGAGTTTCGAGTCCGTGGAGTCAAAACGAACATTCCTTTCCTTTTGAATGTACTGGAGAACCAGAAATTCTTGAATGGCTCTGTGGATACTTATTTTATCGATGAAAATCCCCAGTTGTTCAAATTTAAGCCTAGTCAAAACAGGGCTCAAAAACTGCTTAACTATTTGGGGCAAGTTTTGGTAAACGGCCCCCAGACACCGCTGGCTACGTCTTTGAAACCTGCTGATATTAGACCGCACGTCCCGGAGGCATCCGAAGGTAAGTACCTAACTGACTTAATTGACAAGAAAATTAAAATATTAACTACTGGTGACCACAAATGTACAAAGAAAAAATTTTCGGACACGTATCGAACTGACAAACACGCTTTCATTTCTTTTTTAAATGTCAACCCTTCATTGTTTGCACCAAATTTTTCAATTCATTATACTTCATATCCAAAATAGTGAGCAGTGACTCATTTTTAACAGCGTACCATATGAACGGTAAGACTTATGAGCAGTGCTTTTGCGTGGGTGTATCAGTTTAGAGGATTCCGAGAATTAATAAATATAGAACAATTAATAGATTCTTGGTTCAGTTTGTGTCTAACATCATTGAACTCCTTTAAAAAGCAATTTTGAAGGTTTGAAACCGACTCGAGTAGTAATAAAGAACGTTTGAATTCATGATATCATTGCACCATAAACCTGTAACCCATAAGTCGAATCATGCAGCCTCAGTTGTGTAATAATAGAATGTTTCAAGTATTCCACATTAAAATTTCTATGTAGAGAATACACAAAATTATTTTACCAAATTAAGTAGTGTAAATTGTGATTCGATTCATTTATGACTTGTTGCCTACTATTTTGAAACTGGCTTGTACTTTAACCATAGAAAGTAGGTATATAAATGGAAATATTTATTTTGTGAAACATTTGTTATGAAATCCTTAAGGCCTGCACAAACATACGGTGTAGTGATGGTGGTAGTGGTGGCGGTGACGTTATTTGAATTTGAATTTGAATACAGAGACTGCTTGTACCGCGATATGTATGTATTGACCCATTTGTTTCTATACGTTACATTCAAACGCCACCACCACCGCTACTGCGACCATCGCTACCGTGTATGTATGTGCAGGCCTTTATGCTTCAGATATACAGGCTGTCTTATAAAAAACGCCCCAAGCTGTAACTCTGTTAATAATTGTTCTATTTAAAAAAACAAAAGATTGTCGTTAATGGCTTAATGGCTTGACAAATACTACAATCGAGCACTAATTTTCATTTTTTTGCCATCATCAGAAGTTGGGTGATTTTCAATATTTTTTCCATAAAATATTTAACAAATATTAAGTTGTAATATATCGTTGACTGCAGAAAAAAATACTCTATCGAACAGGCCAAAAAAAAAATAACGACATTTTAGAAAAAACAATTGAAAATCGCCTAACGTTCTGATGATGGCAAAACAAATTAAAATCAATGCTCGATTGTAGTATTTGTCAAGCCATTAACAACAGCCTTTTGTTTTTTAAAATAGAACAATTATTAACAGCTTGGGGCGTTTTTTATAAGACAGCCTGTAAACAAACATGTCCGAAAAACAAAGCAAATTATCATCTATTTAATTGTTCATTCAAATATTTACTACTACAGTGAAAATTGGTTATTTTATAACGACATTGCTTTATACGACATATTGGATGTAACGACGGAAGTTGGAAGTTCCGATTAAATCCTATAAAAACACCATATTAAAAATATTGTTTACTACGATACTGTTTACCAGATTTAGCGACGCGTTTTTTATATACATTTACCATCAAATCTACCGGTAATAACGACCAATAGTGATATACGGATAAAACCAATGCACCGCTCTTCCGCCCACCCCGCCAGCATCCACGCTTTTGACACCAGTTAGTACATTTGGGACAAATTACGACTTATCTATGCATCTCGAAGAAAAAAGTGTTTAATAAAGAAAAAAGATCACGTATAATATAGTGACTAAAAAACGTAGAAACTAATGCAAGCAAGAAAAAGAATGTGGCGATTTAAACAGTTTGGAAGGACAGAAATAAAATAAAGTTTCTATTCGTAAACAATTAATTGAAAATGAAGCGTGCGAGATCGTTTGAACACAAAGCAATACATGTACATATACTTAAAGACTTGTATTGTATATTTCTCATTTTTTCTATAAAAATTTTAAATAAAATATATGTAATTGCTTATTACGTCTATCGGTTATAACAACCGTAAACAAACGGTCCTTTGAAGGTCGTTACAACCGATTTTCACTGTAATTGACTAAAAATAAACAAATGGGTAGTGATTTTAAATACGAAAAGCCATATAAAATAGTAATCGCCAGTTTTTGAACAAAAAAATATTTGTGGTTTTTAAAACTACATGAACTAGTTAAAACCGTTAACTTAGATATTTAGTAATAATTTGCACTCTTATATGCCTATGTCCGTTATTATTTTACTTCTGTTAGATTGTCAGATACAATATCTATTTTTAACAAGCATATGTCATAACCTTAGGAGGTTGATTCATGCATTAGAACTTAGTCTTAAATTAATATACACACTACTTAACTACTAAAAAACTATTGTAAATAGTCGGATTTCAGTAATTGGAGTCGCTGAGGCCATGTGGCTCTCGGCACGTATTGCGAATGACGCTAGAGACTACAGTTGTCTAGCTATGCAATGGTTGAAAGTACTATAACTTCAATAATTCTTTTCTCGGAACCTATATAAGGATTTTACAAAATTTTTTTTTACGATATTGACTCCATTTCTCATGCCGCATCTATTCCCAAATTTTTTTGAATAAGTTTTGAATCACCCTGTATATGATATCGCAATTAAGCATTTCTCAAAATATTCAAAATATTATTTTGATATGTTTAAAATCATTATGAAAGTACTTCATGTAATCTGACAATTAACTATAAGAATATATAAAGCCACTGGGACCCTCCATCTTGGTTAAAATATCTTAGTTGCTTTACTTTTCCTCTTATGATTTATCTTTGCTTACATTTAGTATTACACTTTTCCGACAGGTATTTTATTTATTCTCTTAGTTCCTGTACACTGTATACTGGTGGTTTTATACATTCTCATCATTAACCTTTCCTATTTCGTTAATTTGGGTACCTTTGTTTTCGTTACTGTTTACAATTCAGCCTTACTTCAAATTCAAGAGATATTTTGAAAATTTGGAATTGTAGACATTAATGTAACATTATCCTTGTTTCTATTAATTAGCACGTTTTTTTGTTTTCTTTTTTGTTTAACAGAATACCTGGCTGTACCTCCCTGGAAAAATGCAAGTTAGTATTTGTTTTTATTTGTTTTAACATTAACTTAAGTTTATGAGTTATCGTATTTTTCAATATGCACTCCCCTTAATCCCTCATTAGTAGATACCTAGTGAATTTCAGGTATCAACATTCTGGAAATAATTTAATTATGCTCATAATTTTCTAAAACGTGCTTTGAAAATTTTTATATAGCCATTTGAGGTGAAATATGTACCTGAAATTTGCTCCATTCTATTCTATTCGTTTACATACCATTCAAGACTTTGCTAATAAGATCTATCAAAATTTCAAATTCCTTTGAAAACAGAACAATTAAAAAAATTGTATGTACCGTGTTCTGCAACAGAATGTTATATTTAAGGTGTTCAGCCTCCAAAGGGTTTCCGACAGATTTACAAGGAACAAGGTCCAGAGGCTTTCGCCAAAGCCGTTCGTAATCACAAGGGTCTCTTGCTCATGGATACGACATTCCGTGATGCTCATCAGTCTCTTCTGGCTACTCGTGTCCGAACCCACGATTTGCTGAAAGTATCGCCGTTTGTAACACACAACTTTAGCCAGTTGTACGCCATGGAAAATTGGGGCGGCGCTACTTTTGATGTTGCCCTGAGGTTCCTACACGAATGTCCGTGGGAGCGTTTAGAAGATATGAGAAAGTTGATACCAAACATTCCGTTCCAGATGTTGCTTAGAGGCGCTAATGCTGTTGGGTATACGAATTACCCCGATAACGTGGTGTACAAATTCTGCGAATTGGCTGTAAGTATCGAAAATAGATATTTTTGTCACAATTAGTAATACTGTCGACAGGCAACTATATTGACAGAGTGAGATGAATTAGACCAACTCGGAATAATATTTTTTAAGGTTCAAACTGGTATGGATGTATTCAGAGTGTTTGATTCGTTGAACTACCTCCCAAACTTAATACTGGGTATGGAAGCTGCTGGTAAAGCAGGTGGGATCGTTGAAGCGGCCATCTCTTACTCTGGGGATGTGAGCGACCCTAACAGAAAGAAATATGATCTCAAATATTATTTGAACATCGCAGAAGAATTGGTGAAAGCTGGAACCCACGTTTTATCCATTAAGGACATGGCTGGATTACTTAAGCCAAAGGCTGCAACGTGAGTTGTCAATTTATTCCCAAACACTTACATTTCAGTGTTATTGCTAGCTTAAATGTTAATTCATTTTAATTTGTTAAACCTGTTTTGTTTCGCATTTTTCTGAATTCCCAAAATATGTACTTTGATTACAGATTGCTTGTAACTGCCCTCCGCGACAAATACCCTGACGTCCCCATACATATTCACACACACGACACCAGTGGCGCCGGTGTTGCCTCAATGCTAGCTTGCGCCGAAGCTGGAGCTGACGTCGTAGACGTCGCGGTGGACTCGATGTCTGGGCTGACCAGTCAGCCTAGTATGGGTGCTGTAGTAGCCAGTTTGCAAGGATCTCCTCTTGATACCGGTTTTCAATTACCGAAGATATCAGAATACTCGGCATACTGGGAACAAACTAGGACTCTGTATGCACCGTTCGAATGTACCACTACCATGAAGAGTGGTAACGCTGACGTGTACACCAACGAAATTCCTGGTGGACAGTACACCAATCTGCAGTTCCAAGCTTATTCGTTAGGTAAATTATAAGGGCGTTTGGAGTAACGTTAATTTAATTAAACTTTGTTCGTAGGTCTCGGAGATTTCTTCGAAGATGTTAAAAAGGCTTACGCGGAGGCGAACCAGCTTCTGGGCGACATCATCAAGGTGACTCCTTCTTCGAAAGTTGTCGGCGACCTCGCTCAATTCATGGTACAAAATCATCTGTCCTCCCAAGACGTCCTCGATAAGGCTGAAGAATTATCATTCCCCAAATCCGTAGTTGAATATCTGCAAGGTCTCATCGGACAGCCCTACGGAGGTTTTCCGGAGCCTCTTAGGTCGAAGGTGTTGAGGGACATGCCTCGAATCGAGGGCCGACCCGGTGAGAGTCTTCCCCCGCTAGATTTCAGCGCTCTGGGCGCTAGCTTGAGAGAAACCTTCCCCAACGCGAGCGAGAGAGATGTTATGTCCGCAGCTTTGTACCCGCAAGTGACCAAAGACTTCTTAGGATTTAAGGATAAATACGGACCTGTGGATAAGCTGGACACAAGGATATTCCTTGTGGGACCTAAAGTAGGTGAAGAATTCGAGGCGACTATCGAGAGAGGAAAGACATTAGGAATTAAAACCTTGGCTGTAGCAGAAGACTTAACTGAAGCCGGGGAGATAGAGGTGTTCTTTGAGTTAAACGGCACCTTGCGATCAGTTTTGATCTTGGATAAAGATGCCAGTAAAGAGATCCACGTCCACCCTAAGGCCGATAAAGCGAATAAGCTCCAGGTAGGCGCTCCTATGCCCGGGACCGTTATTGATATCAGGATTAAGGAAGGGGAGAAGGTAGAAAAGGGCACGCCTCTAGTAATTTTATCAGCTATGAAGATGGAAACAGTCGTCCAGAGCCCCGTAGCTGGTGTCGTGAAGACTATCGAAGTTGCCATGGGAAGTAAGCTGGATGCTGAGGACTTAATCGTAACTTTAGAGTAACTCGAGTAGAAACGTCTATATGTATAGAAGTAAAAGCATCACATCATTTGTTCGGCTGTGTTAGAAAACAATTTTTGATTGTTTGTTGGATTTTCATATACAGTCTTATTAAGTTTTAAAGTCTTGTACATATTTTATGTATATGCGGTAGACACCTGCATTGTTTTATACAATTGATTTGATTTATATTTTTTTCTCAAGAATTGTTATGAAATTGATATGTTGTTAATTCCATTTTTACATTTAATATATTTTTTTATACACGTGTTTCATTTATCTAAACTTTTGCGTGTTTTAAATAAGATGAAATGCAAAAAATGAATGAGGTTGTAGCCTGTGGCGGCTGGGGAAAATTAAAGTAGTCGGATTTTAAAATGAATTGAAATTTAAATAATTACCATAATCACCCTGTAACTATAGTAAAAACTTTGGAAGATAAATATCTATGGACATAAGGCATTACTTACACCCAGTTTCACAATCTGCGGTTAATTAGTAGTTAATTCCTTGTTTCACATCTAGTTAACTTCAATGTCTTGGTTATGTCATGATAAAGATAACCAGAACCTTCGGTGTAAGTTAACCTGAAGATTTGTAGTTAAAGTTAACCTATAAAGAGGTAACTGTCATTACGAGGTATATGCTTTCAGTAGTGACTGATGAGGAAGTCAGGAGACTACTAATTTTCAAAGGCCAAATTTTTTTGAAGAATATGAGAAGATTTAGGCTTTCCCCACGTACAGAAGAAAATTTATTAAAATAAATACAGGATATTATTAATCACCGTACGCAAAGATACATGTTCTATATATTTTGAAAATTACAGTACCTAACTTTTTATGTAGAACTATCTCAATGCCAAGGAACAGTTACTGTTGACATTTTTTGCCAATGATAAGAACCTCTCCAGATTTCTGTGGAGTTGTAGAGCCACAGCAAGTAGAGTGGTGAGAATTATTATTATTCTTATTAGTGCACTTATCTTCTAAAAAGTTTAAAAGCACAGTATATTATGCTAAATAATACGTAAATTAAGTAGACAGGTACTGAAAATTGTCACAAGTCACAAAATATGTCACTTAGTCACTAGTCACTACAGGCTACATGCTATTTCTTCCTATTATTCTAAAAGTAATGGCTGTTGTGAAACAGTTGAATTGTTTAACCACAAGTTGGGACAAGGTTACCTTTCCAAAAAGATAACCAACGATTGTGAAACTGTAACGTTAGACACATACTTTTTTAATAGATTTTTACAAAAATACTTTCGGTACGAATATTAAACTTATTTCATAGAACAAAATTTATAAACAAATTGGACTAGACAACGGGTGCTTCAATATCCTTGGCAGGAAAAATGACCTCGGATGGGGTGTGGTCAAGCGGGGCTATCGCTTTACCCAAAGACAATAGGGCGCCAGAGCCTCAATTTATAGTAATTATTTTTCTGTAATTTTGTGGGTGCGCCCTCTTTGGTCCACTAGTTAAAGTTTAGTCTTTATTATTACTGTAACTACCAAAGTACATGTAGGAATCTATTATTTTCTAATTAATTAATAGCATGCACAGGGGCAAATATCATATCGAATGCATTTTTTTTGTCGAATCGAGGGTTTCCATTGTTGCGGACCCGAGGGAGGCAGATTCTAAAATAAAATAAAATTTAAGAAATTTTCATTTACGTATGGGGACACATAATAATAATAATAATTGTTTTTGGTTTACTGTTACTCGCTTTATTAGCATTATTTCTGCCCTCAATATCTAAACAGTTAAGATCATTCGTTGGTCGTAAACTGGTTTCGAACATATTAGTTCAGAAAACCAGTCAGCTGACTAATGATCTTAGCTGTTTACTTGATATTGATGGTGTAATTCAACGCTGGAAGGAAAATGTAGCTCGCAAAGTAGTTGCTTCCCACAATATCAAGTTCCCTATTAAAATAATAGCATTAAACAGATATTCGATTCATTTTTGAGCTTTGAAAATGAGTTTTGAATACCCTGACTGTGCGATATCTCGAAAAGCCTAAAATTTTTGAAATTTCATGCAAGAGAAAATTTTCTTTTGACCCTTAGGCCATTTAAATTTGCTTTGGAAAAAAAATACTAATTGCGACATCATCTCTATAGAACACAAAATCTTCACTATCAGGTTATCCGGCCTGGAAGTTTTGTTTCACTCTGTATAACGAATTTTGAAGCTTTCCATTTTTTACTCTCGTGATTCGTTGCCTCTTCTATTACGTCTATCGAGGCATTTAAATCAATAGAATACATAAATTTTTCAATTCTCCGCCTGTCCGTCGACGAATACAATCAAATTGCCATACTTTTCATGTTTTTCCAATATTCCACATCAAAGGATTTTCCAGGGAGAAATATCTAATTACAAGCAAGCATATATACCTGCACCTACGTACCATTTAGAATAATAAGTTTTTATCAAAAACAAACATTTTATATATAAAATAGTACGTTATACAGCTTGGGTCACTTTTACTCAGTTTTACCCTCAACATATGATTATATGCTATGCTATGATCTACCTATGCTATGGCTACGATCTTTTAAAAAAAGATAAAGGAAAGTACAAATATATGGTGTCTAAAGAAGGGAGCATAAAAATGCAGTTATTACATAATACCTAAGTAGCTCTATTTAATAAGCGCGAAATATTTTAACATATTTCTTTTATTAATTTGTGTATTATTTCAAATTCATAAAATCCAATCCAGGATAATATATGAGAAGAAGTAGTTAATATGTATGTAAAACATTATATTATTATATGTATAAATATGTATTTAATAATTAACATATCAATACCAAACTGCTAAAGTAGTAGGTACTGTTTATTAATCATTACAATACAAATACTTTAGAAACAGAAAACTGAACTTATGTTTTAGGAAATTGAAAGGAATTGAAATTGACACATCACCCTACATTTATACTCCTCGCCCAAGATGAATATAGAAATGAAGTTATAAAGGAATATAATTCAATTTTGTATTTCCATCACATCTTAAATTTATTATTGAAATAAAAGTGAAAAATTCAGTCTTTGCCGATAAGCATTCCGGATCGTTTATAAAATAGATTATCTTGACGTGATAAATCGAATACAAATGTAAATGAGGACTATATAGCGTCCAATTCAAAAATCGTCTCTCGGTTATTTTCGTCTGCTTATTCCTTTTGTTCTCATTTGATCTAAATTGTTTATAGTCTAGGGGCGAAAAATAACAAAAAACAAATGTGTTGCTGCGTCAGCGATCTCTCGAACTTGTGATCGAGGTTTTGCAACAAAATTAAAGTAAGTTAGCTGATACACTGTAATCATTTTTTTTATCAAGAAACAGTTAATGCAAGAAAAGAAGGAATTATTTGATTTGATTTGATTTGATTTGAACACGTGTTGCCATCGATTGTAAATACACTTTTACTAATTCGACAAAACAGGCCACTTAACTAACTCTTCTATGGATTTATTTGTATTTGAATTTTGCTTCAAAGCTCTTCAGTTAATATTTAAAAAAATCTACATTAAAGGAAAACGTTCCGCTAATAATTTTTGAGTTGTAGGAACGCTGTCATTAAATTTGGCTTACCAATGTTTAATTTTTTTATCACGGTGAGCAAACATCGGCAGAAACACGGTCCCTTTTATCTTTCCATCCTTTAAGGGAGCAAAACCGCGGCACTGTGTTTAGGTATGCATCAGATATCCCGGAGCGTGTTCAGTTGTGATTCCACGCATGAAAAGCGTCCCGACGCCTACCCGTCGCCGCGGGCGACTTTTGACCCCTGCCTATAACTCTCCATATTGGGCTGTCAGGAGTGGAATGCGACAAACGAATGGGCTATATTGGCGATGGCAACCACTTATTGCTCCTTCGTCGAGGACCCTTCGGAGTTCTAGTTAACCCTTTAGGCTGTCGCCACTTTATGGCCTCCCAGATTTATATATATTGCCCGCCATCGGGTCGTCATAGAACTGGAAGACGTAACAATAATGGTGGCGCATAGCACCGGCAGCAGATGAACGAAATCGAGGCGAAAATTTATTTCCAATATGTGGTAATTGAAGGGACTCCACCAAAATCCGATAAAGTCTGTTACAGGGATATATATGGTGGTCTTACATTGTCTTCGTATATTTTCAGGACGGGCAGTGCATAACAAAATATAAGTATATTAAAAGAATGGATAGTAAGGGAGACATAATATTCTCCTTTTCTTCTTTTAACGCATGTCGAAGCAAAATTTAATATGTCTAGCATATTCTCAATGTTAATATACAGGGTGTGGCGTGTATAATCTATAAAAATTAAACTACAGCTTCCTAACGATATTTGTAATAGAAAAGTCTTATACGAAAAAGTTCTATTTTTGCGTTTTTTTTTTCGAAAATTAAAGTTCAATTATGGATCAAAATATTTTCTCTGGAACGGTCCTGATCGTGTGCTGTACGATGAGTTACGTGCAGTCGACCAGCCGCGTAAACAAATCGTCGTTGAAAGATAGAAAGATACTTCTCAATTTTTGGGGAATTTTTCAATGCAAAATAAACTAAGAAAAAAAGATATTTTAAAAAAAACTGATATTTTCGTATTATAAAAATTAATAGTAATTATTACCTTAAATGCATTGTTGTTACCGCAAGAGTTCGCAAACAAAACCACATCCGTAAGCATCTGTAGTTGCCAACAACAAATAAATTAATTTCAATTTAAAAAAAAAGAACGCGAAGATAGAACTTTTTCGTATAAGAGTTTTCTATTACAAATATCATCAGGAGGTTGTAGTTTAATTTTTATAGATTATACACGCCACACCCTGTATAATAAGCATTTGTAGTAAAATATACCATTAAATAGAATTGGCTTTACGGGAAAAAGAGGTGGTATTTTGTTTAGAAACATTTTCAACAAGTATAAAAGATTTACTGATGCCAAAGTATTGAACATGATCTAATGTAACAAATACCTTGAGAAATATGCGTAAATCACATCCACCTGCCTTCTTTGATTCAAAGTTTCAGCAGTAAATTGAATATCATTCACTAAATTGGATACAGTAGATCTATCAGGCATAAAGCTTTGCTGCTTAGGTACAAGCTTTTTGTGTAAAAAGAAAAAAGTTTACGAATAATAATTTTACACTGTTCAGAAAAATTACTAATATTATTACAACATCGCATTTTGGAGACTTTTTGAAACGGAAGAAAACGAAATTTTCCATCAATATAATAAAATTGATT